TGGTCTGCCGAAATGGGTAACGGGGCTGGGGGTTTCGTGGGGAGAAGAGAAAAATTTGTTCTGGTGGGACTGCCTAACTGATTTTGCTTTATCTGCCGAAACTGCTTTTTACAAAGCTCATTTCAAACGCGTTGTACGTTTTTAAAACAATAGCTATTATGGGTTCTTAAACCCCATTCAAAATGATGCAGGCGTGATCTGATTTGTCACGTGATACAGTGTCACTTGACGTCATAATATCACGTAGCTATGCGAGTAGTCGCGTGGCATCATCTTGTCTGGATAGTTCTACGGTTATGGATGGGTGTGTCGCGTCACTCTGCGAGCAGACATTGGCGGTGGTTCCTCCACATAAGACTTCAGATACTTTAGGGTTCGTTAAGGTGTTGTAGCTATCACTGTAATTGCAAAGAGGGCCTAGATTGCAGAGAGGTACGTCCATCTCAAACCATGGTGTAGGCGTTGTAGATGTGTCTGTAGGGGAGAGTTTCCAATTTAATGACGGGCAACTCCCGCACTGATTGGTCGCTAGTGTGCATGCCCAGCGTTTTCACGTGGTGAGGAGGAAAAGCAGAGATGCTTGCAGATGACCAGCGGCGATATTTGCCAATGTGCTCGTCGTCTGTGGCAGTGCTGGTAACTCAAAAAGCTCTTTGATGTTCCACATATTAGAAAGCACAGAGTGCTTAAAAAGTTAACAGCACTGATTTTGCCGTATTTAGAGAAGTGCCCCCTTTTAGCGTGCCCAGCAAGAGATGACCATGAGACAAACACTTCTACGATTGCAACAGAGAGGTTTGTACGGCCATTTCTGGATCAACATGGGCATGATTATGACAAACGGAGTAGGGTATCGATAGAAACTGCTCGAAGACACTGCATCGCAAAGTACTTTGCATCTTAACTAAACATTCAAGGCTTGGAGTTTTTAAATAAACCAGGTTGGAAGTTGGAATACCGAATATCCAAACAAGGTTGCAATTTATAAATATAAACCAGAGTTATTTTTCTCAAGTTCCCGTTGTCTGTTAGCATATCAATTAAGTTGCATCACAGGGTGCATAACGGGATGTGGTGGTCTGTGCTGCATGTGCCAAAAACTAGACGTTTACAAGATAACGCCCTACCTTTTAAATCGGTACCTACAATTATCATAAAGTTTATAAAAAAAAAAGGAGAAATCATTTCGAGGCGGTTGTATCTCGTCGCCAACATTTTTTCCCTTAAGCCGTAGTCGCACTGCTTATACATACAAAATACAGTCTGCTCACAGATTCGAGCGTGAGTCGCCACAAGGTCAGCTTCGAATGCCACATGTCGACGAGTTCAAGGAGACACTTGGCAAGTGGCATTCGAACCACGAATATCGTGGTGACTGATACTTGCGGACTGTCTCTTGCAGGGGCAGATTTAGAGGGGGGGTCCGGACCCCCCCTCTTGAATTCTGCATGTGTAAAATTTAGGGCGTGAAACGAGAGAGAGGGGGGGCTCCTGAACAAATGGTACGCTGACCAACACCTGACCCCCCCCCCCCCCCTCAGGAAATTCCTGTACCCCCCCCTGATCTCTTGTACGATGTATAAGCAGTGCGACTCTGGCTTGAAGGTGCTTCTAGTAGAAGCAAACACCACAGTATGACCTGCACAAATTTTGTAATAGTAAAAATATTAAAAGGACAATACGGATTGTACTATATAGTATCCAATCTCGTACTCGGGCTCAAAAAGCTCTGTCAAAAAACGTAGAGATAAAAAAAAACAAGTACAGCACGATTATCTTTATTTAGGGAAACTAAATTTTTTTATGTAAGGAGCTAAATTGCTAAATTTTGTTTGAGTTTTATGCGTGCTACAGATTACAGTCAAATATATAAAAAGGTGCACTTCTAGCGCTAGCCGTCACATGTCCAAATAAATATCTCAAATTAAATAAGCATCACAACTTGTCTATCTACTTCCCCAGAGCAGCTGTTCACCGTTCTACCACAAAGCGCAAAAATCTAAGTAGAAGCTGCAGTAACTCGACGTAACACAACTTTTTCTTGGACTCTTCTCCCTTGTGCCATGCTGAAACTACTGAATTGGCGAATTCGATGCCTGGGTTGAGAGCGCCTCCCCGCAGAGAGATGCCGCCTCCTCCTCTTTTTCCGCTTGCTTTTTCGCGCACAAATGGGATGGACGGCTAGAGAAGCGCTTGGGCGCACTTTGGAATCTCGGAGGCCATGGTACTATTCACCCTATTGCCCGCCACTAGAGGGTGCCATGATACGTTCAAAGCTTCAGCACAGAACGGGTTTCTTTCGTCCCTTTTTTGTTTCGGTTGAATACAACATCCCAATCACCCACAAATAATTTGTTTTTTTACTTTGTCTTGAAAATGGTTTGGCCATAGAGAAATGTTAGTTATTATTTGTAATTTTTGTTCGAGGGAAGTTTTTCTATTTTTATGTGAATTTCTGTACATGTATCGCAGCAAGCGAAACAATTTTTGCGATTAATTTAAAATGGGACCACCCGGACACTTGCTCATCGAAGACCCTGCAACTAACCACTTTTTTTGGTGTTAGCTTCGCTATATCACCGTTTACCAAAAAAGGACCATTAAAGCTGCCATTTGTGAAACAGACGTTGACTGATGTGGCTGATGGCATATTATTGCAAATGTTGGAATGGAACACTTCTGAGCCGCCTAGTTTTTTAAATTCAATTACAAAGGATTTTTACAGCGGAGCTGTTAAGGGCTTTTATAGTTTCCACAGGTTTCGTCCCCCGCAAAAAAATGTCGACACAAACCTCTGGACAGCTACCGCCACCTATGAGTAATGGCGGCAACCAGACAATCGGCTTGCCGGCCTTGCTCATAGATGGCGACAACCTTTCCAGCCTTTCCACTTCGGTTTTCACCAGAGTAGAAAGGCTGAATTTCTCTCAGTTTCATCCTAGATGTCGTCCTTGAGGCCGTCCTAGACGTCTTCGAAATCGTCCTAAAAGTCGTCCTTGAGGTCGTGCTAGACGTCGTCCCTGACGTCCTTGAGGTTGTCTAGATGTCGTCCCTTAGGTCGTCCTCTAGGCGTCGTCCTCGAGGTCGTCCTTGAGGTTGTCCTAGACATCGTCCTTGAGGTCGTCTGACCATGGTGCAGCTTCGCTGGTGTTCCTTCTTCACCACAGTGGAAAGGCTGAAAGTTTTTATCATTACACTTGTATCAGTGGCATTTTATGCGTCAGATTTCATTATAATACAGGGTTGCCAAGTGGACGATAATAAGGATTCCTAAAATTCAGCTGGTTTTTCATTTGCTGCTCAAGCTAATTTAGTTTAAATTAAATATTCATAACAGTTGGAGAATGTCAAATCTAAGACAAAAAATGATGAAAAAAAAATCAATGCTAAAGAGGCAGGCAGCTGGCCAGGATATCGCCATCCATCAGGTATAATATAGTTACGAGGGTGACCTTAGTTACAACACCCTCCCACAAAGTTGCCTGCTCAGCGTTCCCACGTCGGAAAGAGTAGAGGCCTCATGGGAGGAGCTTGTCCTGCGTTTTTGAAAATGTTACTGCAAGCTGATATATATGTACTATATACACTTCTCTTTTTTTTCTTCTCATTGCAGTTGTATTTCGATCTATCGATCAAACCGTCGTATGCAGAATTGCATTTTATGAGGAACGCATTGGACGCCAACTCCAATCGCAGCCTTCCATAGGCCTGTGGCTCTAAGGTTTTGAGCAGCGTCCTTGTCAAGCAAAATTGGATATTTTTAGGTTGCCTTTTCATGCTGAGTTGTGTTGTGTCCTTTACAATGCTCTGTTCGTGCCCGTGGACAGACTCCGAGGGACACTGAGGCTGTGTTGCGAATCTTATCCAAATAGATCCGATGTTACTCCAGTGGGTCGTGTCACATGACAACAGATGTAGAAAAATACTGGACGCGGATATGTTTTCGAACGCAAAGGTGCAAAACCCTTGCCCTGAAGCAAGAAATAGTAGTGGCGCAGGTGTTCAGCAGCCGGCCGACTCTTTGACTGCGTCTTGCCGTGGCACGCTTCACTTGTCAAGGCGGATCATCTAACCTTGGAGGGGTGCTTTTCCCCTTGACGTGCAGCTGTCTTGCGGCAAAGCAAGACGCACAGGATTGCTGTGTGCACTCTGCGGGTGCCGCTGCTTCGCCATGCAGAAGTGCCTGGTGACAGGTGCATTCAAAGAAAGCCACCTAACCCGACCAAACAGATCTAGCACGAATCGAATAGTATGCTATTCTAAGCAATAATCGAAGGCTAAAAAAATAGAATTCACACAAGCATGTTGTAACAATTTAAAACAGTAGCGGGGCCCGAGCTATGCATGGCTTTAACCAACGTCTCACCTGCTGCCATTGTGGTGACCTTACTGCTGGGCTTGTACCTTTGGCAGCATACATTACACGCTACCGAATCTGTTTTTCTCCAAAAGGACAAGCAGAAATGACCACCAGCATGATGCGACGTCATCTGCAAGATGTGCATTACTTTAGGCACGAAAAAAAAATATAAATTTACCTCTGGAGAGAATTCCTCACATTTTAGTGAAATGTAGCAGGACGTAGTTAGCTAAGCACATTGTTGAACCAACTGCATCAAAGCTTTGCAGAGGTAATTCAGCAAAACTGGGAAGTTCCAATCCCATAGTTGATGAAAACTGATGCCTGGTGTTAATTTCCTTGATTGTGCTGTAGTTCCCAACCGACACACATTCTTTTCAGTACCACATAATGCTGACCACAAGTGATCAGGTATCCATAGTGACCAATGTGCAACCTGCAAGGTCTGGAACGTGATTGAGGCAAAGAACAGCATTCAAAATGGTAGTATTTCTCGAGTCGTGCAGCCCAGCTTTGTGCTAAAGTTGGAAGAACCGATGCTTGAAGTGCTGCACCAACCCTTCCTCTTGTCAAGAACACGATTCAGTCGCTTGCCTGAATTTGGGAGTTTTGTCTTACCAACAACCCAGGCCAGACAAGATTTATATTAATAGTTCTTTATTCTCTATCTTAAATAGAAACCTACAACTCGTCGTCCGCGACCATTCAGCCAGCTGCTAGGGTATTATAATGTATAGTAATCATTTGGCAGTCTATAAACATGGCAAAAAATGGCAATAGATTCAAAGAAAAATAAACGAGAAAGGTGAAAAGAGTTCCCTCAAAATGGCAGCAGAGTCCAATAACACATAGAAAAAGGCCACTATAAAATAAATGTCAGAATTTGCTTGGATGTGGCACATGAGAATGTACGACGCACCCGACACCAAGGCCAGCATTTGAAACAGAAAAAAAAAAAAACTAATGCAAAAGTTGCAAAACAGCAAAATTAAGTAGTGCAATGTGCTACTAAGAATGGGCCATTTAAATTTAAACTTGCACTCTGCAAGCACACTTGTCACAGATATTGAACTGGCTAAGCTGCCACTCCTTTACTGTCCCCGTAGAAAAGCGGGGCTATGGAAAAGGATTTGCATAAGGTGGGTATATGAGGCACCTGGTACGTTGCACGAACCTAAGTGCCCCCCACATTGCAGTGAAAGCCCGGTAGGCTCAGCCTACACCGGCAGACCGTTCGGGAGACTCGTCCCCCAGTAACGGGGGTTGGGAAGGGTGCACTCCGGTTGCTGAACACCGTCGCGCTCCAGTGGTGCCAGCATGCGACAGTATATGAATGGTGTAAAGAGGTGACGCAATCTCGCTACGTTATTGTGCTGCAAAATTGAAGATGGATGAGCTAAGCGCACAAGCATTTCATAAGTTCAACAGGGTGGTGCAGTGTAACGGATGCCAGAGCAGTCGTAAAATAAAATGTTACATGAAATCACAGGGCTGTCGCAATAAGACAGCAGTCAAGGGTAAAAAAGAAAGATCAACATAAAGCACACTCTCAATTAATTGCTGCATGACTCAAGCACATATCACCAGTCATGAAGCAAGTGACAACATAAGACAATATACTATATTACAAAAAGCCAAAATGGCATAAAAGAGTGATTTTAAGAAAGACTGAAATGGGAGATGCAGTATTGCAGAAGATAAACTCTGGCTCGAGATATTTCACGTTCGTGAGAAATGAACTGGAAAGGCGCAACTCTTACAGCTTAAAAGAGGACAGATCTAAATGCACATTTCCAAGGAAAAAGACGATACTTATAAGCAAAACAAGCAAGAAACAAACATGTAAGTGCTCTTGCATATGCACATATCAAACAAGTAAGATGGGCACTACCCATCAGTCATTGAGCAATTGCTACAAGTCCTTTGATGGACTGTCAAGTCGCCCCTCCAGAAAAGGGGATAGAATGGCAGATCGAGTGACTTCGATACGACAGTGCATGATTGATTAAGAAAGATAACCACCATCTTTCCAAAGTTGCGCGTAACAAAACGAGAAAAGCAGCTCCGACACATTCTCACATCAATGTGAATGCCCCACTGCTAGTATTCCAATTTGAAAATGTCAATGAAGGTTAATATAATAGAGCTTGACCCTGACACTTGCTGAACCTTGTTTGCTCCAACTGAATGCACAAGGCATTCAAGCTGCCAAGACTAGAATTAAGACGACCGAGACAGTCAGCATTATCAACACTGCTACGCTATTTCTGACCTGGTGTTGAGAACAAAACATTTTAGAAGCGTGCCAACACTTAGGCATTTGTGCCATCGAGAAATGTGTGAAACTAATGTGTTGCAGTTTGCTCTTTCACTTTTTTTTTTCTTTCACCACCTTCAAAAGATACATTCTTTTTTTCTTTTTTTTTTTTTAAGAACCGGTAGCACCAGCTTTGACATAAGCTTGTAATAAATAAGTGTTGGTATGCTGGTTAAGGGGGGACACTACCCAAGAGAGTAAATTTTTGAACCACTTGTCGGATTTAAATTATATTTACACTGCTTGTTTCTGTTGATGTTGAGAACACTTCTGCCAATTTTTGTTAACCTGGGTGAAGTACTAAAAAAATTGCAAACGTTCAAAGACGAAAGTGGGCGTGTCTGCTTAGGAAAACTATCGTTTTGAAATTACGTATAAATTTGTTGTTTTCATGAGTTATATTGCATTAGGACAGTTCAAAGCAGATAACTATGAAGCTATATTTCTATGTTATACCATCTTTCATGACAAAAAAGCCACATAAACACAAATACAGTTTTTTAAATTTCCATCCTTTGTCCAAACTTTTAGTTCTTGAGCATGAAAAATGACAAAAATAAAAAATACAAGCTCATAGTTATCTTCCCCTTAAAATTTCACCCCAGAACAATTCATAAAAATGAATCCAAGTTGCGTAATAACAAAATGATAGTTTTCCTAAAGTGAAATTTATGCCAAAAAGTGGAATGGAGAAAAATGTGTTCAAAGTGCTCCAACCTCTACCTTTTCTTTAGCATCAGTGGACCGAAAATAATTTATAAAAAATTAACTATGCAGTGTAAACTAATGAAACTTTCTGGGAATACTCTCTAGATATTAGTGGATGTAAATATGACATTTTTTAAAATGAACTTTTTTTTGCAGAAATTGTTTTTTCTGGGTAGTGTCCCCCCTTAAGATGCAACGTTCCCACTGTAATACCGAGAGTTCAGTATTTCTCAAAACAGAGCAAGCCTAGCTTCAAGTTTTTTTGTGTTTCTCAAATGCTCAGCTTTCATACTGTTTCTGCAAGCAGAAAGTTTGCCCAATTCCTCCTTCTGCCCCATCTGCCCTAGATAAGCAGCTGCCTTTTACCAGTTCCCTTGCGAGGACACCTAATGCTACGCATATCACTGAAAAGTAGACAGCTCATAAAGCCTGATCAAAATAGAAGATTTCTTAAGTGTTGGAATTTTATAAAATTTCATGTCTTTTTTAGTTTATTTATATACCGTAATTTCAGTCTTGAAATTTTTCATGAAAAACCTGTAAGCTTACTATAGACCAGTATTTTCCTCAAATAGCCACCACAGTGATTCAACTGTTTTTCAGATCTTTCAATCTAGTTGGACAACAAACTCAAAAGTTCTGTAACCGTTTCGTTTTGTCAGGTTGAAGGCTGCAAAATGTAAAGCTGAGCCCAAGTTTACGCTCTGTTTGACTGTACCTAACGAGACAGCATTCATCTTAGCATCTGGTCAGGGGTGCTTTGGGCCCTAGGTGGGGCACATTGCCTCTGCTTCAGAAATATGCTTCGAGGCCACCAATCCAATTCTCAAACTTCCAAAGATTCACTGAATTGATTCGAAGAATGCCAGCTCAAAGCCCGGACAGATTCACAGGCAAAGAGACAATTTCAGGCCCACGTTCGCTGCAAAGACCTTGTGTTCACAATGCAACTCGACTTTCTTACTCCTTACAAATCGCGAGCTATTTTCTTAAAAGAATCTGAGAAATTCCGACCCAAGTGATCCTTGCATAAACTTGACTGTAAACTACACCTCTCGCACAACTTCCTACGTGGTACCTCCTGCAATTTAAGCACTATCTAGGGCAGTATCACTATATACTACAGAAAGATTGTCTATTCTTTGCCCCCCCTCCCCCCCCCCCTCCAGCCAGCCAAACACCTCAAATCAGTGCCAACTGGTATGTAAAAGAAGTAACATAGACTGTCTTAACTACAGTAGACTTCCTTTAAGTGGAACTCCAAAGGGACCAGGAAAAACCATTCCACTTAGCACAAGTTTAAGATACCAGCTAAGAGCCAAGAGAAGAAGACCACCTTGAAGAAACGGGCAATCAAGCATTTTGCCAAACTTCACCTATCTAAAAAGTTCCCCTTTTAAGAGTTCCAGATAACGACATTCTACTACCACACAGCACTAATTGGGGGTTTTACTTTGTAGGTCTAAGCATTTGTGCCGGCTGAGCTCCGCTGTCCACCACAAAAAGACAGCTGCCCACAGTCATCCTAGCAGTCCCACCTTCTGCAAAGCTTACGTAACAAAGAGGAGCACGAAAAACAAAGAAGCGAACACAAAATATGAACCAGGCAGGTTTTGGAACCAAGGCATGTGGTTCTGTTCAGATGCAACTCTTCCTGTTTGGCACCTCCAGTTGTGCAAGAGACGGCCCAAGGGGCAGAGGGGCGGCCAGGGAGCACGGTCCCTAGCACTTCCTGCCTTGGCCCTTGTCCCGACTGCCATCGCGGCTGTCCTCTTCGGCCGCAGAATGTGCGGCATCTCCGCAGGCACTGTCGTCGGACCCGTCTGATCCGTGCCCCGTTCCTCCTACACGCGAAGGCAAGCAGCACATGACATACCCCTCAAACACTGAACTCTTTCGGTACCGCGAAAACCACCAATCAACCATGATCGGTGGTTTTCGCGGGCTGGCAAACCTAGAATTTGGAGCGCAGGAATGTGTTGCGCTTTCTCGTAATAGCCGAAAGAACTATAGTTTTGCTTTCAATTTCATTTCACACTTTCTAGCCAGCTGGCGAGCCGTCAAAAATAAATCCCTGCACAGCGGCGGCACCTGCGAGACATGGCGTCCTGCTAGCGCTGACCGCTACAACTGTGCAATTTAACTGCTACTGCTGCTGCTTGTTTTTTGGATAACAGCAGCAGTGATGGCTGTGGATGATGTTGGATTATTTGATTTAAGCTCCTATAGCTACGTTTCATCCTTGAGGCACAAAATATCGTAAGGTGCTTGTCAGAGAGCATTGTTATAGCATTCTAGGATGTCCTGAGCCAGGGCACACAGCTTATATGTGCTGCAAACCATAAAAACAGCAGCGGAGATGTTAAAGCAGTGCTATAACAAACCAAGGTCTTGCGCAAAAAAACAAAGTGTTCTGGAGGACATGCACCTTTGCATGCAACAGCTTTTCTAAATGGCATGACACCACGAAACACGCTTGCCGACAGACCAAAAAATGACAGTATCAGCTAGAGCTCTCTAACTCGCAGAAATAATAGCGGTGAGTATGGGACAACTTTCTATAATTTGTGGGATCTTTAAATTTATACTACAGCCGTAGATGTTTATACTTTTTGTTTTTATTTTTGTACAAATTCCAAGTTCAACATATCAATTTGACAGACTTTTTCAGGCATTAGTAGTGTAAATGTTTCTTTCTTCTAAACAACTAATTATTGGCTACATTGCAATTTACCATAATTACACATATGCTAGTTAGTTCTTAAAAAAATAAATGTATTGTTTGTTCCTTAAATTTTTTTTTACTTTCCCTCATCACAAAAGAGTTAACCGTTGTGCCCGGAATGCTGCTGGAAGTGTTCCAAACTCTACACCAAATGAATATATCCAGCTAAGCTTACGGGAGGAGGCAGCGAACGTCCACCAACTGAAGCCATTCTCAATAGCCAAACTCTCAGTTTACCTATTTTTACTTCAAGTTCACATCCTCCTTACTAACATCCTCTACTGCCATTCTTTTTGTTTACGTAACCCCAGTGGCCGGCTTCAGAAGCCAATGCCTCTCTGACCGTATGGCAACAGGGACAGTTTGATAATTTAGCTTCATATTCCAGTAAACAAAAATTCAGCCATCGTATGGTAAAAAAAAAAAAGAAAGATGTTTGCAACTCCCTGTAACGCCGAATTAGAGCGCAGCTCTTGAGGAGGAGGAGGGGAAGGTATGAAGAGGAGGCTATGCCCCTCCTCCTCCCCTGTTCGCCTCCCATATAGGGGAAAATTTTCCGCTATATTTAGCAGCAATTTTTTCTGCTAAATGTAGCGGAAAAATTTTTTTCCGGTAAATTTAGCGGGGAAATTTTATTACGCTAAATTTGGCGGGGAAGAAAATGCAAAAACGGCACCTAGTTTCTGCGATCGCCTTTGGCACCTAGCTTTCGCGATCGCCTTCGGTTCGACGGGGCTCCCATTGGCCGCTGCGCTCGTCAGTTTCCACGACCGCTCACCCCACGACGCTGCGTGTCTATCAGCATGCCGTTAACATGGAGCGTCCAAGGTCACCAGGGGAGCACGCGCGCTGACCGGCGACGAAAAGTATACATCGGACGAAAAAGGGAGCGGACGAGTGGCTTGCATGCTTTCGCATTCACAACTCATAAGAAGTGCTTAGGTGTACCTCGAGCTTTTTAGCTCGGAAATTGGAAAAAGTATTTCGTACTACAACATGGGGCTAAACTACCGGTATGCTAGCTGCAAGAGGCTCGGACATAACAAAGCGAGGCTGAAAGGAAAGCCTGACACTGGGAAGAGGAGAGCCAATTTCGAATTGCTTACCGGAGGCGGGGGCATCCCCTGGGGAGGGTGCGGAGCCCGTGCCGTTGTGGCCGGAGGCCCTCGGCTGGAGCGAGGCTATGGCGTCCGGCCAGAAGCGCTCCACGGGCCGCACCGTCTGCACCTTCGCCTTCTTGGCCTTCTGGCTGCTCTCCGGGTTGCTGGCGTCCAGCATGGGCTGCAGGATCCTCCTCCGGGCATTGATGAACCTGCACTCGGGAAGAGGCAGGGTCGGACAGACAGCAGCCTGCTCGGGAAGACCATCAAGGAAAACTGCAGCAGAGTTTGCTTAGTACTATGTGCAACGTACAGACTCTGTATCTAGAACAAGATTTGTATAGGGCTCTAGCACAGCTGACGCCACGATCCGAGTGAGCCTATGAAATGGCCCCCAAAGTGAAATGTCAGAGAGTGCACTGTCTTTTGAGGTTTGCGCTCACGCTTACATTGGCGCTAGGGCTTTCGCCTTCAGGTTGTCTTAGGGATAACAAAAAAGACTCTGTGAATTTTTTTATTTCGCACTTTTATCGTTGGGGCTAGGATTTTGAACACTGGTCTATATGGCAAAAAGCTGCGGATTTTTTATCGGAGCCACTAGTCTCCATTGATGGCGATTAGGGCAGCACAATTTTGAAAGCTGCACTCCCAACACCTCCTCCAAAAGGGACGTGGCTCTTCCTAATCCTCAACTCCCCGATGTGGGTGTTCCACGGTAAGCAGTGGGCCCTCCGAGTGGTCCATGCCGTGAGCATTCCTGATTAGTGTTTTCGCAGCTGCTACATTCACGGATGCTGGTCCTGTGCAGCAAGCAGTACGGTGTGCAGTGCTGCGTGCGGTTTCGCCGCGCAGTGCGCAGCTTTGTCGTGCAATGTGCAATTTCATTTCCGCGTTTCGTCTGTTTTTCTTGGCCACAATCTTTGGTTCCCCTGTACGGGCTTCTGTGAGTAAAGGTGCAACATTTCTGCGGTTGAAAGCTTTGCAATGTTGCCATTAGGAAACAGTTCCCTTGGAAGTAAGTCATAAATAAGGTTGTCCCCCTATAAGCTCCTTACATCGATCTCCAAAGACAATCATTTTTGAGAACTCACCAGTTGTTAACCTGGAGTAGAGTCAAGTTTGTCTGCGCTGCTATCTGCCTCTTCTCATCTTCCGTCGGGTAGGGGTGCTGTTGAGTAGCAGAGGAAGAGGAAAGCCAGCATCTTAGAACTATGGGGCACACCTTGCGGAAGGATGCTGCTGTTTCGTCGTCTAAACCTGGTGCTCTAAGTTGGACATTTGGCGAGATAGTCGGCGACATCACCGTCCACCTTAATTGGCCAGCGCCAAGATCGAATGTGGCACTGGCCAATCGCGGCAGTCGGCAGTCTCGCCAACTTCGTCGCTGAGTGCCCAACTTAGAGCCCCCGGAGAAGTGCACCCAAAACATTGAAATGTGGATTAAGTTAATAATTTTTTTATCACGAGCCCATTTTCTCGCTGCAAGAGGTTAAAGGAGTACTTTGCGCAGACATTCTAAGGCTGAATACTACCTCGCATCATAATATAGTGAATTGCAAGATTTTTTTTGTTAATTTTAATGTTTGCACACAAAGGTCATTCAACTCTGCCGAGCTCGGGTTCCTCGCTGCACGGGTCCAAGAGTCTACCGTACTGCTAGAAGTCTTCGGGAGATGAAATGGTGGAGGTGGGATGGGGAACGGACCGCCCCCACCCCCTTCCCCAAATTGTCTACTTCAAATGCCCCCGCTCCCCCGTTCCGACACCCCTGCAGCCCCAACTGTGGTCGCTGACGGGACGAGCACGGCAGAGAGGAACTTCTGTCGTCCCACCTCCAGGGAGAACTTCCCACCTTAGGTAACGCTTCGACGTCTCGGGAGCCTCGAGCGTGCACGTGCAGACAAAGCGCATGTGCAGCCGGGCATTTGAAAGACATTCCTGGCCTCCAAAAATGCCACGTCGTTCCCACCTTGTGAGCGACTATAAAGCGTACCAAAAAGAGGCACCTACATTCGTTAATTTAATCCCCAAGATGAGGTAAGCCAAAATAAAACTAGAAAGCTAATGCGTAAGAAAAAAACAACGCAATCCTCACTCTGTCTTGTGTTCCTTTCATCTTGTAACAAGTCCCCACCTATGCGCTCTCACCCAGGCCCTACGACCGGGCAGGCACAGAGGTGCTGGTTCGAAAGAAAGGGGGGTACCAACCACGATGTGCTGGAAGAGCCAGGAGCGCATGATGCTGGTGGCCTGCTTGGGGAGCACTCCTCGCTTCTGCTTCTTCTTCGAGCCCAGGAAGTCTTCCTCCTCGTCGTCCCCGCTCAGCGACGGCGGCCTCGCACCTGCCGATGCATACAAGCGGGGCCCGTTGAGCGCCCCGTTCCGAGGGTGCCGATTCCTCTCTCAGTAAGCCACAACTTTTTTTTTTCTCAATGTCGACAAAGTAAATAAGAGTTAGTAATACGAAAAATCCTTAAAGCAATGCGCTAAAGTAAATGTTTATCAATTAAACTCCCCCGAAACATTTTTTTTTCTCAAATACCTAGATAGTAGGACATGTGCCCTATACAAAAGGTGTTTTTGGATTTTAGTGTCGCTTTAAAAGGATGGTGAACCGAAATTTGGATTTAAAAAAAAAAAAACAATGCTGGAGATGTAGGCAGGACGCTACAATCCCTACAACACTACTAGTAAGGCGATATCTCAAATGAACGGCCGTATTTTTGGAAAAAGAAGTTGAGATTGAACCAGGCCGACGAGGCGCGTGACCGTCAAGCTACCTAGTTTCCTCCTCTCTTCGCTTTGCTCCCTCAAGGCCGCGAGACGAAGAAGACACGAGGCCGTTCCCTCGCCTTCTCGGAAAAACATGATGTCAACATTCCTGCCAATGCGCCTCTTTTTTTAAAAAATACGGTCATCCGTTCGAGATATTGCTGTATGAGTGATGTTTTGGAGTTTGTAGCATCCCGTTGCACGCTTCTGCCGCGTGTTTTCGGGAATCCAGATTTCGGTTCAGCATCCCTTTAAACAGATTTTTAGCCCCATGACAGGAGTTAGATTCACAAATAAATGCAATTTCGACAAAAATCATTGCATTGCAAATCATCATTGCATACAAATAACTTGAAAAGTGAAAATGCAAGTGAAGTGGTTAATAGCATGCATGACAAACCTGAGACAAAAAATAATAAAAATCGACAAGCACACACTTCACATTGATTCCTTTTTGTCTTAGGATTATCATGGAAGGCTGTTAGTACTAGTGTTAATATTAGTCTCCCTAAATTACTCCATGTTATAATTACAAAAGATTCTCTCACTTATTTATCTGAAAAAAGAGTTTAGGCTTTATTGCACCTGTTGTAATCAAGACAACTGAGTGCTCGGCATTGATTTCAGCTGCTTTTAGCACTCATTTGTTGAAACATATAACATTGTTACCAAGTGACTAAGAGTGACTCATGCGTCCTAGAGCCGAGAACTGAGACACTAACCGAGGCTCGAGATTCGATGGTCCTGATTAGAACTGGAGCAATTTGCACCAATCTGAGACAATGGGGTCCCACCGTGGATTGAAGTTATCACAGGCAGAGTTGCACTTGCTTGGATCTGTAAGGTTAGGCCAGCAAGTGTCATCATATCCATCTACAAGACAAACAACAGCATGAGCAATGCAAGGCAAACCAACAAGTGCTACCGTAGAATACCGCGCATCCGCCCATTCCCCACTAAGCGCCCATACCCAAATTTGTAAGATCTGAGAAAATATGCATGGTACATTGATATGTAAAGTTGGTGACCAAACAAGCACCCATCCCCCATTTTTTAGCGATTATCTCTAAATTTTGAGTGGGCGCTCGCCCGGTATTTTACGGTAGTTCAATGTGGGCATGCACAGAACATGCCATGCCCACAATTGCAAAAAGAAGACGAGCTGTCACGCAAAAAACACTGCCAACGTAATTGCACTGTGAATAAACTGCACTTGCAAGCGAAAAAAATAAAACTGCAAAACTTAGTTGAAAGAAACAAAATGAATGAGAAGGAAAAGACCACTGCTTGGAACATAGCGAGGGAAAGAAACAATTAGGAAAAGCTTCGACATGAAAATGTTTAATCAGTGAAAAAAACAACAACAAAACATTGGGAGTTACAAATGAGGGAAAACACTACCCATCTTTAAAGTCTCATTAACATTTGACACATACCAACGAGTGGTGGAAACCGAAAGACAACAAACATAAGTCACCATTTTTTTAGAAATTGCAGGTTCAGGCAGCTGTGCCACTAGGGCCAGTGGCACCTGGCTGTTAGTAGAACCTTGTTGATACATTCTCGGTTGAGAAGCTTTCCCGGCTGTTATGTTCACAAATGCGGGTCCCATGGAACTCCCGCAGGAATATATTTTTGTACAGATTTCGCTTTTATCACGTTTGCCTTCTTGGTTGTTTTGTCCAGAAACTGCCGTCAGATGCCACGCCCTCTTCATTTTGCTTAAGTCCACCCCCAACCCCCTTTCCTAGATATTCAAGCTTTTGTAACGTCCCGTTCACCTCGATACCCATCTCTCCCGAGTACATGCTTCTGCAGCGCTCAGTTTCCCTGGTTCTGCTAGCTTCATTTCGCTTTGACGATGAAAGGCGTCGAGTAAAAAAGGGTGATCTCATTTTTAAGAAGTTTGTACGAAGGTTAATTTGACGACGTCCATAATGAATGTAGCTAAAACCCACACGTTGACCGCACTGGCCACGTCATAGTCTGAACCTTCAGAGAATGACGCCGCCACGGTTGCGACGTCGCGACCAACAAGCTAAAAGGTCGCGGGGAGACCTTTCTCTATTATGATTGCATAGTGGCTGGTGTGATTAGACAAAGTCAGAGTCTGCTAATTCTGATTAGGTCACATGATAAGCCAGCCGACCACGCCCCTCCACGCCATGGTACTCGCATGGTACTGCTCGGGCCAAGCTTCACAGCATCGCATCGGCACCTGGGCGTGAAGCCTCACCGGTTTGTGCCGGTGCACATTGAGCTTCGACGCTTTGCTATGGTCGGCTAGGAACAGTGACCGACGCGAGGGTGCGTCTAGGTTAGCACGACGAGCTCTGGAATTTGCTCACTTTTATAGGTCTTCGACTGAGAATTTAGGTCGACCCTAATTACAAGGAATCACGTCTGAAGAAAGCATCTACTTATATTTGAATAAATATGGCAGTTTTCCAGAGCTGTGGAAGTCTACATCAGCTAAACCGTTGGGTGAGAGTTTCCTCCCATTTCATCTGTACGGAGAAAAACTGAGAGAAAGGAGGGGAGGAAAGCACGAAAGGACGTCAGAGTGCCAAGCTCTGATTGGAAGAATAGTGGGTAGACAGAAAGGCTAGCTGCCTTTGTCTCTACCCCCTATTTGAGCACAACCAAACGCTGAACGCCACCGTCTGGTGTTCGAATGGGAGGCACTGCGTGAGGGGCAGACTAAGCTCTTGTTCGCTCTGATTGAAGAGAGACAGAGGGTAGGCGCAAAGTCTACATGCCTTTGTCTTGACGCTCTGCTTTGACAATGGGTTGACAAAAACACGTAGCCTTTGTGCCTACCCACTAATCGTTCCAATTAGAGCTTGACGCTCCGACGTCCCTGCATGCTCTCGTCCCTTTCTCTCACAGTTTATCAATGTATAACCTCCCCAAGAGCATCATCGGTTGTTAAATTTTCCCAGATCACACATCTTTTCTTTTTCAGCATGATCCCCCGAAAAAAAAAAAAGCTGTCGACAGAGTTCTAATGTATTTAAAAGAACATTCGCCAAACTCCTAAAACAAATGTCTATGTTATTCAATGTTCTAGCTGTGCTCTTCCTGGACCTGAAATATAGCTTCATAGAAATCTATGCATCTTGATCTATACTTAGCTTCTGAAATATCTATACTATTCTCAAGTCCTACTAGCCAATTGATAAAAAAAACTCTGTAAAATTGCCTTCTATGGTTGTGATTCAAACTGAGGGGCTTCTGCGTGTCAGAACTCCTCTTAACAAAGCAACTCTTTGTCTACTTTCCCGTCCTGCGATGAATGGTTCGATGAAAAATCATACATGCACCAGTAAAATGCAACACATTCCACGCCCAGGAAAGCCTCTGTAAACACCAGACTGAATGTACAGTCTCCGGCAATATGAAAGGCCCACTGGAAGCGCGTGGCCGAGGCGGTGGCTGGCGGGGGCGCTGCGAGCACTCCGGGCAATTTCATTCTGCTTCAAGGAAAGGACGCTCACTAGGGCTCGGCTAGAACGCAACGCGCTTATCAGTTTGTGCTGAGCCCCGAGTGAGCGTCCTTCCCTCGAAGCAGAATGGAATTGCCCGGAGCGCTCACAGCGCCCCCGCCAGCCACCGCCTCGGCCACACGCTCCCAGTGGGTCTTTCATATTGCCGGAGACTGTACATCTTGAACTCCCCAAACTGGAAATGGGGTTAGGGAAGGAAAGAGGAGCCTGACCTGTATGGGCTGTGCCACGATCCCGGCTGTCGTCTGCACCACTTGAAACACCGTGCCCCCTGACACCACTTGGCCAGGACTCAGGGTGGATGCCGATAGGCATGTGCTCTGGAACAGCCAGGCAAGCACCGGCATCAGATAACAGAAACGGCCATCACCAGAGGAGCTTTCCTTGCTACGCTAAAGAGTCTCAAAAATCAAAGTGAAAATTTAAATTAAGCATGTGTCAAGGGTTAAATTTGCTCTATGAATACAGAAAGCAGGTTCGACTAGGAATAGGATCTTACATACTTGCTCTAAAACAATAATTTGGAATATACAGTACGACCACCAACATAACCATTTAAGCCGTGGTCACTGATTACCCATTTAAAAAAATTCCGTTTAGACGCAAAACCGCTTGCACCCCAGAACGTGCCGCTGTCCGCTGTCTTTGTGAAACTATAAATATTGTATTCACACTGTGTTTCAAATTGCTAGGGTTAGTTATAGTTTAAAAATTTTACACTCCATGCGCACGATATGCGCCAGAGATGGTCGCCTCACATGTGGGCTGCTCTGGTGGTACTGGCAATTGGAGCACCGGCTCCTGTGCTTCAGACTTTACTTTTAACATTTCTCAGAATTGAATTCAGAGGGCGAGAGCTCATCATCCGAAAGAGAAGCTTAGTGAAGTGCCTCCGGTACGGAGTCTGAGACCGCAGGAATGCCGTGGAAGCGGATGCACCAAAATGAAACCGAATGAAAGAAAGGAGACAACTTTTCACCTTCAATGTATCAGACTGATGCTTCTCACACGTGCGCAATCACACATGCCCCGACTTATTCTTTGTACTATCCCTTTGAAAAAAATAATGCGACCACTGGGGCACGTCTTTGGAAAAAGAAGCTCAACTGCAAAAGGGTTAATGGTAAAATTTTCTGTACCAACATAAAAACTAGGTCCGACTAGAAACTGTGTCCTACATCTTTGTTCCAAAATAATAATTTGGAATGCATGGTACGACCTTTAACTTGGATTTTTTAATGAGCATTGTGCAGTTTGCTCTCTGACCAATGACAAAGAGCAGACAAATCTGTAACTGCACATATTGCGATGCACACGATCAAAACAACTTGGGATGGCCCCAAGCAACAGCCAATTAACTTTTCAACTGATGAAACCAATCAAAGTCAGAACGTAAAAATTATCTCGCTTAGAATTTTGCAAATACCGTATTTACTCGCAGAATGAACGCACTTTTTTCCCCGAAAAATCGATGCAAAGTTAGGGGGGGCGTTCATTACGCGAAGTAAAATTTTTTCGTCCGTATTTACTCGCATAATGAACGGACTTTTTATCATGAAAAATCCACGTAACTTCTTATCTCTTTGCGCGCGGCGCGGGTCCCGTAACCAAACTGGGATGTGCAAAAAAGAAAAAAAAAGCTCTTCTTGTTTTCTTTTTCTTAGCTCCTTGGGTTTTTTTTTGTTTTTGCCGCCTGTTTTTCGCAAGCTGTTTCGTTTGCTTAGGCGAGGGCTTTCCCGCTCATCTTTCTTATCTCCTTGCGCGCGGCGCCCAACGCGCGACCCCCCCCCCCCCCCCCCCCTCCGTAACCAAACTGCGCTGCAAAAAAAAAAAAAAAAAGGGAAACGCTCCTTTTTGTTTTTGTTCTTTTTCTCTTAATTCCATAATTTCTCTTTTTTTTTGCAGTCTTTCGCAAGCTGTTTCGTTTGCTTAGAGGGCTTCTCCTTCTTATGTCCTTGCGCGCGGCGCGCGACTCCAAAGTCCAGACTGCGCTGTGAAGAAAAAAAAAAAAGAAAAAAAAAGCTTTTGTTTGTTTTTTCTCTTAGTTCCTGGTTATTTTTTTTTCTTATTGCCGCCTTTCGCAAGCTGTTTCGTTTGCTTAGAGGGCTTCTCCGCTTCTCTCACCTCCTCGCGCGCGGCACGCGACCCCGAAGTCCACACTGCGCTGTGCAGAAAAAAAGAAAAAAAAAAAGCTCTTCATGTTTCTTTTTCCTTGCTTCCGTTGGCTCTTTTCGAATTTTTTTTAACGCCTTCTGCAAGGCGTTTTGTTCGCCCATGCTGCCCTTTCATTTGTGACCTCGCTGCACCAGGATAGAAAAGTGCGTTCATTTCGCGCGCGTGGGGGGAGGGGGTCAAAATTTTGACGTCGGAGTTGGGGGTGCGTTTATTACGCGGGTGAAAAAAAAAGTAGAATTTTTGTGAGCCGACTTGGGGGGTGCGTTCATTACGCGAGTGCGTTCATTGTGCGAGTAAATACGGTAGATCTGAAGAAAGAGTAAGCCACTATACCAGGGGTGGCCAACTTGCGGCTCTTTGTGGGTCCAAGCATCCCCCCTTCCCCTCCTGTGTGCTTAAAGGCCGACCTACAAAATCATTTTCCGCGGGAGAAGAGGTTTCCTCCTTGCCACCCAGAAAGGAGGAAACCCCTTCTCCTTTCCACGGAGACTAGCTTCCGGACCCGCCCTTTTCAGGGGAGGAGGAGGAAGGAGTGCGAGAGGGGAGGGAGCGAAGGTCGTTGGGGAGCACTTTCCTACCCTGCGGAAAATGGTTTCGTAAGTCGGCCTTTAAGACGAAAAGAGATCTAGAATTTAAAAATAGCCCACAATCTTGGCAGCCCAGTATTACACTACGTACACATAGATGTCTTCAGTGGCTCTGTTTCCTTTATTGTTCGAGAAAGAATTTCGAGCCGTATGCACATAACGGGCGTCAGGGGCAGTGACTGGCTCGTGAACCATGCATTCCTTATTGCTTAACAGTTGAGGAAACATTCTGTTGCCTGGTGTCATTTGTTGTAGTCGACAGTTAGACCTGTCCCCTTTAAAAGAAAGCGCTGTTCCCTCCATATTATTTCTTGTTAAAAGTAGCCCCCTCCCCCCTCCCCTTTGTGTTTCCTGCGGCTCTCTGAACTTTTGTGGCTTTGTCTGCGGCTCTAACCTCAGGTCCCTCTGGCCACCCCTGCACAATCCTAAATAGGTTTTCAAGTTAATCTTTTTATAGCACTACTAACTCCATCTACGTACCCTAGGCACTCTAAAAACTCAAAAGTGTGCTCATGATCTGCCCATTATCCTATAATAAGGTGATCAAAGATTGTGACGCACCTCTTTTCCTGAGAGGAAGGAACACATCACACTTTTTGATCATATTTTTAATAGGAAATAAGCCATGAAAAATCATAATTTTTACTTTCTTAGTCCACTCGGAGGGCATAATGCACAAAAAGTTTCAGTATCCCACGACATTCCTTCAAATATTGCAGCGTCGTTTACTTTATTTTGTGCACCGTGAAATCCTATAAGAATGCCCACCCAAAATGAAGAGATAAATGGTGAAAAAACATGGGGTGGGCTATATTTGGGGACGCCAGAGCGAAACTTCAAGAATTAAATCTTAAGCACAGGGGCACCCGCTACAATCCACGTGACGTGGGAACTAACACCGCAGACCGCAGACAGCAAATTTGCGTTTCAAGATGCAATAAACACGTGAGAATTTGCTACAAGCTCCTGTGTCATGGGAAAGGATACCGCAAGTGGCCGACGCAGCGGGTTCGCGTTTCACGGTGCAAAGGACCCGCGGAAGCCCGCCGAGAACCTGCACCTTACGGGAACGAATACCGCAGATAGCGGACACAACAGATTCAAGTTTTATGGTACAATACACATGAGGGAACCTGCTACAATCTTGCCCGTCACAAAAACCTATATTGCGATCAGATCGCAAACGCAAACATGGAAAAAATGCTACAAACTCGCTTGTCGTGAAAACAAATACCGCAGATCGCGGATGCAGCAGAATCACGTCACGATGCAATACGCGCGTGATAACAACTCGCGCGTGTTACAGCTAGGAATCGATCTTGTGCGCGCAGATCGCGGACAAAAACACAGGAATCCGCTACAAACTCGGGAACGGATACAACACATCGCGAATGCAGCAGATTCGCATTTCACAATGCACCATACACGTGGGAACAACTCGCGTGTTATGGGAGCCAATATCAGGCATGCAGATCGCAGACAAAAACGTGGGAACTCGCTACGAACTCGCTTGTCAGACGTACCGGTACCGCGGATCGCGCCGTTCATGCGTGATTCCTGTCGGACATCGCTTGACGTCCAACGGGAATTGGGGGGTGGGCGATGTTTTGGAATTTTTCTGATACAGATATCTAGCCAGAAAAACGGAATGGGTGATCCCTTGGGAGAGGGCGTCCTTACGGGATTTTACAGTGTATAGAGTTACTGCCATAAAATGCCAAGCTCAAAAACTCTCTGCCGACCCTTTGAACTGCCCTACAGCCATAGCCGCCGACAGAATGAGAATGGCAAGGCATGTCTTTTGAACGTCCAGCCTCCAGCCCCCTCTGTCGCACTTTGGCGGCGGGCATGAGCTCGAGGTGCACGACACGTCGAAGCGCATTCAGAGGACGGAGGCCCACGCTGGACAACAACTCTCCTCCCCGTTGTTCTCACCCTGTCGGCGACAATAGCAGAGCAGCGCCCACAGATCGACCCGCTCACCTGGGGAGCGACGAGGGGGTGGTGCGGGGGCGGTGGAGAGGGGGCGGGGGCAGGGGAAGAGCAGGCGGAGGAGGAAGGGGAGTCGCTGAGGCCCCCGTCGCACCCCCCCGCCCCGGACGAGGGGAAGTCGGCGCTGCGCAGGAGGTTCTCGCTCTGCATCTTGTTCTTGAGACAGGCGATGTAGCGGTTGCAGAAGTCCTTGCACAGCTCCTGAACCTTCTCCAGCTCCAGCAGGTGGATGCGCAGCACCTGGATCGCCTTCACCATCTGCACGAGGGAAGGAAGAGCAACGCTCGCTTCCGACATCTTGCGGGAGGTGAAACCCTTCGGAGGCTTAACAAATTAAGCGTGGCCTTTCTAATCACTTAAAGAAAGGGAAACGATCCGGTGGCTAGAGTCTCTGACAGGATGGAAGTGGTACAAAGGAGTTTCGGTTGTCCTGCCTCCAGCGCGAGCTTTGTGCCTTCGATAATGCTTCGGCGTTTAGTAAGCGTGTGTGCGCAGCAACGAGTGTGTGCTGGAGGCTGGGCGTTCCAAAGAGACGCCCAGCCGTTGTCACCTCGTCAGCGACAATGAGAAGCATGGACGATGAACAGCTTTAGTTCTCCTCGGGCGATGCTCTTTTTAGGAATTTTGGACGAAGTATGAGAGAAGAGAAAGCCCGCAATGAATAAAACATTACACGAGTACACTTAAGACTGCTTACATGTGGGAAGGCGAAAGCCAGCCAAGGACGACGTCTAGGACGATCTCAAGGACGACGCCTAGGACAACTTTTAAGGATGACCGCAAGGATCATGTCGAGAATCACGCCTAGAGGATGACTTTTAGGACGACGTCTAGGACGACCTCTAGGACAACTCCAAATACGACGTCTAGGACAACGTCAAGAACGATGCCTAGAGGACAATGTCTCGGAATTCACTTTGATTCTTCTTAATTCGCCTTGTCATCCTTTTTAAATTCATTGCCTCTAAATCACCTTAGTTGTCACGTAAACGTTTTGGTACCTTTCATGTCGCCGCCGTGTTTTCGCTCAAGGACTTTGAAGGTTTAATGAACGATGAGACATATAAGGCTTTCGCCTTCATAAAATCAGTTCAATGCTCGCACAGAAGCGGTCACCCGAAGCTTTTGTTGCCTCGACTTTGTTTCGGAAAACAGTCACCAGAAACATTCTGCAGAGTGGCTCTGCAACATATTTATGAAGTATTATTTCATTCTTAATAACAGGTACTTTTGGTACTCTGTGTCAGTAAAATTGGTGTCGCCTAACTAATGTTTTTCTCCATAACTGCAGATTGCATGTATGGACCTTCTCCTATTCACGCTTAACTCAGTGCTAATTCGATGCTCATGCGCTGCTGACTTAGCATTTTATTTCCAGTGATTTCTAACAGGGTGAAAAAAAGGCACTGAAACAGCATTTAATTTACTGCACTTTTGAACGGGGTGAGAAAAAGAAATTGGCAATAAGTGGTTTCAACAGTGCGCTTTTGTGTTTCATACCTGAGTGCTGCAAGTCACTGCAATGAAAACAAGCCTAAATTTATCCACCCTTGAAGCATGTCTTTGCTTACTTCATAAACTTATCACTCTCATCCTAGTGTTAGAAGTTGATTCCTGCACACTCTTGAACGGTCGCCTCGTCGCCTTAACAACTCCTGCTATTTTCAGCGCATATTTGGCTCGACTAACATATTTAACGAGTCGCTCCTGCCACTCCCGACTGTAAACCGGAACAGTCTCCCAGAAGCGATCATTTTGATTCCTGAGCGCGTGGATTTGAAAAACTCAATGTTATTGTTTACAATACATTAAGCTTTATTAGGAGGGTGAATTCTCTTTGTTGTTATTTGTTCATTGACTTGTAGTACTTATTGTATTGCCCACTCCTTCGATAGCAGGCCCTCAAGGATTAAATAAATGAAAGAAATAAGAGTGTATCCCGCGCCTGTAATCCCAGTGACTCATCCTCACTTAAGAACAATAGGTTCTATGATATGCTAGATCCTCAAATGGTAAATGTCCTCGTTTCCATTAGGACGTAATCTCTGTCAAAGGCAGAGTGAGCTACATCAAAGAGGTGACATAACCAACTTTGAACGACTCATGTTGCCCGGGGTGCTGCAACTGCCAGCGCAGAATATCATAAAAATCGTCTACCGTAAAATCCCGAGAGATGCCCCACCCCGAAAGATAGCCCACCCCTATGTTTGGCTTGATTTGCTATATTTCTTTTAAAAACCGAAAGACAGCCCATTCTTAGTAGTAGCACTGTTAGGATCAAAAACTGCCTTGGCGTAAATGTGGCTAGTTAGCTATGACCCCTCACCACAATAACAAGCTTGCAAGGGGCACTAGACCTAAAAATGACATTTCTTCAACTTTTCTCGATTGTACACCGAAAGTTAGCTTACTCCATATTTTCACCCGATTTGTTCTTCGTTTTAGGTGGGCTATCTCCCAAGATATTACGGTAACTGAACAAGAAACGAAAGTGGCAAAAAAAGACAAACGTGGGAAAACAACCTCAAACAATTCACGGATAATTTCAATATTCCTCGAACGGCCTAGTTTTTTGTCCCCACAGGGGCATGCAAGCCACGTCATAACCAGGGATGCGCACCTCCCTCCAAAATGCAGTTGACCCTATAATAAGTTATGTAAGCAATATGACCAACTCATCCTCAAATAAAGCTTCCTGGCTACAACGTTCATTTCCCCTGTAGCTGCCGTAGTGTATCTCCTAGGCCAATCCCACGAAGAAAAAAGAAAGGGAGCAGCTCCACGGTGCTCCCTCCTCACCAGTCCGTCGACTTCTGGATCGTCGCTGAAGAAGGGCTTCCGGTCCTGCTCCTGGTGCTGCACGAAGGCCTGGATGTCGCTGCTGAAGCTCTCCGAGCAGGGGGCCTCGGCGCTCTGCGTGGCCCTCTCGCACTTCTCAAACAGCAGGGCCAGCAGGGGAAACAGGGGGTGCCTGCACCACGCAATGGGGGGGCAGCTGTTACCAGAGCTGGAAGGTGACTAGCTTAAAGTGCCGCATCCACTGCCATTCTTTTTTGCCTGGAAGTTTTAGCACGCGAGCACTGCTCAAGGTATACTGATCATATTTTTCCTTCCTTTACGTCTATCAAACAATACAGGTATGGGGACAACCTAGGTTTCTGCAATGTATGTGTTGCACTATCGGAGGTCACATTTTGTTGATATTACAAATGTAAAGTTTTCTCCTTTTTTTTTTTTTCTTTTTTTTTTTTTCAAGGCATGTTTTTGTTTTTGCATCTCATATTTTGTGTTGCTTGAACTCTTCCATGTATGCAGCAATGCACCCTCCTGTAGGCCCACATGCTGTTGAGGAGCACTGCAAAAGTACCAAATAAATAAATAAACAAAAATAACCAGTCACGATGTTAGGGACATCCTTGAAGGATAACTTGTAACTTGATTCAATTTCAGTTAGATTTGAAAATTACATTTACAAATATTCCCCATTGCTCTAAACTAAAAGGCTGACGTAGAACCTCGGTCTTCTGCAGGGAAGATAATCCTCGCTGTGCCATCCTCTCCAAAACTGCGAGGGGAGCCGCATTGGGGAAGTTGAAAGGTGGAGAGGATAAGAGGAAACGAGAGAGTGGAAAAAAGTGGAATGCACGAAGTGTACGTCGGTCTTTAATGACAAGGGCTACACGTTCATGTCAGTGCCTCGAAGTGTATCGTGAGCAATGTGTCGAACTGGAGCAGGAACAAAATGATGCCTTTTCTGCTACTTACAAGCGAACAATGGGTCAGAAATCAAGTAGCACCCACAGATGGACACCGTGGAATATTTTACAGGTAACTGCAATGTAACTTGGTCACTTTACGCGGGTAATTGACTCTGTATAGCTAGAAAGGTTCGTAAGCCTTTAACCCCACTTGTGGCATGCCGTCAAATGCCGAGAACGTACCCACTCCAAATTTGGAGTCAATCTTGAAATACCGGGACTGGGTGCTTGTTAGGTCTGACTGCAAAAATGCAGGAGGGGCACAAGGTAGGGTGGGCTTCACCTCCTTGCACCGGCATGCGCGCGTCGAGCTTCACCGTTTTGTGCAGGCATGCCCGGAGAAGCTACTGACGCGGAGGAACATAAGGTGGACGCACGATAGGTCCCTTGCTTATTAGCACAGAACGTGTTTAAAGGGGTTAGGACATGAAAATTGAACAGGCAAATTATTCTTGAAGTGGAATGCTCATAGGTTACTTAGTATAGACCGTTTTATCGTGAGTAGCGCCATTTTGAGAGCGAGAGAGAAAAGGGGAAAGGGCTACCGACGCTTTCACCCTTTCTGGTTGTGTAGAGAGAGTGAAAGTCCTGGATGAGAGTCTCGGCCGGTGTTGGGTGTCTGCTGTGCCCCAACTTCGTTCGCGCATTCTTTTCTGTTTTAAACTCGCAAACTTAATTAGAGCAACGGGCTTCGATGGCAACAGTCCCCCGGTCATCGGGACACCATTGCTCGGTCATAGGCTGCACGAATAACGACAGAAAGCGTCGAATACTGCCCAAAGAGCTCATAGCTTGCATGGAATCCGGCAAGGCAAGTGCGGCTGCAATGTTTTGAAGCTCCACCGCTTTCCGCATAACTGGAAATGATGAACCATTCATAAATTTTTGCTTGCAATAGGCCTATTTCAACACAGCCGTTTTTAGTCATGAACAAGCGATACACGAAACGGGAACCTCAATTAACTTTTGTAAACACCCGGAGCTGCTACAGATTGTTTTGCTGCGCTGCTTTTATCTTGCGTGTCCGTGTTCTTATATTTCCTTATGGATGAACGACGAAGACGTTCTAGATGTGCTTATATCGAACCGCAGAAAGCCTCGAAGCAGCCACGAATTGTTTTACTATTTGATACAATATTTTGAGTACTAACCTCCAATTTCTATCACTGACACGTTCGCTGCCGCTGTTCTCCCCGTCGCCGCACTGGCGGATGCCATGACTCGAACAAAGAAACGTGCACACTGGGCTCGAAGACGCAATCGCAACACACGAGACGTACCCTGCAGCGACTATCCAGCGCTTCAAAGCGTCCAATCAACGGAAACAACCCATCAGCAGCACTGCAAGGAGCGCTTTTGCCGGCTCTCTGGTATCGCGCAGGAGATCGCGATTCAGGAAAACCAATAGAACTACCTTTTCAACAATTTCTAGCCTCACCCGGCGGCAAAAATGAGCCTTCAACTAAGTGTTGTAAGTGATGAAATCGAGTCAGTCACCACTGCAAATTATCAATATTAAGATAAATTCAGTTACAAAATTTTACAAGCTGAAACAGCAATTATCACGAGAAAACTGGCATGCACCTTGCAGGCGTACCCCATGTTCATTGGCGGTACAGCGTTCGGTGCGCGCTCCATTCACAAGATGTTCTGAGCACAGTCGAGAGGATGGCGTTTAGGAAACGTCTTTTCAGTTTACGGACGCAATCCACTGCTGCCAAGACCGGGGTCATGTGGAAAGCGATGGAGCTTAAAGACATTGCAGCCGCTTTCGCCTTGCCGGGCTCCTTGCATGCTACATAGGTCCTTGGGCAGTATTCGACGCTTTCTGTCGTTATTCGTGCACCCTATGACCAAGCAATGGTGTCCCGATGACCGGGGGACTGCCGCCATCGAAACCCGTTGCTCTAATTAAGTTTGAGAGTTCAAAACAGAAAAGAAAGCGCGAACGAAGTTGGGGCACAGCAGACACCCAACAACGGCTAAGCCTCCTCATCCGGGACTTTCTCTTTCTACACAACCAGAAAGGGGGAAAGTGCCGGTAGCCCTTTCCCCTTTTCTCTCTCGCCCTCTTTCAGTAAAACGGTCTATATACACCAAGTTTCACAATTCTTAACACTCTAGTAATTGCAATAATCAATTTATGAATGTTGATCGTTTTCGTCTTTCACCCAAACAACACTGCTCAAGCAAGTCGCACCGTGCACGTTGCCCATAAACCACATGACCGTCATATTTGGTTAAATGCTCGCTCATTCTAGGCACCAACATGCTTGCTTAAGCTCGCCTTGCCATGGTACAATATCACACTCTCATGCTGCTTGGCTACTCAAATGCATACTCTTGCTCTCGTTTCCTTGCCTTTTGATATTCCACCCTGCATGTCGTCGTCACTGGAGCCAGTCGCGGGCCGGTCGAAGTCAAAATGACCAGCTTCTAGCATCTCTTGTTAACAATCACTCTTATCGCTGCTGCGATCGGTGTCGAAGATTCTGACGAAGCGAGCGATGCCATAGACGTCATTGTCTCCAAACTGCGTGCTCGAAATGCGGAAGGCAATTGTGGAAGCTGATGCGCGAGACGCTGAGAGATCCAAGACTGCGAATATGTGCAAGGGGACGCCGCACGTTGGTCGGGTGACGTCACCCACCAAACAAAAATTGCGGCATTTTCGAGTGGGGCAAATCCGAGGGTCCCGCACATAAGAGGGGCCATTCCTGGGAGGGTCAACTTTTGAACCATTCCCTCAAATTGATTCAAACTTTCAGGTTGAATTGGGCCTCATTAGGATTGATAACATCTAAAGTTTCAGTCTTATAGGTCAATTCTACAACATACAATGCTTAACAAGCTCCAGAAAAAAGTTGCTTTATTAAGAAATGTATTTAAAAAAAAAATAATTGCAATCTACAAAATGTTTGGTTTAATATGAAGTAGAATATCCAGTGCAAGCTACGGTAAGAATTGTAAAAAATGCAATTCAAGAAGAAGAAAAAAAACAGTAACACCCAAAAAGAGCAGAAGATTTTAACAAATTTCTGTGTTTTAAAATATTAAGTTTTTGTCATGAAGAATTTAGCTTTTTTCAGATTATAAGTACCTTAACTTGTTCCTCAGAAAATTTCAGTCCAGGATACCACAGAATGAAATCTTTACACTTTCAAAATGACAAATGATACATTTCTTCATACCACATTTCCTACCAAAAAGTGAAACTGAGAAAAATGCATTTGAAGTTTCAACTTTAGGTTTCTTTCTTTTCTACGAGTCCAAGGTAGGCAAAATTCACCTGGAGCATTGTTAGCACCTTCATCCGAGACTTCATTGTACCCCTGGCAATAGCTACCAGTTTGTGACGTTTGTAGGCAAGCTAACTTTTGTAGCAGGCATTCCTTGACAGATAAACTAGCAAGAACTAAAAGGCAAATCATACCAAGGAAGAGCAGCAAAGCAGGATTATGATCTGAAGTGGAAGATACTGTGAAAGGGTGTTAGCGAAGATGGCACAATATCACATCACCGGGCAGGACCAATCGTAAACCCCGTTGTGGGTCTCAACCAATAAGATTGCTCATACCAAATTTTCAGGATTTTTTCTGTTTGGATGTAAAGGGTTCTCCTCAATGATACTTTTAAACTTTGAAAGCCTCTATGGGCTAAATCTGGAGTCAAGTAAACTTCCGCAAACCACGTTATCCAATGAGGGTGAGATGTTCTCACTATGCTAAACAAGCATAGTGCACTGAGCTCTTGCCGTGCAGCCTCTCCGGAGTTTGCCCGTGCAGGGTTTGCGGCCAGGCCCGCACCTTTTACCGGTGGCCGGGCTGCTGTGTGCGCCGCGCCGCCATGGAGAGGCTTCTCTGGTGGCGTTCCTGGGAACTAAGCCGTGCGGGAGCCAATGGGAGCTTCGTTCCTTGAAACTATAATGCGCACCAGCCAATGGGAGCCTGTCCATTGGATTTCTGCTACAGCGATGACTCAACGCTAGTGATTCCCCGGGCTCTGACAGTCGGCGTCCCCACTACCTGTGGACGTCCGTCTGCCGAGAGCTCTGGCCCCGAACTCCTGCGACTACGGGTAGCGGCGTGAGCTCGTCCGACCAGTGACGACTCCGCTCGCCATTACCCCTTTGGCTCTCAGGTCGGCGAGCGCTGCGGGCACACTGTGTCCACGGCTCGCTTGACCGCAGTGTCTTGTTGGGGACCCCTGGTACTCAATAAACGCTGCTGGATACCGGGATCATCGTTGTTGGCATGGCGTTGGCCTAACCCGGCGCGGCGATCACCCTCGCTGGTAGCCGTCAGCCGCGCGGTGGGACGGGCATCGGATTCCCCTTTGAGCACCAGATTGATCTCTGGACGTGGAAGGTACGTGATCGGCCCTCCTTTTACTCCCACAGTGTTTACAGGTAATTTTAAAATGACTTTGTGCAGAAGATGTGTGACAACAAGGTTGGGCAGTAGCGAACGCAGTCAGCGCAGTCACGATACGCGAGTTTCAGTTTTGAGGCCTCATCAGCGCAAACCTGCAAGTGTGTGTTATTGAAAAAAAAGGCAGTAACACTGTGTTCTATATTCCCTCTGCGAGTCACCATTTCGTGCGAGAAAATGAATGCAACGGCTGTTGAGCCCGAGATAACAATAATATTGTAAATATGCATGTTCTTCGATTTGAGTCCTTGACGCCAGCTTTACATGAAAGTGTGCGTCCCATATTCGCAACGTCTCGTTTTTAACTTTTAAAATGACGGTTTCCAATGTTAGGACATATTAGACGTTTAGGAAGATGGGAAGAGTTAGGCATGTCGGATGTGCAATGTAAAGCATGATAGTTTTGTGTTTCGTTTTATGCGGAAAGATGAAAACCACAAAGTATTGCTAATTGAAAGCAATATTATTTTGTTCTGTCACAAACTACTTGTGAGCCGAAAACAGGATTGCTAGAATGGCGAGGAATGCTTTAAAGTACTTGTCAGTCAATTTTTCAACTACCTCACTGCATCAATGGAAAGATCAAATGAAAATCATGTCATCCTGAATGTACCACACCATTTGTCTTTTGCACAGTGGACTGCGGCATTTTTGCGTCAATTTCTGGTCGATCTTTTGTTCTCGAGGCCGAGAATATTGAAGAGAACCACACTCACAAAGGCTGACATGACAAGCACACAGTTACCACGTCGCCTACTCCGTACCTCGCCGTAACCGCTGGTAGTACTACACTGTAAGATGGCAATTGCACAAACGCACGGCTTCCACTTGCAATCCTTGGCCCCGTCACGTTCTTGCACGTGCGCAGACGTTCGCCGAACTATTGCCTAATCTTTGCCAAACTTTCCTTCAAAAGTTTGGCATTTGTCGAACTTTGCCAAATCTGAAGTTCGGCAGATTCGGTCCATCACTTATAAAAACTAAACAAGATGAACACAGAACCAGGAAACAGGTACTGGGTGTGCGAAACTGCCTTCTTCAACTCTTTTCGTGTAGAACACTCGTGTAGTGGGACGGTCCAACTCACTTGTAGACTGCCCTCTTGTCCGCCTCCAGCTGGGCCTGTGCCTGGGCATCCGCCGAGGGCGGGGAGGCTGGGGAACGTGCGGGGGGTGGGGCCGCGCTGCCCTCCCCCGCCGAGCCCCCCTCCTCCTCCTCCTCGTCCGTGCAGTGGGCTGCCGGCAGGGAGGGGCACTCCTGGAAGGCCGGCATGCTCACTGCAGTGCTGCCCCGGGGGGACGGCTCCTGCATCCCTAGCACCTGCACAGGCGGGGAGGGTTTCGTTGGCCATACCCACAAGACACGACGGCGACAAGAAGGAACGACCGATTTCGAAGTGGTCGTGCTGGCTTGCAATGTGTTTTGCTATAGTCATTAACACCCTTAAGGGGCAGTAAAGTGGTTTTTAAGATTGTCTATTTAGGGTCATAACCCGATCTACGGGCCCTGCGCATTCTAAGCCCAAGATTACGTCGGCGCGTGGCCGATGTGCTTATCAAAAACGGAATCAAGGATGGCAAGACGCACCTTTCTCTGCGATTTGGTGCAGGAACCAGAGGGCACCGTCGGATGCGAGACGGCCAATTGCGAGCGCTCGCTTCCGGCGCGTGATTTGCACGCATTCAAAAATAGGTTCGCTGTCGGTCAGCAGTGAGCACCCCCGCCACGCGGAAAGCGAGCGCTTGCGATTGTCTCACGTCCGACTTTGACCTCCGGTTTCCGCGCCAAATTGCAGAAGAAGGGGTGCATCGCGACCCTGTGGTTTCGTTTTTGGTAGAGAGATTGGCCACACATCTATGTAATCGTAGTTTTCTTTTAGAACGCTCAAAGCTTGTAGATCTAGCTACGAGCATAAGTAAACAATCTCGGAAACCATTTTGGTGCCCTTTTAAAAAAAACGCTGGCTGTACCTTATTATGTCCATTCTTCTTGTTTTGTGATTCGTTCTTGGCCGCCAATGCCGCAATCTCGTTGGCTGAGGAGTGATAATGAGATGTTCAGGATTCGCCACACCCGGTGTATCCCAAGCCGTGAATGACTATAGACGCTTTCGCATTTCTCGTTGGTGTCCAGCCCTTTTTCTTTCACCGTGGCACTCCCGAACATAAATGAAGAGGTACGCTGCGCCTCGCTTTGTTTTCCTTTTGTTCTGCGTTGTACACGTCCCTTCGAAACAAGAACAAAAGCTCGTCCCTTCTTAATTTTGGAACAAGTTCCAGTGGTTCGAAAGGAAAGCATTCTTGTTACAGCTCTAAGGTTGAAGCATGTCATTGCATTAATGTCGCATTTGCATATTTTAATGAAAGTGGTGCTGGATGATCCGCAAATAAAATAAAGCAAGCAAAAATATCCTCGTCGAACTGAGTGTCGTGTTCCCATGATTGAATTTGTTCCAGGCCCTTGTTTTCGACTATCTCTTGGACATTTCCCCATCCCTTAAAGTCGGAGGTTGAAATAGACAACAAAAAAAACTTTCAGCCTTTCCACTCTGGTGAAGAAGGAAGACCAGCGAAGCTGTACTATGATGGGACGACCCCAAGGACGACTCTTCGATGACCTCAAGGACGATTTCTTGGACGACCTCAAAGATGACTTCTTGGACGACCTCAAGGACGACGCCTAGAGGACGACGTCTAGGACGACCTCAAGGGCGACTTCTAGGACGACCTCAGGGACGACATCTAGGACAACCTCAAGGATGACGCCTAGGACGATCTCGGGGACGACATTTAGGACCACCTGTAGGACGACCTCTCGGACAACCTCAAGAACGACCTCAAGGACAACGTCTAGGACGACCTCAAGGACGACGCCTAGAGAAATTTAGCCTTTTTACTCTAGTGAAAACCAGAGTTGAAAGGTTGGAAAGGTTGCCGCCATCTATGAGCGAGGCCGGCAAGCCGATTGTCTGGTTGCCGCCGTCACTCATAGATGGTGGTAGCTGCCCAGAGTTTTGTGTCGACATTTGTTTGGTACTGGACATGATCCTGGGGAACCTAGCCCTTAGCAGCTCCACTGTAATGAAACTAAATACCTACTAAATTTGAGCAAAATTACATATAAACAAAAAAAAAAAGGAATGCTGTTTTTCTTGATAATGTAGTGTTTTAATGTTTTTCTTCTTGACAATGTAACGAGTTCCCGTTCCAGTTCTACCACAGTAAGATGGAATAGTAACATTCCTCTATTCTTAAAAAAAAAAAAAAAAGAATGCGTTCCAGGAACATCATTTCTTGGAACGCCGAGTCATACACTACTGGTTTTGTTCCATATTTTGAGCTCTTCTATTTTTCAACACCATTTTGTTGCTTCATCCCCATCCCATCGCTGTGCCCGACAGTAGTTTGCCCAAGGACCCACATGGTATTCCAAGTGCTCACGCTGTCCCCAAGGGGGGGAGGGGCAAGGCAGCAAAACAAGATCTGCCTCGAGTAAACATAAACACGCACATTTTTCTAAAGTTCTTACCTGAGAACACAAGCACTTTTTTAGAGCTCAGCTCTTAGGTACCCGTTTCGGCTTGAGCGGCGTCACCGTCGGCATAACCGTTACACATCAACGTCGGCGTCGCCGTAACCGTAACGCCTCGGCGTAACATGTCGGCGTGACGTGTCGGCATCGGGAGGGAGAAGGGGGAGGATGGAGGAGGAGGAGGAGAAAGGGGAGAAGAAGCACCGAGGAGGAAGAGTAGGGAGGAGGAGTAGCAGGGAGGATGAGGAGGGGTATACCCTCCCCTCAGTACCCTTCCCTCCTCCTCCTCAAGAGCTGCACTCTGATTCGGCGTTACTGGGAGTTGTAAACGGCTTTCATTTTTTCCCCATTCTTTTTAAAAATGAGGAAGAGATGTTGCCAACCGAAGCAAGTCAAATTTAGTAATATGAGAGAGTATCCCGCAAACACGTTTATGCGAACAAAAAATGTATTACCAGATGGAACTACAGTATGCTTTATAGTATGTTTATTAAGGCATTAGCTTTAGTACCCATATGACAGGGAAAAGCTGACGGCAACTGTCATCGACAAAACAGTGGAAAAGGAAGTGTGCCGCATAGAGAGGAGGAGAGTAGTGAAGGTCAAAGGCAAGAGGGAGGCGACGTCACAAAGCAGAAGGCAATGTGCGCGCGGGAAACCGGTGAACAGTGAAAGCAGCGTCAGGCAGCAGATGCCGCTGCTCAGCGTGCAAGGCAGACGAATGAGACAGAGGAGCGGAAGCAGCGCCTAGTTCGGCTGGCCGAAATGCGGCGTCAGAAACGGCAAGTCGACGCGTACTGCATGTGACAGAGGGTGGGGCAAAGCGGGCTTGGCAAGCTCGCTTCGCCGGAAAATATTGAAGCAAGATCCATCGGTGGTATTCACTGGCGGCCATAGCCGAGCTCGCTGCTGCTTTTGCACCACCAAGGAAAAGAGAGAGGAGGAAAGCTGCTTTTGTACCAATTTTGAGTGACGGGCAAATCTTCTGTAGTCTTCTATACTCCATGACAACTTTTCTTGGCAATGCAGTGGAAGGTACAGGCCCGCGTCCCCTCTCCCATTTTGAGTGTACGCAGGCTCTCCTCCTCCCCCATTTCCGGGGAGAGGAGGAGAGCCCGCGCACACTCAAAATGGGAGAGGGGACGCGGGCCTGTACCTTCCACTGCATTGCCAAGAAAAGTTGTCGCGGAGTATAGAGATAGAATAGCAACGTCTGGAAAAGTCTGGGACACAGAGAGGAGGGTTCCGGTGAGAAGAGTTTCTCCTTCCCCTCTTCTCTTGTGGTTGCTGGAGAGCTGACGGGGAAACTCCTCCTGAGCATGCGCTGTGAGAAGTCACCTCAAATATGGCGTCCAGTAAATACCACGTATTGGTGGATACTTATGAAATGTGTTCGCATGACCCTTGGGAAACACCACACATGTCCCCCTTTGGGAAATGCTAACGCTGACCCCGCAACGAAGCCAAAAAGAGGAAGCAAAAGATAGAGGAAGCAAAAAAGCCAAAAGAGAAAGCCATAACAGAAAAGTAAAGGGGTCAGCATTAGCATTTCCCAAAGGGGCATGTGTGTGGTGTTTCCCAAGGGTCATGATAATGCATTCCCTAAGGTCCACCAATGGATTTTCCTTTATTTTTATAACATTACGTCTGTAGCAAGTAAACATTTTTTTCGGTTTTCTTCCTTTCTCTTAGTACTGATTTTGCAACTACTATGCACATTCCCACAAAAAGGGTACATGAGGCTTCGTCAGACCAAAAGGATGGGACGGCAGAAATGGACCTCGAAAACGGGATTTCTGGTCACCCTAACTGTATGTAGTATGCACTGGTTGTATTCACCATGACTGGTGCAGTTCAAAATATGCTTCTCCATGACCAGGGTTCTGGATTTTCTGAGTTTATTTTTTGCCAAAAATTTTCAGTTTTTTTTTGTGCTTTCCTTTATTGCACACAAAATTTTGAATTTCTGACAAAATCCTGACATCATTGACCTAGGTTACCACAATCGCAAACAGTAATTAACAAGTTTAGTAAAGCAGCCTCTTCGAAGACACTGCAACAAGTTGTAAGTTGTAAATCCGAATCAGATATACTTTTACAGGCAAGAGATTTCCAGATTTTATCAGATTTATCCGGATATACAGACCCCTACCTATAACCAGAATGTAAGTATAAACATGGATTAACCTCTCATGTAATATAAAGTCAGGTATCATCAGCAACAAAAGTGTAACAAATGCACAACTCCCATGCCTTCAAAAAAAAAAAAAAATTGAAGTGCTTGTATATTACATGTATGTCACAAAACACAGAAAATTATTATATTTTTGATGCTGGGGACCAAGAAAAAAAAATTATATATTTCGGTGCAACATTTACATTGCAAAAAAGAGAAGCATATTTCGGAATCGCTCCTACCAAACTGAAAGTTTGTCTTGCGCTGTAAACATCCCACAAGTATTTTTTCGTTCTGCTTGAGGAAAGATTATTTTGTGAGATGTGTCCTATGAAGGCACTTCTAACATCGACGCCTAGGACATGTGCATGGCATTGTGCATGGCATTTTTGGGAGTTCAGTGTCCCTATAAAGCTTCCTTGTCAGCTGTGCAGATTACAATCGAGTAAAGGACGCACTTTCTCTAGAAGCTTTCATGCGCTATCTTGGTGAACAGAGGGGGCTAGGGGCCAATGCTCAAGACCTTTAATTTAGATTCTCAAAAGCGAGGGGACTTGGGCCTCAGAAGCTTTTTTTTAGGGCAAGTCTAGTTGAGCCTTTTCTATGTGGAGCGCAAGTTCGCCTGCTTCTTGCACAGGTGTGCGATGATGTCGGAACGCTGAGCTTTTATTAAGTGATTGAAAAATTAGTGGGTAGACCTCAAGGCATCCAGCATTGAGGTCTACCACTATTCCTCCAATCAAAGCCAATCAGACCTCAGCATCGTTCCGACGTCATCGCAACCTTTAAACAAGAAGCAGATGACTTTCTCTCTAGATAAGACCATGCCGTCAAAATGTTTTAAGTTTTTTTTAATTTCTAGAACACTAAATTGTACAAAAAAAAAGGAGGAGTAAAAGCTTCAAGGATTACCATGATAAACATATAGCGCTCAAGAAAGGGGAATGAAGAAATTTTCAAGAATGTGGAAACCTATGATTTGGGGAAGAACTGTTTTGCTCACTTACTGTGTTTCCCTGTTCTTAGGTGCTCACAATGGCAACACGTCTTACTTCCTTCCTGGAACTCCTTGTGTTTTATTTTATGCGATAGATGTCCCATGGAGTTTGTGCATGGCAGGCCACAAGCTGGTTAGTCTGTTTAATGTGAAATAACTATTTCATACTTCCTCAATAACTACAAGCGCAAACATGCCAATTGCAGGGAGAGGCAGTAACATAGCATATTCCCTCTCCAGGATCATAACCTGTATGTGTCTGTGACTCAAGAAAAGATGCCATGCATATCAGGCAGCTTTGAGTAATCACATGTAGCAGCTGTAGTGCACCAGCAAAATTGCACCTCTAGGGCAGGGACACTCAAGTTGCCATTTCAGACACTGACTTCTTGCAAACATGCCTACATGCTTTGCGCAACTTTATTTGCTTGCTTTAATTGTCTAACCAAAGCACAAAGGAAATGAAGCTGTTCAGACACACTTGAAAGACACTTCCTTCATTTTCTAATATACGACTTACACTTCTTGCTCCATATCTTGTTCTACATTTATAAAGCATGTTCTCTAATATGATTAAAAGAAAATGTATCTGACAAGTACTCACAAAACAGCGGCTCCGCGCGGATCACTGCTCAGCCGCTGACTCATCCGGGAATCCCATGCTCACTTGGCAGATCCCACACTTCCTGTTTTGCCCATGAACTGTTCGAGCAAGACACACCTGCGAAGAGTTGAAACAATACCACGGAGGGCTCGACGACGCCGGCCGTCCTTGGGAACGCTACGCGATGTACCAAAGCGGCGGTCCTCGATCACGACAAACTCGTGTGCCGATTCTCACGCTCACAATTTCAAAAAAGGACATCCGGACTTTTTTTTTTTCCGATTTTTTTTATTTTTTATTATGTGCTTTGTTAATTTAGACGTCGCCACACGACTCGAAATGCATATTTCAACAGAATTTGTGCTGCGCAGATGGCGAGAGCCACCTAAACAACTGATTAGAATCTTGAAACAGGTTTGCTGTGAAATCCTGTTTCGAATGAGAAATGAGCTTGGAGTGGAGAGCCGAGTTTTCAGTGAATCGACGTCGAGAACCGATTCAAATCTTGGCTCCATTAATTGTTTTTTGCAGGTCGATTCACGTGAAGGTGGGAGATACTTGCCCGTAGCAATTGCACACCGCAGAACCCAGCGAATTCTCGAACGCTTGTTGTGTACAAACACTCCGACACGTTGAGTTCGATGCGACGCCCCTTCCCCCGACGAATTTGCATGAACCGTCGCGGAGACACGTCCGTGATCACAGTCGTGATATCGCGATCTTTCCATCTCTACCAAACCGCCGTCTCCTGTGCAAAAACTAAACGCGGACTGCGAAGAGGAAGAAAAGAGGCGGCCGCGTTGAAAGGTTCCGACAGGACGGCGGGAAAGCAGCATCTGTCAATTTGCTCCGGTAAACTCCTCCTTTCGCCTGGAAGTTGCACGCTTCGCAGCGTCTGCGAACGGATATCTGCGGATCTCGGCCCGCAAAGCCCTCAGTTTTCGACGGATGAGCCGGCCGCGAGCATCGTGCGGAAGTTGAGAGGGGCATTTCGCGGCACGAGAGGTAATTCACTCGTTTGAGTGGCAGCTTACCAAGGTGTCAGTCTTCGTCAAAAATGGCGGCGCCAATTACAGAAAACTACAGCCCACCTCAGATTGACGCTTGTGACGTCACCGAGAGACTCGGCGGGGATGCAGACTTTGAGCGAACCAGCCCAAAAACCTTCCCTTATAACTTCACGACCACCCAAATATTAATTAAATTTATTTTATTTATCGTTTATAATGTATTTTTATTTCAATAATCTTTATATAAGGTGCGTTTTACAACTTCTTTTAGAATACATGAGTACGAAATCCCCCTTCCCGTTGCCGGCCATCGTAAGCACGTCCTCCGGGCAGAATTTGCTGTTTTTGACATGTAATGCGGTGTATCGAGTGGCGAAAGAATAATGTAGCAGGGCCGGAAACACTACCTATCCTACGGAATAGTGAAATGTATCGAGATATGTGGTCAATGCTAGTCGGAAAAGGGCAGTTTGCGGGGCGAAACGCACGTTTCCGCACAGAGGGGAGCGAAAGGGGCGTAGCATATCTCCGCAGTGGGCTGGGTAACGATTCGCGACTGACAGGAATTAATTCCTCGCTTTGCCCCCTTCGCCTTGGTGAATACGCCAGAGGAGGTGCATAGTCGCACCCGTAGGAGGGGGAATGTTTCCTATCAGGAGCGATGCTACTTTGAGCGGGCTACGAGATAAAAATTTCAGGCGCATAACAGCATTTTTCGCTTTGTTTGCTTTCTCTTTGCGGCTTTTTGGGCGTGTACCTTTCTGACGCGCTCGCGGAACACACTTCTTCGACTTGCGCGATTAACGAATCATTTTTGGTGGAATATTTTTGATGTTCGAGGAGGGATCTCGCTGGGCAGCCCGGTGATTTTCGCATGTGTAGTATTCCGTCTTTTCTCTCCGGTACCACACGCGGGCAGGAGTATGCAGTAAAAGTAGGATCCAAACTTCGCAAAAATTACTGCCCTATGGTTTCATACGGGTTTGATCTCCACCATCTGCGTTTTTTCTTCTTTTCAGTGCCTTGGTTTATTAAAACGTTAAAACTTCAATTTTTTTAACATTTAATAGAGCACATAAAATGGACATTTCCTCAACGGGTAAAATTCATTAATAATAATAATAATTTTTATCTGCACGAGAAAGTTTGCCCGCTCACTCAGCGACGCGCAAGGCTAGACAGAAACTGGACAGAAAGGTTAGTACCCTTAGTACCTTACGCATGTGCTATCTAACCTCGGGGTGTACCAGGGGTGCTTACCTCAAGACTGCTTAGGGGTGTTTTTTAGGGGTTTATTCCCTCCCCCCCAGATTCGGTGTTTTTCGGTGTCAAGTTCTGGGGTCAGAAAAACAATCGAAGTTTATCGGGACTTATTTGTTTCAAAAAATAAGACACAGGTCTCCCGACCTGTGTCTAAATACATAGAAAAAACGTAATTGTGCCCTAAAAAAAAAAAAAAAAAAAAAAAAAGGATGTGGTTTTAAGGAATGAAACAGCCTCACGGACAGGTGCGGGTTCTATTTAGTTTTGACATTAAGTAAAAGTGTAAACACAAATTTTCATCCCGCGTAGCTTGGCTTTTCTAAGTCATGGACAGCTCCAGTGATTTCCCTACACACACCCTAAGTAAAGGGGGAGGGGGGGGGGGGTGTACTCTCTCTTGTTTTTCTGAAGGCACCCTTTTACTGTGACACCGACACGACCCCCTAAAAATTTAGCCCCCCCCCCCCCCCCCCCCCCCAATTTCTGGAAAATCGGTTTCACCAATTTTGATAAATCCGTTTCAGGGGCTAATTATCGGTGTATGATCGGTATTTACCGAAAACACGGAACCCTATCAACTAGCCACACTCCCGATTTTTTAAGGTTACTTTGCGTCACATTACACTGCGATTTTAGGCTGGCAATTATCAAAGTGTTGGGACGTGATAAAATACAAGTTTGCAAACCCACTGTGAGTCAAACTTTTTTTTTTTTCCTTAAAAGGACACTTGAAACTTTTGTGTGTGTGTGTGCTACATAAGAGACACACGTCATAAAACAAATTTTCCCAGATTAAAAAAAAAAAAAAAAATTTGGCAATATTTTTCTATGTTGAATTAACCTGAGACTGGGGTAGAGAAGAAACATCAAAAAGTAGAAGGGACAGAAAATAGACAGGACGACGTCTCAATGGCTCGCCTGCACCGTTATGATTTTTTCCATGCAATATTTTTGTTGCGACACTCATTTGAGCGATTCCGAAAGTTTTCTTGCAACACAAACGTCTTTAAAAAAAAAAAAAAAAAATTGTGGCTTTTTACTTTAGGGAGTAATGCCTTCATAAATTCTAATAATGAGTCCATGCACCTTTGGGCAACTCAGTAGTAAATCATAGTGAGACAAGTTGAGAAGCCAATTTATGTAGTCACTTCAAAAGGCCAATGAAACATAGTGAGAAAAGAGCTACAATCTCAAATCGAGGCTAGCGAGAGAATAGAGCAAACTCTTCCTCATATCAACATATCTCTCCAAACCAAATTTTATACTCATCGGAAATTAGGAATTTGCAAATCCCGAGATCGGCTGCGACGGAGATCAAGCCGAATAGTCGCCAACAGCAGTCCCCTGCTCCTCGGTAACCCTTTTAGGCGAGCTTTAAGGCCTTGCTGGAAGGCTGTGTCTAAATGGCAGCCCGGTTAAAAATGTTGATAAGATACAACAATCCTGAAAAATAACAATAGGAATGATCTTTCAGTGCATGGAACTCTTGCATGGTTTCTCCAGAGCTCATGTTAACTTTCGAATAATATCCTGGTAAAAGATGCAATTTCTCGCACACAGGCTCGGGTATCGCATCACAGGGAATGTATTTCAACGTGGTTCAGCCTATAAGGCTACCCCCCCCCGCCCCCCCCCCCCCCCCCCCCATAATAAGAAATAAAATACAAGGCAGTCACGCCTATGATCCCCACCACCCGACAACCATTTACGTTATGCGACGTCACGTGTTTGCTATGGTTGTCAGTCATTGAGTCTTGTGAAATCAAGTGTCTAGTTTCGTACCTGCGCTTATAATAGGTTTTACGAATATTGGGGCACCCTAAAAGAAAATGAATGTGGTAGACGTGTGATAGATGTGATAGACTCCCCGCCCATGTAGGCATTCTTGGTGTTACGAGCACAACAACCTAAGAACTTCCGGTTTTCGCCGGACAATTCCTTTGAGCAAATCCTCTCGTGAAAGACAAAAAAGGGAAGAGACGGGTGTTTGGCAACAAAGTCTATAAACACAAACAAAGTCTCTCGCACAAGATGGCCTATGAATCATCACAATCTTTGTCAGTGGTCAATGCGCAAACGGTGGTGATTGCACAGTCACCCCCCCCCCCCCCCCCCCCCCCCCCCCCCCCCCCCGAAAACAGCTTGAAAAAACGAACCATCAGCTGCAGAACCTCATGAAGTTTGCCTATTACATTTTCAAGTCAGAAATACCTTGCACGACGTCCAACTGGCCGGATTTGGTGACAACAGCTGCGTCTGCCGATGAATTTCAAAATCTTGCCAGGGACATTCTTGCGAAACCCAAGAATGTCCATTTCTTGTCATCAACTACTGTTACAGGATTTTTAGCGGCCTTCAGAGAAGCTGCATCAGAAGACATACAAGAAAAGCTGAGCGGCAATCAACCTTATTCCGTATGTGTTAATGAATGTACAAATCTGAATGGTCCTGCAGTCCTCAGCATGTGTTTTCGCCATATTACTGCTCACAATGAAAACTTTAAAATTAAAGAAACATTCATTTCAGTAGTAAGCCATGAGTCGACAACAGCCAAGGACATAGAAAATGATCTCAATAGAGAGCTCAACAAGGTCGGGTTGAACGAGGAAACTATTTCAGCCGTTTTATTTGATGGGGGTGCCAATTTCAGTGGAAATATGAGCGGCGTGCAGGCGCGACTCAAAGAGCATGCACCAGACTTGCTTTTCGTACACTGTCGCAGCCACCTACTCCAGCTTGCTCTCGTTTACAGCTCCAGGCAAACCCCTTCCTTCAAAAGTCCTCAGTGCATTGAACAACATGTATAGCACCTTTAGAGGAAGCCACAAGAGGATATCTGTTTTGAAAGGCGCTCCAATAGCGGTCGATGGGCTATCCCACAAACTTGTGCAACCTGGGGAGACTCAATGGCTTTCTTATAATGGCAGTGTAAAGGTCATAATTCAGCATTATTCGTTTATCTGTATTGCACTGGAGCCTATCTACTCCGACGGTGAAGATCATTCTTCTGATGCTGGGAAACATCTCTTCCACTTCCGAAAAAATCAACAGTCTTTATCATTGCTTTGTTTGCTTTTCTAGCCCCGCTTGCTCGTTTGAAGAAATGCTTACAGACTTCGTGGGAAATCTCACCGAAGCCGCAACGCTAATCTGAGCAGTCATGTCATCGATTGGAGACGTCAGCACGGAAAGTCTCAAGTTTGAGGCAGAACTCGTGCAAGGAGCACAGAGAAATAAAGTGCAAATGGAGGATGACGACGAGGCCGGTGGAAAAGACCATAAAGACTAGCTTTATCGTACAAAAAAAAAAAATTGTAAACAACATGCAGAAAAGGTTTTCTTTCTGATGAGTTTCAAAAGCTGGCAAGATTTCACGAAATTTTCTTATCAAGAGAAGTAAATACAGATTTCAGAAAAATATTGGAGATGTGCGGGACGAGCAAAGAGGATATGGTCAGCGAATATAAGATCTATCGAAGATACTCCTGCGACCTGGCTTCCCAGAAACAATGTTTGCCGACACTTGAGTGCGGAGTCGAGAGGAAATCCAAGTTTCCCGCCCCGTCTGCTGCAGCAAGAAAGTCTTGCTTCTTCCTGTTGGAACTGCTGGTGTAGAGAGAACGTTCTCAACCATGAACAAGATCCTCGCCAACTCCTGCCCATGTAGATGCGTTAATGAAAGTTTTCATGGAAGGCCCCAACGTTCCCAACATTAGGGACACCACGGATGGGAGACAAACAAATACTGTCAGTTTATCTACAAATTCTAATTATATCTGTACAAAAAAAAACACGTGCCTCGTAAAGGTTTCTTTTTGCACTAGGGTTGCATTAGATGCTTTTTATGTTTTGTATATCTACATGCGACCATTGCGAGACCTATATTTCGTGCAATACCACAACAAAGGCAGGTCAAAAGAACCATGACAGAGCAGTACTGGGAGGAGAACATCCGGTGTAGAGGACTGCGATGTGTGGCGATCATGAGCAAGTTATGTAAAAACTGTATATAAAACACTGTTTATAAATATTCTGTTACAATCTTCTAGACTTTCCAACACCAGCTGTAAAGAAGATAATTTTTTTTTTTTTTAAATTTCACCGGCGCAGCTTAAATTTTTCGCCATGCCAAAAATATCGACCCGAGGCTTGACTTGTGGCTCGCCAAAAATAATGCAGCTCCCCCCTCCTCCCCTCCCCCTCCCCCCCCCCCTCCCCCCTCCCCTCCCCCTCCCCCCCCCCCCCCCCCCCCCAAGATATTTAGGACCTTTAGTGTGTTTATAGGTACAGTAAATGTATATGTATAAAGTATACAAAAAATTAATAAGTCCAAAAATACTGTCACGACGAAACTAACCACTGGATGCGTTTCGAAAACATATAATAAATATAAGTAACCATATATTTTTTTTCGTCCTCTCAGGAGCAACAAACTCTTGATATTTAGATTTCGGTTGAGTTCAATGAACAAGGTTTTCAATTATACAGCCTACATATATTAGTACCCTAACGTAATAACAATTCCCCTCCTCCCCCCCAAGAAAACATTTCCGAGAACCCTCAAAGTTGAAATCCTGGATAAACTCCCAAAGGCAAGGTTCGGACACTGGCATTCACAGCCAGGAATGTTTCCTGGGGGAGAGGGAGGGGCGATCTGAAACCCCATAAGTTCAGAGTAGCTATGCCCCTGGCCCCTTGGGTCTGCAGATGGGAGGAGACACAACCTTATTGCGATAATTTTTCAGAAAATAAACGCCAGTTTATTTACAATACAAACCTCAAAAAGAACATTGCCGCACTGTGAAGGGAGTGCGTTGACATTCCCTTGGTTAGTGCCAGAGGACGCGCGTGTGGTGTCCGCCTTGAATGAGAGGGTGGTATCCGGACGTGGGGCCGGAAGTGTTGCCGGCAAAGGAGGAAGAGTCGGCTGCATGCTTGTCTCCCTGGATCACGCACCCGTCGCCCTGCAGTGCGGCGATGCACTTCCAGATGCCCATGTAGTTCGCTGGTGGAGGAACAGTCATTTGCTCTGTCAGCACGTTATCTCTCGATTCAATGCTCCTTTTATTACGCCTTAGCAAATATACAACCACACCTGCAAAGAAAACAAACTTCATGAAGGGCCATCAAACTTTCACCGCTGAACATTTAGTGGGACTTCACCGCTGATGCCGAACTGGAACACATGGCGCCGTGCTTCGGCCGTCTTAACACTGGCACACAAACTGCTCTTGGACTCGCACAGAAGGGTGCACCGATAATGTGGTGACATTGCGAATGTCCCCACACTTTCAACCACAAAGTCTCTTTGTATGCAAAATAAAAAAGGAATACAAGTCCCGTACTAGTGACACCGTTGCAGTGGCGTAGGCAGGGGGGTGGTTTGGGGGCTCAAAACCCCCCCCCTCCCCAAAACCATAACTTTTTTTTGTTAGTAAAGGAAGACAAATATTGAATGATTACCGAATTGTTCCAGCCAATTGGGGGGGGTTGGGGACAGCTATGTCTCCGCACTCGTGAATTGTACAGTACACAAGACCAATGCCCCCCCACCCTCCCCCCTGGTCATGGAAACCATAACCCCCCTCTCCCACGAAAGTAATTCCTGGCTAAGCCTCTGTATCGTTGTAATATCTAATTACAATGAATGACTCAGCACGCGGTAGCATGCGTGCTCAACGCATATGGGGCAAGGATGTTTGTTGACCCAACTGCTCGTATGGCAAAAGGAAACAAGCTGAACACAATGCCAGGGGTAATTAGTACACTATAACAAATAAACTAATCACTGCTTGTAACAACAACTACTAGAAATCGAATCTGAAAATAAGTATTTCTTTTGGTATTTCTTCCAGTTATACTAGAGGAAGCAACACATATTCATGTCGTTTAACATCTGAGACTGTGGTGCAGAAAAGACAAAAAATCATGAGTCATTCCACTCTGTGGAGGTGGATGACCAGCGAAGCTGTTCAGCACAGGGACTCAAACCGAAAAATATAACGTTTCGGTTACGGTTTCCTGTTGATATCGGTATCGTTTCTGTTTTCACGGTTTTACTTTGTACGGTTTCGGTACACCAATGACACATTCCTGAAAACCTTTTTTTTTTGGTTTCTCCAATAATTTGTTTAGCTGAAATGCAGGACAGCCATTTTTATTAAACGGTTTGAAGTAGTTGCAGATATCCAACAACGGGACATTCACAATAATGAGAACTCAAAACGTCTTAGTACTTCTAATCGGTCAAAAGTTGCACACGTTTCTAGCTCCAACACTTGTTCACTACATCTATTTGCATTACATACTAGTTTGATACCCAAGCATCCACGTTACCCCCGCTACACGAGGATCATCGCACTTTATATAATAAAAATATAAATACACATCGCTACTTCGTTGTTCGGCAACATTTGTAAACAACCCTCAGAATGTTCCCACTGGGTGCTGGAAGAACCATTCACACCTTCTCGTCGCCATAGTTTATTGCAACCTAAGAGATGCCGAAGAGGCTTCGCCCACACTGAAGGAAGGAGCAGAACTTTATATAGCGCTCCACTAGTAAAATACTACTAAGTGGAATAAAGTAATAAAATTGAGAGCTGGGCTAGTTGATGAAAGCCAAACATTATGTAAATGCAATAGCACGAAACAAGGAAGACTAAGGAGAGGAACAATCAACACAGAAAGCTCTAAAAATATGTCCTGTGTTGTTTGTTCCTTTCCCTAGTCTTGGTTGTTGTGCGCTGTTACACCTACGTCATGTTTGCTATTTCAAAGCAAATGCATGTAGTTATAGAAGCGCGCATTTCTCGCTGCAACTAGGGATATCACAATCTTTCGTCGAGCCAGATTTTTACGTCGAACCTCAAGGTTCGCCTTTTGTTTTCCGCCAGCTCTGCCTGATGATCAATTTAGCTCGTTTCTTCATACTGGCTAGTGCAGGTAGAGAACATCGGCGGTTTTGAAAGAAACAAATTGGACGGACATCTTAGAATCCTAACTTATTAGTTAATACCCTGAAGGCGACACTTACTGAATACATGTAGCGTTTGTAGGAGTGTGGCTGATTTAGAAATATAAACTTTTCATTAAAAGCTCGATTAATGATTCCAACCAAGCATTCTTAATCCCAAATCTAGATTCAACTGAAATATATTACCAGATGCACCACTCAGTGACGGAAACTCTGTCAAATGGCCACAACATTTCAAGATCCCTCCTCAAGGTCATTCTCGAGAAAAACTAATATTTTTTATTTTTCAGTTAATATCGGTTAATATCAATTACCGGTAAATAATTTACGATTACATTTAGGGTTACGGTTTTTATAAACTTCAAATAACAATTTCGTTCCGGTTACGGTTACTGAAAAAGTTTTGTTCCTAAACGGTTTTCGGTTTCGGTTACAGTTACGGTTTAAGTCCCTGGTTGAGCACACGACACAAACATGACACAGAATTTTGAACAAAGGCATGAACACATTTATTGTTTTGATCGGTGGTCATCATGACGAAAGGTACGCACAAACATTTACCGTATTGTTGTCTTGATCGGTGGTCATTATTTCGTGTGGACGACTACCGCCCCGAGGAACTGGAGGAAACTAGACACGCGCGACGGGACTGCCATGCCTGGAGAGTGGATGGAAAGGAAACTAGGCACGCAAGCGGCTTGGAACAACGACAAAGAGAAGGTGGTGCGAGCGCAGACATGGCCGACATGGGTCGCACAGCGGCAAATCTTTGAGGGAGCTTTATTATATACTTGAAAGTCTACTGATATTAAAAATGTTGCCTATTGATAACTAATCTACTGAACAGACCTATTGCTAAATTACCCAAGCATCAAGGAGAGTGCAGCGAATAATGCTCCACTTGCCGGCGTCTGCAGCAGTAACTGTTCTAAAGCAAAAGCCTAGAACAAATGGCATCTTGAATGTACATTCGTCAATGCTTTATTTTGGATATTTACTTCGAATCTTTTATACGGGAGGTGTGCGCATGCGGCGCAGGCATCTGCAGCAGTAACTGTTCTAAAGCAAAAGCCTAAAACATGGCATCTTGCATGTGCGTTCGTCAACGCTTTATTTTGGTTATTTACTTTGAATCTTTTACATGGGGAAGGCATGGCCGCGCAGCGCCGGCATCTGCAGCAGTAACTGCTCTAAAGCAAACGCCTAAAACAAATGGCATTTTGCTTGTGCATTCGTCAACGCTTCATTTTGGTTATTTATTTTGAATCTTTTATATGAAGAAGGCGTGCGCGTGCGACGGTGCAAGCATAGAGTTTTTGTTGACGCAAATGAAGAATCCACAGAACCCTAGCCATAAACAGCTTTGCTGTAAAAACTTTTAGGCGAAACAACAAATACAAAAAGAAACGTCTGAATATTTTTAATTTTTTTTTTTTTTAAGTATGTTTGCACAGTTACTTTTAACCACCTTCTATGCAGAGATCTCCCTTTATTGAAAGCACTTTCAAATACAAAGAACATACATACAGTGTAGACCGCATATAACGTTTGTCGCGGGAGTCGCGAAAATCCGCACTGTAAGCGGTACCGCGCTATAACCAAAACATAAATTTTTTAGGCCAAATTGCATGCCATCAGACAACTTACATTTGGAAAAGAATTTATTTTATGTTAGATGAAAAATAAAGCTTAGTTTGAGGAAAGTCTTTATTTCACCAGACTAGTACACTTCTCTCTCAAGTGTGTCACACATTTTGAAAGAAATTAGCGACTTTTGCCTGGCGCAGCCTTTTAACAGCGTCGCGGGTTGCGGACGGACGTTGCGAGCGTTGAGGATTGCTAACCCTAATCACTTTTCTCCGGCGATGAAAACGAGTGAAAATTCACATCCTTTATACGGTATGCGCCAGTAATACCTTCAACTTTAGCACAGGCGTGAAATGTTCCAAATAAGAAATCCAAGCGATGTTCGAAAACACAAATGCTTAGAAAGCACCACTGCAGTCGAAGTAAACAAACACGACGACACGGGCGTTTCTGCAGTCTTGAGAGTGCCGCCACAACATCGCCGCACAAGTAGGTGGATCTTCCCTTCTAGTACACACAACGAAAATTCACAGTCCAGGATAGCGCTTTTACGCGGAACGATGGGCTTCTACCACGCCGTCTACATCGACTATCAAAACCGACGCCATGTTTGCGGATAGAAGCAGCCAGCCGGCCGGCCCGCGACCGGCATGCAACGCGCGCAAACACTTCTCCTCGACCTGCGATTGGTCTGTCGTTGCGGTTGTTTCCAACATTTCCAACGCAGCGAAGGGACGCACGCACGTGAACGACACGTGCGTGCATCCCTCCGTCGCTATGGCAACTGAAGCCTCTCTTCGCTTCTCCCCGCTTCTTCAAGCAACCTCCTTGCCCCGCGAGTGCCACTTGCGGCTCGCGCCGTTATCTAGTGTCGCACAGGGAAGCGTGCTCTCTGCGTCGGTCAGTCGGCGCGGTCGCCGGGTTGTTCCGAAAACCGCACTATAACCGGTATTTCCCTTCGCTCGCCTGCATTTTAAGCGGTATGTAATTACATGGAGTTCTATGGGAGGCGAACCGGTGGTTTAAAAAAGCCGCGTTATACCCGGTCCTGCAGTATAAGCGGTTACGTTGTAAGTGGTCTATACTGTATCCACAAGAGAACAAACGGTCCAACCCACAATACCATCGTTGTCAACCACCTTCTACACAAAGATTTCTTTTGTTGAAAGCATTTTCAAAAACACATAACATACAGACTTACAAGAGACCACACGGTCATACCCCCAATACAATGCCCTTATCATCAAGGACGACAGGAGGGGGTTCCAGGACCTACATCTGGGTGACCTCAGGAACAGGGCGACTGCTGTGCTTTGTATCCTAACCTGAGGTACAAAGCGCTGTGTCTGTTCCTTCAACTAAAAGCTTCTCCCTTTTCTGCACCACAGTCTCCGGTGTAAAACAACATGATTAGCTAACACCAGCTTGCCCATGCACTTACAGTCTTAACACATATTGCCTCTTCCTCTAGCTAGCATACAAAAGTTACTTTCTCTCTGAATAGAAGCAGGGTGGAGGAACAAAAGGGTCATGTAGATGCACAACCCCCCTAGTCGGAATTGCCGAAACAAGAAACGAGCAAAGTTCTCTATTCCAGTGGTCAATTCATTAAATAGCCACGTTTTCTACTGTTTTCATTCAGACTTTTGCCGAAATTGCTTAAATTTTGTAAACTTCCTCATTGTGACCATACCAAAAACATGAAGTTAAATTTGTTGGCTAGAGTGGCTCTGCATTGGCTGTATAGAACTAACAATTGTGGTGCCTAGAGGAGCACGAAGTCTGTTCACTTCTGGTAAGGAGCCAGCAGCCATGCCGGTGAATGCTTTTCGCCATTTTTTCTATTTGTTTGCACGTAAGCGATCTTTCATTAGTGTCACGCTTGATGTTGGAATGCATAAGCACGGCCAAGTAGCTTCGCCAGCGACAGAACTCAATGAAAGCAATTGGGGAAATATTTGGGCTGCACAAACTCACGCTTGCTTCGTCTTTTTTCGTTCGGCATCTGTGGGAACCTATTTGGCTGCCAATGAACTGACTTCTCGAGTACCGTTTTAACTTTGAATAAAGACTGGTTAATATAAAAACTGAATACCAGTCAATGCTCCCTTATGTTGCTGACCGCTCCAGCAAGCACAGTAGATCACAACGCAAGAGAACTTGAGTGAGCTGGAAAATACTGCCTTCGTACAAAGAAAGACGTGGGGCAAAGCGTCCCAGCCTGAATGCCGGCGAGAGTTTGAGCCGGAAGTATGTTGCACGAAACCACCCTATGTGCCCAGAAACCGAAAGCCCGCAAGGACGTCAGAACGCAGAGCTCTGATTGGAATGATCAGTGGGTAGATTTAAAGCTAGCCCTTTGTCTCCACTGCACTCGTCGAACGCATTAGGACGTGGAACACTGGCGACCAGCGTTTGGCTCTTGCGTTCCAACGCGTTTGACGAGAGCAGTGGAGACAAAGGCAGCTGGCTTTAGGTCTACCCACTAATCATTCCAATCAGAGCTCCACATTCTTACGTCCTCGTGAGCTCTAGTCTCGTCCTCCCTCTGTTTCTCGATGCATAGACCAACCTGCGGCTCTGGCATAACGCTGCTGCCGCGGTGCTGCCGTCGGCACGGTGCATGCACGGCCGCTTTGCCTCGTGCAAATCTAGTTTCTGCGCAAGCGCAGTGCTCGCGCCTACCCTAGGAAAACGTGGGCTCGTTCGTAAACAGTGCACTGATGTATAGCGACTTTTGTACCCGTCTCCCCGAGGTGTATGGGGGAACCAGAGGGTCACCTTTCCAGAGCCGGACACAGCCGTCGTCGCCGGAGGACGCCAGGATGGTGCCCAGTATGTTCCAGCTCACCCTCCACACCTGAGAGTTGTGGTCCTCGAACTGGCCCACCAGCTTGGTCTCAAACTTGGCCGCAGTCCCTTCCTGCAGCTGAGACAGGGTCGACTCTGGCCTGCAATAGACACATTCAACTCTAATCGTCTCTGGGTCCCCCGCTCCAAATCGCCGCTTAGGCACTGGGAAGTGGCAGACAAAAAAGAAATTAGTTTTTCCTTTTTTTTTTCTTTTTTTACAGTAAAGGAGCACCTACAGCAGACCTTAACTATAGTCAGCAGCAAAGCGAGAATGGTAGGGGGCTAGAGTGTGTCTTTCGAACGCCCGACCTCGTTGCCTTCTGCCGTGCTGTGGCTACACGACGCGCGCGCTCGAGGCTCACGAGATGTTGAAGCGTTGTCGAGGGCAGGAACCTGGCACTGGAGGAGAGTCAACTGACACTCCTCCCTGCTGTTCTCATTCTGTTAGTGACTACAGGGGCCCTAATCTACATGGCGGGACCACGAGACCGGGACGTCACTGCCTGCTGTGATTGGTCAGCACCATGCTGCAGACCAATCGCAGCAGGCGGTAATGTCCCGGTTTCTTGGTCCCACCGTGTAGATTAGGGTCCCAGGAGGTTACCTTTATCAGGGTTTCCTCTGATCAGAAACCTGCTCGAGACCAACTAAACCGGTTCACTTTGAAGGAGGGGCTATGCAGCGCAACGTCTGTATGGAACAATATTTTTTGTGGTGGAGACAGACATTCCGTAAAATTCCCTGTGTGCGAGTTGCTGTCTCGTACAAACGGCCTAAAGACTGATGGGCAGTTCGGCGGAAGCAGAGGTGACATACACAGAGCTCATGTGCCCTTTTGTGTTAGGTTCCAGATAGTATATCTCGGGTTCTCAAAACGCAAACAGTTCATAACCAGGAGTGGCCCAATGCCTATGGTGTTTCACACCTAAACTAAGGTTACCTTTCTTTTTTTTGAGCTGCTGGAGCTTGCGAAGTTTTTGCACATTAGTCAGCCAAGCCAAGCAATAAAACCTGTTTTGTCATACACGCAAGAAACATTACATTTTTGCATAATAACTACTATAGTCACTCAAACATAGGTGGGCATTATTATCTGCCACTGCTCTTTAAGATTAGAAATGGACTGATAATCGTGACCAAATATGTATTTAGCGACCTATAATACTGAGCAAAAATTTCAACCTCCTTGAGCTAACTGAGATATTCCCCTTCCCCCTTGTGAGGTGCCTCCCTGACAATACCAATGCAAACCAGTAAAGCTTGATGCAAGACTAGTGGTGCAAAGCGGTGAAGCTTGGCAAGAGCAGCACAGTGCGAATGTTGTGGCTTGGAGGCATGTGGTTCACCGTTCTAAAGTTTGGACGATGATGTGGTCAGCGTGACTGACAACTAGGTATGTTTTAGCTGGGGTGACTAGGCGTGCACCGAACTAAATGAATTTCCTTCCTTTTCACTTTTTTCAAAAAACAAGATAAACCTACCGTAGAATACCGTGCATCCGTGCATTCCACACTAAGCGCCCATACCCAAATTTGTAAGATCTGAGAAAATATGCATAATACATTGATATGTAAAATACTGTAAAATACTGAGCAATTGCCCACTTAGAATACCGAGATAACCTTGAAACACTGGAGGACAGGTGCTCGCTAGGGATGACAGCAAAGATAAAGAGGGGCACATGACAGGGTGGGCTTACCACTGTGTTCCGGCGTGTTCATAGTGGTGGCTGACGCAGAGGAACGTATCGGTTAGTTGGGTGGGGTAACAAGTCTAGGGTGGGTGCTTCATATGTCCTTCGCTTATTCTTCTAACATTAAAAAAGTAGGAGATGGGCCCCTATCATGACATGGGGACATGCTTCATATTTTATGCTAGGGTATTGTTTCATAATTTTTTAAGCACGCCTGTTTTTTGTTTTTTTTTAAATAACCATTTATAAAAAAGAAGTTGGGGCTCCAGTTCACGTTGTGAAGGTGGCTGGCCAGCAAAGCTGTGGTAACACCTGCAACGATTGCCCACAGCACTATACCAAATGACCGACAAACCTTTCGTCCCTCTTTTTGGCCATTGATAGGCGATCATGTTAGCAAGGGCACTGCTGAATATTACTTTTATACCTATTTATTTTCCCTTTTTTTGTTAGTGTGATGAAAATGTATATTTTTCAATTACATAATGGCATTTTGAAACATTTTCTACAAGTGTATCACAATCACTTGTGCGAATCTGCTTGGGACATAATTTGCAGTGTGGTTTTATATTGTCATATACTTTTGAATGAAGATCGGTGTATTTTGCTGTACCACAGTGTTTAACCTGCTAAAACTTTAATGAGGTTGCAGTATTGAATAAGAAAATAAATAAGATGCACTGCACCAAAACTTTTTATACACGGTGTTTCACATAAGAGTGACAAAAATTCGTAAAATTAGTGTATTCGACGTAAAACGATAATTTTCTCGGAACCGCATTACTCGAGGTGGCGGACGTCAGAAACTGCACAATACTTACTAGTAATTAGTTTGCTAATCAACTAAAGTGACTAACTCTTTCATTAGTATAAATAGACATATGGTTCTAATTAGAAACTTGCTGAGCATCAACGAAAACCCCTAAATTAGTCATTTTGACAAAGTCTTTGGGCGCATGAGAAGCATGGTAGTCACTAAAGTTAACCCTCGTGGAGCAGGTGTACAAGGCTGAAGGTTGCGGTAAGGCACCCGCACAATTTTTTTGCTCTCTTATGAGAGCCCCAGCCTTCTACCTGCTCCACGAGTGGTAACTTTAACGCACCACTATGCTCCTCACGTGCGCTAAGTCTTTCTGAAAATTACTAATTTAGTGGTTTTCAATGATGCTCAGCAAGTTTCTAATTGGAACCATATGTCTATCTTCACTAATTAAAAAGTTGATTAGTAATTTTTAGTTAATTAGTAAGTATTGTGCATTTCCTGACGTCGTTACCATGAGTAATGCGGTCCCGACAAAATTGTCCTTTTACTTCGAATACACCAATTTTAGGAATTTTTGTCACTCTTACGTGAAATACCCTGTATGAAAGGCTTGTGATGTCACTCCCCAGATCGCAAGCTGCCATTGCCGCGGCAGCTTCTGTAACGGTAATATTTACCGGGAAACGTATGCGGTGAGCGCTACGTGCTTCACATTGTTATCAGGAGTGCCTTATCATCAATTATGTGGTTCGGATGCTTGTTTTGTGCTTGCTCTTTATTGAAACGAATGCTCTGCTGTATGTTGCATGCAAGGTATGCACTTTTCGCTTCAATCGCTGAAGGATTTGTTTTCGTGAGGACACCGACACAAAAAAATCCCACCTGCGAGTCATTTACAGCTTTGCGGAAAAAAAATGGAACTGAGACCTTGATCATTTGTTCTCTTCATTCTGGTGTCAAAGATACAGCAACAGCAATGAGAACATTGATCTAATTAATAGAAAACATCTCCAGCATAAACATTAAATTTCGAGAGCTCACGCATCACACCAACAAAGAGCAAGATATTCGGCGTAAACACACAGAAGGTGATACGCTCAAGGTACCCCTTTGCCTTCTGCTGCAAAGCAGCGATGTCCTGCATATCTTCGGGTACGGCTGCAAATAATTGCGGTGTTGGCACCGCGTTTAAAGCACCTCAATTTGTTGCATTATGATTGTGCGAGGTAGCCCTCCAAAATGAAACTTCGTTGGCAGCCCTTCAGGTAGAACGGGTACTCCGGCGTTTTTCATTAGCTACCCAAGCTAATTACATTTTCCGAATTTCCGGGCTTTATTCATCTTGGCACGCTATTTAATATCTCTAAATTCAAAACAATATGAGAAACGGCAAATGAAGGTGAGACTTTTGAGTGTGTTTGTCGTTACCTACAGTCTCGGGGTTTTTGAATCATGTTTTGAATCATGAACCAGCTCGTTTGCGCCCTAACATTTATTTCGAAACCAACGTTCAAACTTCCCTGTGCTTTCCAATGTGTAACGTCACACGTTGGAAAACCAGTGGGTTGACCAGACAGTCTAAAAAAAACAAAATATGTCTCATGTTTTGTTCGTGCTGCTGAGCGAGTGTGGGAGTGAGCTTCGACAGTATTCATTTTACACCTTCAAACTTCTCCTAATCCATTTGGGAACAAGTTCTAGTGCCTAAATTGTGAACCTATACCCACACCTGTCGTCTTTTTCTCAGTGTTGCCAGCAGACTTTCAGTTTGAAAAAGCAACGAGAACCATTTGAAAATTGAATAGTGCCACAAAAAACATTATTTCAACCTCTATTATTTGGGTTCCTAGTTCAGCCGTGTCTATTGGTGCGTTTAACAAATTTTAAAGTGAATCAGCGAGCATAAGAAAAGAATGATCAGTTCTGTGTGAATCTACAGTATAGTCACAACAGCACATTGACAGACCCTAATGTAACCTTAAACCGACATATAAGCCCAACATTTCCTCGCTGCCGAGGCAAGCATAGCTTGGCGCTCCGCTTTTTCCTGCCGCGGTCAGCACCTTATTACGAGAATCCATCACCCGAGTCTGCTCTTCCAAGATTGCCGTCACATTCATCTGTCAATCAAACCGTTGTATGCAGAATTGCGTTTTATGGGAAACGCAGCTGCTGCTGCTGACTCCAGTCTTAGCCTTCCAGTCATTGTTTTGCGTTGCGAATGAACTGGGCATGTGTCGTGAGTGATGTCACGAAATCACATAACTCTGATGTTACGTGACTGGCGTCATGCAAAGCGACGTCATGCAACAGATGCCCTAAAATGCTCTACATCATCATTTCGAAAGGGAGTAAAGAGCCCATAACATCTATTGACGCAGAAAACTGCCGAAGCTTCTCTTCAAACGCGAACGTAAAGTCCGCTTTGGCGTCCCCTTTGATCGGTCCGGCGCCCGTCCCCCCCCGAGTGGCCGGACTGGCGGGGCACTCACTGGAGGGGCTTGAGGGAGACGATGCGCACATCTTTGGAGGCGATGCCCAACAGGAAGAAGGAGCGGCCCAGGCTGGGGGCGAAAGCCAGGTCGTGGACGGGCTCCACCACCGTGACCACACTCTCCACCCGGGTCCAGCGCCGGCTGCCCTCGCAGTACTCGTACACGTGCACCTTGCCCAGCGAAGACGAGCCCGGGTCGTCGCTGCCCACCGCCAGCATAGGTGGCTGGTTGCGGTTGCTGCGGAGGAAGGCGCCAGGCGAGTCACGCACCATTCCGTCGGGCTTCTCCTAAGGCGGCTATGGACCATTCCCCTTGGGTGAGAGGAGAGAGGGAAAGGGAGCGGCGACGTTCGGGCATTTTCGGCGGTACGGCCCACTGAAACTGCCCAAGCGTTGAGAATGGCTGGTTTTTTGCTTACTGTCGTGATCGGCTGCATGCACTTTCCCTCTTTTACCCCGCAGGATCCAGTGAGCGGGCGATTTGTCGTCTGCTACCGGGATTCAGTGCATGCCCTTTCCGTTTTAGGTATGAGGTATATGCATGACCAGAATCCGTCAAAATGCCCGTATGTATGCAGACAGCGCTGCAGTAGAACAAAATAGGGCCGTCCAGAAAGCCTTTAATGGAACGGTCTACACTCACTGACAGGATGGGAAAAGCAGGGAAGTCTTTCACTTATCCCCCCCCTTCCAGCATCAAGTTTCTACTTTCGATAGTGCTTTGGCACTTTGTGAGCCTCGAGCGCATATGCGCATCCATGGCACGGCGGAGGGCAGCGAGTGCACGGCGCTGGAGTGCTGGGGTCTGACAGAAATGCCCTGCCGTTCTGATCCTGTCGGCGACTATGGCTGAATTAAATGCAGTGCAAAGGAGCTTTCCTAATGGCCCTAGAAAGAAGCAGTAAAGAAAGACATTGTGTCACAAAGTCTCGCTTGGTTGTCAGAAACGCAGTTTCTCAAGAGGGTGCCACATTTGGGCTATGATAGGAAATTAAGCATACTTGTTTAGTAAGGTACGTTGTTGGGCTAGTGTGTTCATCTTAGTAAAACATAAAATAGCGCAACAGAAACAAGGACCTGTCCTGTTTATTTCTTGTCCTTGTTTCTGTTGCGCTATTTTATGTCATACTTGTTTTGCACACTCCCATCTCAATCATCCGCTTTTCTGTCACTGTGACAGCTGATGAGAGAAGTGCGTAAAGGAATGACTTCCACATTATTGTTTCGAGGCTCTGAAACTGCTTGTAACTATACCCAGTATTTATTTTATCTCATAATCACCGCTACTACCGCTGTACTACAAGAAATATGAATAATAATAATATGCCCTCATTGTGATGCAGATTAATTTATTCCCTGTGGAGATATATCGAACAGAATTTTCATCCTCCTTTCGAGGTCTCCGAGAGTAAACACTCGAGAGGAGCAGACAGGTAAACTCTACAAACCAAACAAAATGAAATGAAAATCAGAAAACCATTGAAAAACAGAATATGTCTGGAACAAAACTCGGGTCTCTTGAAAGCTGGACAGATCTGTAAGCACCAAAACTGTCCCGGAATGTCATACTACTATGATTTACGTCTAGCTACTATCAGCAACGAAATGGAAGGTATCCAATAAAAAGCCAACATTTTAGGGCATACGTTATGTGCTCCGTGTGTTACAGAAACCCTCTCACTGTTTGCTCTGCCATAACTGCTTGCATGTATCCATGTTTGTCTCTCGAGAGACTCAGTACCATCAGTGAGAGTCAAGAGATCCCATGGAATATATCAAAGGCATTCTTTTGCTGACTTTCCGAGGGATCTAAGGGTAAAGACACAGGACTTGCAAAAGGATACTGATAAACAAAAATGTTAATCATATTCAAGAGAAACATAACAGGCTTCCATTAATAGGGCCTCTTCTATGGTTGCGAAAACTTCTTATAATGTGCTTTTATATGAGGGTGAAGATTAACCTGAAAGCATCTGCATCACATTAACACCATCAAATACTAAGCATATGCTCATGTTACCGTACCGTAAGTGCACAGCCCCTACTTTTGAATCATTTTACACATTAGCAAAAGACATATCAAGTGCCTATCCGAGCAAACTGCTGAGTCCGGCGAGCTAACTGAGATGCTTCCCCACATGAGGTGCTGCTCCGTGCACAGCGGTGTGAAGTGGAGCAGTTTTATGTGCGCGCACCAGTGCGAAGCAGGGAAGTTTTACGCAAGTACACCTGTGTAGATCAGTGAAGCTTTATGCATATGCATCGGCACAAAGCGGTGAAGCGCGATACTTGACAAGAACGGCGTGGCTGCTTTAAAATGATGGGTTCTGCCAGATTCTTATACCGTTCTGTCGCATCAAAGAAAGTTCAAGCAAGGGCCTACTCTATCATGTGCCCCTTCTGCTTTTCCACCTCTGGACCCAACATCCAAATTTTTTTCGTGAATATCTTCAACTTTTAGGTGCAAACTTGCTCAATATCTTACAATAGGGTTAGACATGTCAAGATTTTGTGCTATTGCATTTTGACATTAGCACATGCAGCATTATTTGTAGCAACATACTACATTCAAGACACAAATCAGGAAAGTAAAGTCATCCATGAGCCACAGGGAACGACAATTTATGGCACTAACGAGCAATACTGAATCCCACAACCAGAGAGCTGAATGAGGGGCCCTCTCCCCATCCACCCTTGCCCCTTTCGCTCACAAGGAGTGGTTCCAGGAGATGCAGCTGAGGGGCATCCTGCAGTTGATGTCGCTCTGCAGAGACCACTGGCTGAGGTTCATGACGTCGGGGGCCTCGTAGACGCGCACCATGCCGTCCGCAGAGCAGGTGGCCAGCTGCAGCCCCAGCTGCTTGGGTGCAAACTTGACATCCGTCACCGACGTCCGGCTGTCCACCAGGCTCGTGCGCTTGATCCAGTGAGACTGGCCACGCTCCCCCCCATTCAAGCCCTTGCCGGCCACTGCAAGGTGTCTCTGGGTGAGTCTCAAGGCCACAGCATGTTGTCAGAAGAACATGGGTCACGCTCGCAACATGAATAATCTGGTCAATCGGTTGCTTTGTCTGGCATCTTCTGAACTACTCAAGTGATCGGAATGAAATTTGCAGGGGAGATTTAACTTCAGATGTAGGTGTACTGTGCAAGCTTTCAGCTCTCTAGGACAACTTTACATACCTGCATAAGAAGATGTGCCACTCTTCGTTAAGAAATCTATGGTATGCAAATGAAGCTATTAAGCACCAATTTAACTGCTTGAGTATAAAGTGGGGATGTGGGACTTTGGGCTATCTAGTTTTTATAACTCAAATGTAAATATTTCAGGAAGAGTGATTACCTCAAAATATGAGATGCATATCTGTCCTATGTCAATTTTTGAAAACATAGTATTTTCTCAAACAAAATAAGGTAGATAGCCCGATTTCCCAGTAAATTTCAGATCAGAAACATCTTGATTGTGGTATCAGAATAATTTTACCTTTGAACAAAAGATTCCTTCGTACGACATTTGCAGCAAAAAGTCGAACTGAGAAAAATGCATTCAAACATTGAACTCCTTTACTTTGTTACTGCCTCACATTGTGTCGAAAATATTTTATATCAACATAGCTATTTGGCACATGGTTATGAAATTTAGTGAAAGGGTGTATAATTAGTTTCTAAAACCGAAAGCCTCAAAATTGAAAAATGACTTTTTTCAAAACATTTTGAAACTCACGTAGGAAGCCCCCGCTGAAGGTGGGATAACTGAAGTTCCTCCTTCCCGACGTTCCCACCTTGTCAGCGACTACCTGGCTACAAGACACTGCATGATACTTTGCAGGCTCTATTGAGGTCTATATTCCATTTGACACTAAGTGTGTGCTGGAATACCTTCAGGCAGGTTTACACAATGTTGACTGAGCAAGTTTCATACGGTGCCTTCGTGTTGATGCCAGACTGAGTCTCGCACTATACAGACACAGTGAATAGAAGCCTGGGAGCATCGTAACTCTGTGATTGTTTTGTGTCTCCGAGTGTGGAGTGCAATCATTGCAGTGCCGAAGAGCTGACACAGCAGACGAAAGGAATTGCCCCCAATCTTTCCAAGATGGCTAGAACTCCTTCCATAAAGCTACATGGAAAAGAAGCATTGTGGGAGAAAACAATACTAAGTCGTGGAATCCACTTCAGGTAGGAAGCTTCTGGAGGCGACACGACACTACCAGAGGCGAAGCCAGGGCAGACTTCTGGTTTGGAGGGACACGCCCCCAACAATGGCCCAAAACAAACAAAACCACGCTACTGGACGGAAAGGACAGCCGGTTTGGCACCAGCAGCTGCTTTGGTCACCCTTGGGGGCATTCCCATTCACCATGAGCTGTACTTCTGGCTTTACTTGGGATTTGCTCATTTGGCTGGCTTGAGCCGGCATGTCACTTCCTCCTCTTCCTACCTCCATGTGTTCAGCTTTCAAAGTATTTACCAAAAAATACTGAAAATTTCTCACCAAATCTTTTTCTAAGATTTGTTTTTTAGCAAAAATATTGAATAACAAATGCCAGACTATCAAATAAAAAGAACAATTTCAATTAAAATCAAACTGAAAAAACAATACACAGAAAAGCGAGAGGGATGATCTGAATTTGTAGTGCTGTATGGCTTTTTCAAAAGATCTAGATAAATTGGGCATGAAGTATATGCATGACCCAGGCAGACTTTTACAGCGAAGCTGTCTATGGCTAGGTTCTGGCAGATCATCTCCGGGGTCAGACCGAGCATAGACCAACAATTTTGTACAGTTAATGCTGCAGACGCAGGCGTCGCACGCACGCCTTCCCGTATAAAAGATTTAAAGTAAATAACCAAAATAAAGCGTAGACAATCGCGCTTGCAGAAGCCATTTGTTTTACGTTTTTGCTTTAGAACAGTTACTACTGCAGACGCCGGTGCTGCACGTGCACGCCTTCCCCGTATAAAATATTCTAAGTAAATAATGAAAATAAAGCGTTGACGAACCCACTTGCAGATGCCATTTGGTTTAGGCTTTTGCTTTAGAACAGTTAATGCTGGAGACGCCAGCGCGGCACGCGCGCGCCTTTCTTACACGTGGTGTTTCTCCCCCCCTGACATTGCGCAATGCCGCGCGTTCTTCGGCGGCCACCTGCCGAAGATCATGCCACTGTCCTTATCAGTTGGACTTCACACTTCACATGGGTCGCACCCGTGTTGTACGTTCTGGAGAAGAGCAGCGGGAGTTCGAGAAGCGTCGGCGCACCCAGAAGCAAGAATAAGCACGCCACTAACGTAAAACCGCCGTTGCCGCTGCTCCCAGCCTGACATGGCATATCCCACCAGAGCACCGGCTTCGCTGGACTTCCCCCTTTGCGGGGTGCAAGGGTCTCAATTTTCTTGAGAGGCTGCTCTTCTTCTTAGAATCACATAGCCACTTTTTAGTATTCCGAGATAACCCTCATTTCTGACATCTATGGTCTTTCTTCTTCATGGTTTGTCTAAGGGAAATTCTTCCAAAACAATGTCGAAGTGCGTGCTTATAACATCAAGATTAATGCCATCTTTGATTCGATAGATGAGATACGACACAAAATTTTCAAGCGGTTGTTTGTGTACAGACAGAGGTTAGTTGATAAATGGCACTTAGCCATGTGGCGTAAACACATAGATTTAAGCTCTTTCTGACTGAAGCTTTCACAGAATTTCGATTTATACAAATATTTCTTTGTTAATGATGTCTTCGTTATATGGGACATTACAAGTGATAAATACAAACATTTCTACACTACACGCGGCAATGACACCCTCAGGACCTTAGAGAGTATGTTTTCTGAGTACATGCAGCAGCGGTGTAGTCGGGGGGAGGGGGGGGGGGGGAGTAAAACAGCCTCCCACCCCCCCAAAATCCAACTGACCTCGTAATATACAACTGCATTTTGACCCCCCCACCAAAGTCATAGACATCCCAAACACCTCAACCCATCCCCGAAAAAAAAAAAAAAAAAAAAAAAAAAAGTCCTGCTATGCCATTGCCATGTAGCATGTTCTAGATGACGTTGTCAATGTCATAATTGACAAATGTCAGGGGTAACAAATGTCATAGGTGACCAAAAAAATAAGAAAATGTACTATCAGGAAAGAACTCGAATGGCGAAACACGTGGCCTTCGGTACATGCAGTGCTACCCAAAGACTAAATTAAAAATAGCGCTAAGACAATAGCAGATGAAGAAGTGAACAGGACAGGTGCTAGCTGTCCTGTCCACTTCTTTTTTTTTTTTTTTGATGCCCACATTTGAATTTTGATACCCAAAGACTCCCAGGAACTGCTAAAATTGTAAAGTGGAGAGAGGGGCTGTAAGGTAGTATGAACAACCCAGGCCACATAACTGGCAGCCCCCTGTCCACTCTGCAGTTTTATCAGTTTTAGGAGACCCTAGGTTAAAGTGACCATATTCCCCACATTTTTTTTATTATTTCGTATATGCTGTGTGCATTTCCTTTCTTTGCAATTTGCATACTGTTTGGCATGTGCATCTAATGCATATGGTTGAAATATCAATCTTTAGTATTAATGTATTTATCTTTGTAAATACTATGTCCATAGCACTGTTTACCTGTCATACGCAAATTAACCTTCAGCATTAGCATCTTCTCTGCCAAGCACATCTTGTCTGTTGACCAAAAAAGGCACCCTCTCACTGGTGCGATCCTTTCGTTTAACCGTGTCTTTCATCTATTCGCGGTTCGGGGTAGCCAAAGCGGGACAAACCATTGTCCCACAAGTCCACTGGTGGGACAGAGGGACCACACCCGGAAAATCCGGACCTGTCCTGCCTAAATTGGGACGTCTGGTAATTTTACCCTAGGTAGCGCAGCATGCAACACGCTCTGCCGTTTGTGTTTCATTCGTTCCCTATAGTACATGTGCATCCCAGCTGTTAAGTGTCGTGGCTGTATGGTAACACATCCACACCTGGCAATATGTCCAATGACTATAAAGCTCTATGCCAGAGAACCACCCAACAGGACGTCTGACATTTTTAGACATAGGTCCTGTTTTTCCTAAAGGGCCAAAGCAAAAAAATTAATGCAGCTTGTACAGTGATGGAAGAGGCATTTTTTCTTTTGTAGCACGTTTTATAGCAGGCAAAATATTAGTTTCGAGCAGATGACAACATCTGTTAGCACACCTGAAATTGAAAAAAAGTGGCTGCATTGCTAGATGAGCTTATCTTTAATAATGATTGAGGGTTCCTCTTTGATACCGAAGAATATTACATATTATATTTTGTAATAAGAATAAATAGGATGCAAAAGAAACATATAGCCTTCTTTTTTTTTTTTGTCAGAGAAGCTTCCATTTGCAATGGGTATTAAAAATTGTTAAAAAATGAAGCCTAGCACTACACTTCAATTAAAAAAAGCCACTACACAGAAGAAAAAAAAAAATTTGCAGAAAACATTGATTTTGAAAAATGCCATACTTGCATCCACCAACATCTAGAGAGTATTCTCAGAAAGTTTATATGTTTACACTGCATAGTTATTTTTTTGTAAATTATTTTCAGTCCAGCAATGCTAAAGAAAAGGTAAAGGTATCAGAACTTTGAACGCGTTTTCTCCATTCCACATTTTGACATAAGTTTCACTTTAGGAAAACTATCGTTTGGTAACGGGACAAAAAGAAAGGCTCACTCATTGTTTTTCCTAACTGGAATTTAATGGCAATGCAACTGCGGCTTTGTTTCTTTATTCTGTGGATGTCTTTCATAAAAATTTTAAGATTTTGTCGGCAACATAAAAGACAAAAAATGTATTTAATTTTTCAGCGCAATGTTAACATAAAACAAATTACTTTTTGGAAATGTTGTTTTTACAGTTGCACCTTCCAGGCACTCTGCTGCATATCTAGCGGAAAAAAAAATGTTGGGCATTTTATTTAAAAGACGGTGAGAGTGCAGGCGAGCTGGTGGTAGCTAATCATGTCGTATTACACCTGAGACTGCGGTGGAAGAAATCGGAAGAACTTTCAGTAGAAGGAACAGACACAGAGAACGTCTCAAACTCAGCTAACTGGTTTATTTCTCAAACAGCCTTTAAGTACCCACGGAACTTTTTCCCAACCACACTCTACAGATAAACTCCTTTGTTGCAGACATTTCAAACCGGATGGATACAAAAGATACAAAACAACCCACACATGGGACGAGGACTTAACAATGGGACACTGCGGATCATCGCAGTGACCTTGACAGAGATATGTCCCGAATTATCCTAACAGTCGCGTCAAAGCGCACAAAAAAAAAAAAAAAAAAAAAAAACACACACAGGTGGTCTCTAAACCGTGGCAACGCACCCAGACAAAAAAAAAAAAAAAACCACAACTAACATGTCGTATTACACCTGAGACTGCGGTGGAAGAAATCGGAAGAACTTTCAGTAGAAGGAACAGACACAGAGAACGTCTCAAAAAGACGTTCTCTGTGTCTGTTCCTTCTACTGAAAGTTCTTCCGATTTCTTCCACCGCAGTCTCAGGTGTAATACGACATGATTAGCTACCACCAGCTCGCCTGCACTCTCACCGTCTTTTCACAACTAACACTTTTTTTTTTTTTTTTCCCCCCCTTTTTTCCCCTTTCCTATCTTTGGGAAAACACACCCAAGTGATCTCAAAATCGCGATCACAAGCACATTTAAAAAAAAAAAAATAAATAAAAAAAAAATTTTTAGATGTATATACACATATACATTGTCTCTCCCCCACCTTCTTCTCGTAAACCAAATGCGTTCGTTCAAAGTCTGAGAAACTTTTTGGAGTTGCGTCCAAGTTGCATCGATGCTTGGCTTTTGCAGTTTCCGATAGAACTTATTCTTATTGTTTCTTTAACGACCCTCTTAATGTCATTTCGCTCTTTATGCAGAACTTCTGTCTCTGACCAATGCGCATTACAATTATTACATTCCTCTATGTGCTTTGCTATTTCGGAGTTCGGCGCATGCGTGCGTACATTTCTCTGGTGTTCTCTGTTCCTTTTACTGAAAGTTCTTCCGATTTCTTCCACCGCAGTCTCAGGTGTAATACGACATGATTGGCATTTTATTTGTTTTTTTAATCAATGTCAGTGTGTTACTAATAAAAACGACCATAATTTATTTCACAACTCACGTACACAGACGAAACTTTGCACTGCATTCTGCCTCGTAACAGTCAGTATATCCTGTAAATTTTGGTCCTATTAAGCCAAAGGTTCAAAAGTTGGCCCCGTCCCCCTTTTACATTCGGTAGTTTATTTTTAGCATGTGAATATAATTCTTGCAAAACGCCAACAAACAATAGCATACCCGCTAAAATGTCTATCAATAAAAATATGCCCACTTACAGTTTTACGAACCTACCAAACTTGATATTCTAATATAATAAACTGCAAAAACAATCATCTACAAATAATATGAAAACCTACAGTTTTGCTTTAAAAGTGACACTGCGCTTTAGTGGCGTACCAGAGTTACAGTAGTTCAATGTGCATGCCGTAAAACTACCGTAAAATACCGGGCAAGCGTCCACTCAAACTTTGGAGATAATCGCAAAAAAATGGGGGATGGGCGCTTGTCCGGTCATCAATTTTACATATAAATGTACTGTGCATATTTTCTCAGATCTCACAAATTTGGTAATGGGCGCTTAATGTGGAATGTTCGGATGCATGGTATTCTACAGTAATGCTACGAGCTAATGGGATTCATCAAACAGTGTCAAAAGTGCCATCTCATGGCATTTGTCGTCTTTCCGTACATGCTCTTTCACTGGCTAAACCAATCTTTTCTTTCCCCTTCTTTTTGCATGTTTCTTCTCCCACGCTATTATTTTTTGCACTCACTTTTACATGCCAATAGCACCCCACCCTTGGCACAGCAAATGACTAGTGACTTGCACTTTTAGTTTGTGTGTCCATTCCTTTGACTGTGCTCTGACCCAAGATGAAACAAACTATACATTGAGTAGGGACGTTGTGAAATACATATTTGGGCCATTTTCCTTTCCTTTTACTTCTCTCAATATTAGAACCAATCAAAAATAAAAATTTTGTTTTTGTTTTAAGCCTATTTTGGCACATGCCTGCTGCAATTCTTAGCAAAAATGGTATTTATGATGCAAGAAGTAGCAGACTTTCATTCATGGCACAATTTGGCACAAATGGTGCAGTGCTTCCATCACTGCTTGTATTTTTTATATTGTTTAGCTTGTCACGAGTGAGAGAAAACATGCCACCCTCCCCCGAAATACTGCAACTCCGCCGTATAATCGCAATAAAAAAAACAAATATTTTCCGATCTGCGGTTGTGTGTGGCGGTCACGGGAACCATAATGCTGCGTCATGGGGAGTACTCAAGTTTTCGTGGCACAATGTAAAAAAAAAAAAAACATTCCCTTTCCACTGCTACACTCTCTGCCATCTCTGCATCAAACAGACCTTTGTCTTGATTGATTGCCGCAAGCTTTGCCGATGCTATGTGGGAACAGTGATCTACTGTAGCCGAACTGGACCTCGAAGAAAAGCTGACAATCATGGAGGGAGTGCTGGGGCCCTGAAGACAACCCAACGAAAACCCATATAATATCCCCTGTGACGTCAGTCTAAAAGACGGCGCGGGAGTTGAGGGGCTTGCCGAACTTCGATTTGTTTCATATTTTTTTTTTTGAGTAAGAAAAAGTTTTTTTTTTTTTTTTTGTTGTTTTTTATTCTATAGGAGACAGACTAATTCCTGCAATTCATTGGCCAAAGTTCAAAAATCGTCACACCCTCTTTAAAGCTGCTCAATTGTATATTGGTCAGAAAAGTTTGCAGAATCTCAGAAGGCTCTAATCTTGCACCGAAATATCACTTTTAACAGTTATTTCTTTTACAATAATATAATCGGGCATTGATCACTTTCTTCCAAGCTCTAAACCAAACCACATTTGGTTTGTTTCTCTCCAACGATTGCAGCTTACCCAGTTCCTCCCACACGGTAGCCATACGGTCATAGGAGCACGTTGCCAGGACTTGCCCGAACTCCGGATGTGCCCAAGTCACTTTCCAAACAGAACCACTGTGGGTCTGTAAAGCAAAGGATCATCAGTACACTGTCCATCCAGTTCAGTAAATAAGCACGTGCAAACAAGCTAAAATAAGCTCCAGCCCATTGCTTTGAATATTATGCTATAGGTATCCCTCAATAAGGTTTCGAGTGACCTATTTATGGCAAGATACACACAGCAATCCTAACCTTTGCCAATACACAAGCTCCCCACATGCTGGTGTTTATTTGCAGTATGCAAAAGCTAGGCGCAGCTTGCTTATTGTGCCTGCTTACAGTGCAAGTGGCTGCATGAAAAACTGACCAGACAGCAGCTCCCAAACTTCTCAGCACCAGCACTACCAACAAGGGTAACATAGACCATGGTACTATTACTGTTCGGCGATTTCAATATCAAGAGAACCAACCTTCCAGCTAGCAGAGCAGTGCCAGTCTCCATCCTCTCCGCGGTCCCACACCTTCAACAAAAAGAAAGATGGCATTTACTCTTTTCCTTCCTCAAAGTTCTCGATGCATACATTCAGTACATAGGTCCAAGTACTTTTTGTTGACCTACTACTAGCAAAAGCATGAGAACTACTCTATGAAGCGCACAGAATATCTTTGTTTAAGCAAATTCACAGCGTTAAATTTTGTAAGTACATTAAGCATAAGAAGAGACTGAACAGTTAACTGCAGGTAATTATAGGCTTCAAATTCCAGTTGGATATGCTGTAAAAAAACAAAGGTAGCTTCTCTGTAAAAAAAAGACAATTTATTGAGCAACATGCATCTTCAACATCTCAGGGGTTTTAGAGAAGCTATAAATGTGTTGTATCTTTGAACTCGGAGTCCGAAGATGATCAGGCCTGTACTAATGGCAATTCAAACAACTTATTCCCACTACGAAACCAGACAGACGGCACAGTCAGCACGCGGCACAAGGGACGTCTGCTTGCAAACTCTTCCAACTTGAACTGCAAGTCATGTAGTGTCTCTTGAAGGTCATGCTCATGCTTTGCTTCACACCAGGCCAGGCTCATGTGGAAGGAAGGATCCTCGTAGAACAGGGGCAGCTCGTATTCGGTCAGGCAGGTATCGACCTCGACCACGAGCCTTTTGAGCTGCTCCACCCCTCTGTGAACTTTCAGACCTAAAAACGTTCGGGTCTTTTCTTCGTTCGTGTACACCTCCAGGGAGCCCAAAAAGATGCTAAAATGGCAAACCGGAGCAAACTTTACGCGCAGGGCGTCAACGATTGGCTGGATCCAGTGATGACGCAATTTAACAGTACGTGACAAGCTCACGTGACACAAATTCGGATCCTGGGGATTGAGGTAGGGGCAATCCGAACACACGGTCGAAATGAGCTGTCCCAGCTCGGGCTGGGTGGATCCCGAAACGAATGCGTACGACGCCCATACTCCAGGCTCATGGGCGAACGTCCGGACTCTCCCGTTATGTTGATCTCTGTCGTCTTGCCAGGCGAAAGGGTCGGTTCGATCTTTGAACAGGCTCAGCACTTCGGGAGGCACGGGAAGAGTCGACCTATGCTTATCTTGCCTCTGAGGCGCGCTACTTCGAGAACCGTTGTCCAGTCTCGAGGACTTCGGCTTGGGGGAACCGCTGTCATCGCTTTCTGAGTCGCTCTCGTCGGAGGACGCGTACTCCGACAGTAACGATAGGCTGCTCATCGCACGCACGGATAGTCGCGGAAAAAATGCGTAGCGAAGTGCCGTACAAAGATCCGTCCAACTCTCGGATGTGCAAACCGGCTCTCGTACACCGGACGCAAGTTCCAGAATAGTCTCACAAAATGTTACACACCTTCACGGTTTGGTCACTCGAGCACGTCGCGAGTCGCTTGCCGTAGAAATCGTACGCGACGTCATGGACGAGGTCATTGTGATCCGCTGCTATGCTCCGTGCAATAAACATGTTGACGCTACTGTTGGAGTAACAATCAAGGAAATCGCACTGATGGAGGACCACCTCGTGTGTCGCTGAAGCTCAATGCTCAAAAATTAGCAAGCCGTTACGCGCGGCTTCAAATACTTCAAATGCGCGGCGCCATTTTCTCAAGCTAGCTGGGACCCCAGGCGCCCCAGGTGCCCCAGGCCAAGCCCCAGGCACACCAGAATCCAAATTAATACCAGAACTGCGTAAAAATAAAAAAAAACAACAACATAGGCTGTAAATATAAAAGACCACAATCTTAGACAAAAAAGTGCTATAAAAATGTAGCTCACAGTCAGAAAGTAGCAAGCAAGTTAAACGCAGCGCCACTCCTCTCTCTGGCGAGATGCACTTGTTACAGCACAAGGAGCAGACGACGCGGGAGGCTGGTGCGCTTGTCGTGCTGAACTCGCGCTTCGTAAAGTAATGTATCGTATGCAAAAGGTACTCAAATGCCATGGCATCGTATTAAACAAAAAGGTATCTGTCTCCCGAAAAGTTTTATTTGGTTCCTGGGAGGTAATTCAAGAAAGATCGCGAGAAGCATGAATCGCCAGCTGCGCGGAGAACAAGGTTAATTATTGCTTCACTATCTCTGTCGTAGATCACACGCGAGAGCATGCAAGAGTTTTGCATTGCTTGCCGTCACTTTGAGGGCGGACTGAGCTGGCGTCCATGGGGCCCGCAATCCGACGTCGATGTTCTATGATAGGTCCCTAATGTAATAGCTACGATGGCTCCCCCATGGCTGTCGACAAAAGGAACTCCAATATGCAGTTAACATTTTTTTTAAACAACTTTAACTTTGAGAATTAAGCTCACTTTGCTTATCGGCCAGTTCTCTTCCCCGATGTTCTCAAGAGAAAGCGGGTAAGTAGCAAAAGACTCGTACTGGCTTGAACGCATAATTAAAAAAAATTGGCGGCTTTTTTTTATATTATTTAAATGGTGTAGTCAGCCCACAACAGTTTTAATTACTTTCCAAGGGCCTCTCAAGATTAGACACTAGATCATAGCTGGGTCGACCAATTTGAGCGTGTTGGCAATATTAGATGTTCCTAATGTAATAGCTACGATGGTTCCCCGCGGCTGTCAACAAAATAAACCCGATTATGCAGTTACTATTTTTTAAACAAGTTTAAATTTGAGAACCCAGCTCACTTTGATTATCTGCAAATTTTTTTTTTTCATTGAATTAGTGAATACTGGGTCGAGAAAACAAACATCAACCGTGGAAGAGACAGAAAGGGCATTTCTCTTCCAGGGTTAATATTTTTAGTTTTTTCGCCCCAGTCTGGGGCAATAATCCAAATTGTTAATATACATCTCAGCTCAGCTGTGCTCTCATAGTAATTCCTACCAATTTCGTCCCCCGATGTATACAGGAGAAGGCAAGCAAGCAGCAAAAGACACGAGGAAAAATGAGGCAGATAAGCATATTGAAAATTAAATTGACGCTGTACTCTAGTTAATATATATATATATATATATTATTAAAAGGATGTAGTTAACCTACAACAGGCATAATTACTTTCCAAGGAACTCGAACATTAGACCCTAGGAAATTTCTTGGTTGACCAATAAGAGTGTGTTGGCAATGTTGGATGTATAAATTGAAAGCAACATAAAAAGCACAAGGATAGGGCACATCACAAAGGCCAATAACTAAACATTCAGGACTGAAATTTAAGATTAAATATTTTCTTGCAGAGAGAGAAATAATATTGACGATCCTTTTCTGGCACAAAGACTCAATATATGAAATTTAATTGTACCTAAACAGCAAACAATACAAATAGCGACACAAAAAATCTTATTAGTAGTCAAGTGCAAGTGTTCAAAATTGTCACAACATATAGTAAAAGCTTCTTTGCTTTTCTTCGACCTGCTTATCAGACGACGTCTTCTTTCGGTTTTCTATTAGAACTTGACCCAGCGCTGCGATCAGACTGTGCATGCCTCGTCATTAACTTCATTCGAATGAATTAGAAGCAGTGCGGCATGCTTCCAGCAACCGGGAACTCAGAGTTTCTAAGAGCACTGACCCGAGTTCAAGGAGTGTATGCGACAGAGCAGCTGTGTGCGAAAAGAGAATTTAAACAATATTGCATCCTCATCTTCGTCCGAATATTTCTGACCTAGATGAGCGAGCGAAACCATAAAAAAGAGCATTTATCTTAAAGCGGATGTTACAGTCGACGCTGTCTCACACTTGCGAGACGCACATTGCAGACGAGAAATGTTCTGATGCCTGGATTATTTCCTCCACCCCGAAGACCTGACACACAAGCAGCCCAGCCTGACACACAACGATCACAGTTTTTCAACAGACAGAGAGCCTCAATGCGGTGCTCGCCAACTGGAAGCGCGATGGAACGAGCGAACGACTAATTAGGGCTAATTTGCACCACGGCATAGTGCCACTGGTGTCGCTCCAGCGCGCACCCTGGCCCAGCCAAACGGTCCCATGGCGTCACCTGGCAATCAAAACAGTGTCCATCCAGTTCGTCTTGTGCGGTTTTATGGATCCTTTTTTTAACTAAAGGCGACATACAACGCCACCGGCTGCAGAACAGTTCCTTTGCTTTCCCTTCTGCAATACTCTCTCCTTTTTTAACATTCAAGTGCAGAAGAACCCGCCACAATTCCCTTAGAATCGGGGGTCACAAGCTTCAAGGTCTCTAGAAACCCCCACCTCTCGCATGACAGCCAAACAGTTGCACCTGGTCTCTACGTTGATGCAAGACAACAAAGCACTTTAGAACCCAAGGGTCAGGGGCTGCAGAAGTATGCCCGATGTGTGGGGGCGACGTCTCGGGCTCATGTCCACATTGTGCAGTTCATCTCTCTCTCTCTATATATATATATAGGATTAACCTGTAAAACCTCGTTGTCGCCTATGGAGTGCAGCTTTAACATGAAACAGCCTCACGGGCTATTTCATGTTGGGGGCATGCCCACCCGGTTTATAACCTGCGGGGCCAATGCCCCCGCCCCCAGTTCCGGAGCCTCTGTCAAGGGTTCATGCAGTTTGCAAACAATTTGGTTTGGCTAAATAGAGCTACACGCCCCATTCCCCCCCTCCCCTCCCCTCCCCTCCCCTCCCCCCCCCCCCCCAATTACCCCTTCAACCTCCAGTGCGCTTCACTTGCCCGGAGCAGCAGTACCCTAGCGGCAACATAGAACCTTTTAGATTAATGCGACATTGCCTTTACTGAAAATCAGTCCAGTTGAAGCTGGATGAAAAAAAGTCCCAGCTGAATCTAGCTGGAAATCGAGACGTAACCCAGCTCAAGCTGGACTGCTTGTTTTGGCCTTCTGCTAAAAAGTTGAAACTTCAATGCATCAAAAGAAAAGGTATAATAAAGTTTCCTTTTTCCATACTGTCCAGAACAAATCCAAGATCAGCACCTCTGCTTGGTCGGGGGGATAAAGTTTTCTGGAACCAAAACCGTTTGACAAAATTGTCCGGCTTCCGAATAGATAAGTGAGCTTCTTTTCACCTCTAGTTTGGGACACCTACATTTGATTTCAAAACTGAAACTGCAGAGATCAGTTTTCCAAAAAGGGTTGACCTACCTGCAAATCTCAAGCACCTAGGCAGCACAAATGCCCTGCACACATCCATAAAACACCACTTCCCGAGGATATATTCCTTGACCTGCACAGCTAGGGAGAGTTCTGTCCGGTGCCGTGGATGCCATGATTTAGAGAGGGATGAAGCCCTTTTATATGGGATAAATAATCTTCAATAGGTGCAAAAGCAACACCCTCCTCGATAACAAAGCCGTAGTGCTGAATGAGATGGCATCATCAGCGAAGGTCAATGCTGGGCACAGACTGCACACGCAAATGGCATCAACGTTCAGCTCAAACTAGACTAAAAGCGCTGAGCGCTGCCGCAGAACTCATTTTCAATCCGTGTCCAGTGTTGGCCTTTGCTGGAGACGCAAAAATGTCAGCACTACGGCCTTGTCTTCTAGGCAGTGTTGGCAAAAGTGACCATCTGGAAAGAGGGAAGTGTCTTTTGCTCCGTTTCCACCGCAGGTGCTATACTCTCACACCAGTACCTTTGCAAGTGCTGCACACAACTTATGGGATGAAGTACATGGTTGAACATTGCACCAGAACATACGAAGCCGACAAAGAAGTGACTGGACAAGAACATGGGAAAGCACATGGTACAAATATTTAATTAAAATGTTCATAAAATAGATTGTATAAAATATGTCCAGCACGAATTGCACGGCTCTTCTTTGATCTTTCGTGTATAAATACAAACGAGATTCTCCTAAACGTCCTCTGCCCTCACTATGACGCCGTCGGCACCTGCAAATAACAAAGAGGATGTTAGTAAATAGGCTGCACAAATGGCCAATGACTTCCAACAATTACGAACCAAAAATTAATAAGAGCAAAGGTGCAGGCTAGCTGGTATGGTTGTAAAGCAATTCAAACTTTTGACCAAAGTGGGTGGGGACGGAGGCCGTTCCATCTCAGTGCTTAGCCTCAACATTTAGTTATGTTACAAAACCAGTTTAATTAAAATAAACTGAGTCTTCAATTACTACTTCATTATCTTAAAACAAAGAAAGCTTCAATCAGCAGGGAAGAAAATGGGGAACAGAAACTGCCAGTAGGTTTTTAAGCTGTAATTAATATTTTAGCATGTCACAACATAGAAAGTATCTTCAAGATAAGGAACCAGTAAATCTGAACTAATAAAGTAACAATATACAAGGTGTTTCACAAGAGGCTGGCCAAATTGCCCCTCCAAAAACTTAGCATCACAAAGAAAAATGTTGATGTCACCACCTGGCAAAGGACCTATTTAGGAAATTGAATAAACTTAGATATAATTAAGTTCTTAATTACTTTTGAGTAATGAGCTTTTTAATCAGTAAATTTCGAGGCATGGTTTTAATAAGAAACTTTCTAGGCATCATCGGAAATTACTAAATACCATAACAAAACTACAGCTAGTGTGCAGACAAGCTGGTGGATGTTGATCATGTTGAAAATTACTCGAGACACTGGTGAGAGATGGGGACCTTAGTAGGAGAAAAAGGACATAGGAAAAGGAATGTCTCAAACTCAGCTATTGTGTTCCTTAATGCAAAAGCATTAAAGGACCCCTGAAAAGGAAAAAAACGTTTTTTTAAACAGCCTGGTTGGGACATGCGTGTCAAAAAATAAATTTTATGCAAAAAAAAAAAATTTTTTTTTTGTACTGCAATATTGACGGCGAGAGATTTACTTGAAATGTTGCGTGCATCACGTTCATGACGTCACGGAATGGTCATTCGATCTTTCGACCTCAATGAGATGGTCTTTTGCTCTTTCCATCTCAATGTGAAGGCAAAGCCGATCCACCTCTCCTCCACACGCCCGAAATGCCGAGAAAAAGCAAGTGGAAAAAAGGTGACCACCGAGTAAATCGCGTCTCGTGCCGTCAACATTGCTCTAAAAAAATGTTTCCTTTACGTAAAATTAATTTTTTGACATGCATGTTTCAACCGGACTGTTTAAAAAAAAAAAAAAACATTTTACAGCAAAGATGTTATACGTTAGGGTCTGTGAAAAAATGCGCCCTCACACGTCGACAGAAAATTCCCCATTGGTCGTGGCCAGTATGAATAAATGAAAACAAAAAGGGGAGGCAACCAGCGTGAGTCAGCCTCCCTTGGCATTATTAGATATTGAGGTCCTGATTTCTTGTTATGATCTGTAGGCATCGTCTTCGAGGTCGTCCTAGAAGCCGTCCTTGAGGTCATCCTAGATGTCGTTTTAGAAGTCGTCCTTGAGGTTGTCCTCTAGGCGTCGTCCTTCAGGTTGTCTTAGAAGTTGTCCTTGAGGTTGTCCTAGAAGTCGTCCTAGGCATTGCCCTCGATGTCATCTCAGAAGTTGTCCTTGAGGTCGTCCTTGAGGCCGTCCTAGACATTGTCCTCGAGGTCGCCCTAGAGGACGACACCTACAGGACGGTCCTTGAGGTCCTCCTCTAGGCATCGTCCTAGACGTTTTAAAGATAACAGCTTTGCTGGTCTTCCATCTTCACATGAAGTAGAAGGGCTTTACAATTTTTTTTTTTTATTTTCAGGGGCCCTATAACTGTTTCACAGAGTGAGCCGACATCATCGGCTTTGAAACCGTGCCAAACGGCAGCTAAACTACCCTCGCTCAATGGAGCAAAGTGAATCTGCGATCTGAAGGCTTCCAGATTTGAAGCCGCACAAAAAGCAGAGCCAAATGGTAAATAAATTCCCCTCTCCAAGTGCAGCCAAAATCTGAGGGATAGGGCTCCCAACGGCTGGCACGCAACATAATTGCAAGGAACGAGGCTCCGATTGGCTGAGGTGCGTCAGTTTCAAGAGCCACCCCATAGCACTATGTGCCCGTGCCAGAGCGCGCCGGAAAAAAAAAGCGTTTGGCTGGTAGGGCCTCCCAGAGAGAGCCCACTCGAGCATACTCCGGAGCGCGGAGCGGCCACTTCACAAAAACGCACGCAAGAACAATATTTATGCTTTCGCGTTCACAACTCATAAGAAGTGCTTAGGTTTATATCGAGCCTTTTTTTCTCAAATCCTTATATAGCCTTAAACCTACTCCGACCACCGACATCACAGCACCATCCCTTGTTACCCATTTCACCCAACCTTTGTTTAGGACTCAAGTGATGACCTAGAGTGATTCAAACTGTTCAACAAAGGTTGAGTGAAACGTGTAACAAAGGATGGTACTGTGACGTCGGTGGTCAGAGTTAAGTTTGTGGCTATACGAGGATTTGAGGAAATAAATGCAGTAGCTGGGTTTGAGATATTCCTTTTCCTTTGTCCTTTTTCTCCTACTAAGTTCCGATCTTTTACCGCAGTTTCGGGTAATTTTTAACAGGACCAAATAGTTGAACTTCTGAAAACTATAAGGCTCGCGCAGCATTTTAAGGTATTCCGAAAAAGCACTAGCATGTCTTGTAAGTTTTGGTTTCCTATCAAAACGCATCCCTGCATCAGTGGTCCTGCTCCCCCTTGGCCAAAGAGCACAACTACTGCCTCACCTCCCTTGCAGGCGTAAGCTGGCAAAATGAAACACTGCACTGTTCGAATGGCACTGCAAAAATGAGCTTCGATTCTTGGGTTCACTTTTGTCATGTAAAGAGTGCGTGGCGGTGCATGTGAGTTGCGCGATTCGGCCACGAGGAGCAGAACCGCCGGTGCAAAGATGCGCTCCTATGGGAAACCAAAACCTAAAAACACGTCTAAATTAAGTTTTTTTTTTTTTTCTTTTTTCAGAACATTGTAAAATGCTGCACATATTTTGCAAAGTGTGCCGATTTGGGGGTTCTGGATGATGCCCAGAAAATATCTAACTGAAACTGCACGTTTAAATTTACGATGATGGTAATTACTCAAAAGTAATCGACCCTTAATCATACCAAAAGCTTACAATTTTCCTAACTAGGCCCTTTGACAGAGACCAATGACATCAACTGACATAAACTGTTTTTCTGTGCAATGCACTTTTTAAAGGAGCTATTTGGCTTGAGTTACGTGAAACACCCTGTAGACGAAGCAAATCAAGAATGGAGTCAGCTCCAGTTTCCCACTGCCAAAAAGTCACGTGAGTGAGCTGCTTGTTCAGTCACAAGCTATGGTAGAAAAGGTAATCACGTTATCCGAAGGGTATGATTAGCTTGGTACTGGCGAGAAAGAACAGCAATCAGTAGTGACCTTACTCATATCCCTTGGACTGATCCTATGGCCATTGGACAGCTGCGTTACTATGACAGCTGCATATTTTTCTCTTGACAGCTCGGAAAGCTGGGAAAGAAATAAACAAAAACAAGGCTACCTCAGAGGTTTTCTAAAATAATCTCAATATTATAAAATAACTCTGACACACACACACTTTTTTTTTTTTTAAACATAAGTGCAGGATTAACATTAGACAATACGAGGGTGGAAAAAATCTTTATATTGAAAAAAAAAAATCAAATAAATAAATTTGATTTAAATCAGATTAATTTGACTTATATCACTCTAACTAAAAAATAATGATCCTTTACCACTAAAGTATTTTCAACATAGCAGGTTGATTGATCAATTTGTCAAATCACTGATAATAATGCAGAAGAATTATTATAAATGTCAAGTACAGTTTAATTAACAACCTTTTATTGCTGCAATCCCCGACATACTAGAACAAAATCCGTTTTTTATTTTTTTCAGCTAGATAAAAAAAAACTTTATTAGATTTTTTTTTTAGAGGTCTAAGTTGGTTGCAATAGGACACTACTTTCTAGCTTGCACTTCTTTGTTTTACATGCTGATTCTATTGCAATAGAATGTTACGTAGCTGACAAACAAAGTGGAAGGTAGAAATCAAGCTCAACACTCTGATTTGCTCAAAAGAGCACTTCTTTATGCTCGTGTCTGGCCTTATATAAATCTTTCTTGTTAGATGACATTTGTTATTTACATACAAAACAAATGCACAGAGAAAGCATCAAATGATAAACGGTAAATGAAAAAATAATTTCGGGATTATTTTTGCGGGAAAGGTTTGATTAAGGTATGATTTAAACCAAGATTTAAACTATGATTTAAATCATATTGATTTTCATTTTCCACCCTTGATAATACTAGCCTACAATCAGCCAGCATTTGTTTTGCAAACCTTGTGTAGAATGAAAAGAACTATTGCTGTTGTGAATTTTATAGGATTATAAAACTTTTCTCGTACATATAGGCCAACACACTGTTTCCAAACAAGCCCTCACGAGGTGTGGGAAAATGCGCACTTTTCGCACGAGGTGTGGGCACCGCGTGTACCCAGGAACCAGATTTGATTTGCATCAAGTAGAGCGTATGCACATGTGCCCTGCTAATAGCAGCACCACCGCAGTGGCCATAGTCAGCTCTGCTTGTGGTTGTGTTAAACATCCATATGTCTGTTTAATCTCCTTGCTCATAGTTGTCATTCAAGTTTCCTTGCTGCTCTTAAAAGTGTACAGTACTTTGGCCTAGCAAAGCAACCCTGCAGAAACAAACAGTACCTAACAATGTCCCAAAGATGACGTTGAAGCTTTCACTAGGTGCCATCTGACAATAGCCTAATTTCCCGATTTTCCAAGTCGACCCTATACTACAGAACATACTTGACCAAAGAATGAATTGTGAAAGTTTAATCTCACTCTCTCTTTAAACCAAGTCAGGTGATTTTATTTGCCTTTTGTCCCAACCCTCTTGACAAATGTGTCAAAAATAAAACCGAAAACTACCACAGAAAACCCTCACCTATCCATGCATGTAGTGTTAAAACTCCCAGTGACAAGTCTGATTCGTCCGGTCATGCCACATTTCCTGCATACCAGCAAACGACAGACGAGCTGCACTCACTAGGTAGTTGCTACTAATGGCTAATTCGTCTGGGCCCGCATCGCACCGGTGCAGTGCGGTTCGTGGTACAGAGAAGGCTAGAGGGGAGAGGGGAGCTTCCCTCTTTCCCGGTCAGCCTTCCATGTACTGAAGTGGAAGGAGTTTACTGCACTGGACAGGTGTAATGTGCCCCAAGACGAATAGGCCATAACTCCGCAAAGACTATACCAGTTTTCACCTCAAGGTCCGTAGTAAAACAAGTCCGGCTCTTTGCGGAGCATTACTAATTTACCCCTTTACGTGGATAATTAAGATATATGGAGGTGAATTTTAGATTAGCTATATGTTGTCTTAACAAGGCATACACATTCCAAATGCCGAAGGCATCACTTTTTCCTCCGACAATCAAATCTCGAAAGAACTACTTCGCGTCGCGTTATACAATGCGCAAAACTTGCTTTGTTCTTAAGGTGAAAACGGGTATAACCGTGTTGTGGCTCAAAGAATTTTGTGTTTTGTTGACTTCGACAGGACTTCAGAGTCGTCTAGCTACCTGGGTTCTAAAAATCACATACCTCTCAAGCACATCAAGTGCTAGTGACGGCAGAGGTGCATCTGCGTTGTCGTGCAAGGGTTAGGTAAGTATCAAGTAGCTTAGGGGAAGAGGGTGAACTGCTTCTGAACGGTTCTAATGAATGATCATCCAGCCTTTAACCGAGTTCTGAAGACAGAGACAAGTGACTCCAAAGATTTGTGAACGTTTTGTCAGTCGGTGAGTCCTCATGAGGTGAAGTTCCCACCTCCACAATTTCCATTTCTTGTGTCATCCAGAATGACCGGCATAGTGGGAGATGGGCAAAATATGGTTCTCATTATTCAACCCCCCCCCCCCCCCCAAAAAAAAAAAATTACAGGGTTTTTTTACCGCAAAAATAAACTATGCATCGCTGAACGCTGATTCTTTGCCCGAAAGTAGCGCTAAAAATCCGAACCAGATGCCAAAGTTCCAGCGCGAACCAATATTTTATTCAAGTTATAAATAATTTTCTGAAAATGTCAATGGGAAAATGGAGACCAATGGAGCTCTCGAATACTGTGGACACTGATTATAACGAAGTCGGTTATAACGAAACAGCATCTACAGCAAAGCGATCATGATTTCCCATTTCCTTTTGCACTTCGATAACCGAAGTCGGTTAAAACGAAATAGCGAATATAGCGAAGTGATTTCCGATTCCTGTTGACTTCGCTATAACTACGGTTCGGAGTTTTCGGTTTAAACCGATAAACACCGATAAAAGTACGCCAAATCCATTTTCAAAAATTCGGTTTTAACCGAAAAAGGTCAGTTTTTTAGGGCCGTGTCGAGGTGGGTGGGGGAGGGAGAGAGAGAGAGAGGGCTTTGCAAGGTTCGACATTGTGTGACGTCTTCGTGATTGCCCCCTTCCAAGGTTCAACATGCAACAAAAGAGGTCTAGGGTTGGCCTTTGCGGAGCATCTGTGTACTCTCCGTGATAGGGCTTTGTGTGTCAAGTTCCCGGTCCTAGAAAAAAAGTTTGGATTTGGGCTAGTATAAGGTTTTTCGCTTCATGCACTTCATAAGACATTGAGGAAAGCTGTCAATACCTTTCTTAACACCCTCTCTCAAACTTCCCTGTGGTTTATTAAAACATAAATACAATGGATTTTTTTTTTTTTTTTTGGGCCATTCTGCTGGTTTTTGTACGGTCATCACCTCAGATGGTCACGTCGTCAGAATGGGAAGGAAAAAGAAGCGCACTGAAGATTATGCCCGCGAATTCTGCGATTCTGGGGCCTGTCCTGACAGAAGTTGTAGCGAAGACCAGGTATGTATATTTGTTGTTACTCTTTGAGTGATCACAAATATCACAGCTACAAGGATCATCTGATCCAGTGTCCGATGGTGTTTCTTTCATATTCGCCGAAAAAAAAACACACACAAAAAAAAAACGGTATACATTTTTGAAAATAAATATACACCGAAAAAAAGAAAACAAAAATTGAATTTAAAAATAAACACCGAAAAAAGTATGCCGAATTTCGAAAAAATAAAAACCGGAAACGCGGAACCCTAGTTATAACTAGGTTGTATACTTTCCGGTTTTAACCGATAAACATCCGCCGGTGTCGAAAATACAAAATCGGTTAAAACCGGAAAACACCGGTTCTTTCATATTTACGAGCAAGCGCTGGTTTCTTTCACTGAAAATGTCCTGTATACTTCCAATTTTAACCGAAAAACATCAATAAACATTCGCCAGATACAAAATAATATTGTTAAAAAAGAAACAAACAAAAAAAACAGTTTTCTCAATTTTTTTTTTTTTTTTCTAGCAATGTTTTGTTTTTTTACTGAAAAAGTCATGCGCAAACTTCCGCCAAACACATTATCTTACCAGGAATCATGCACTTTGCCTGCCTTTTTTTTTTTTGTGACCTATGGTCTTGGACTCTTGGAGGACAGTAGCTTTGTTCCACTGTTCTCCAAGGTCAGCGATCCTCCTGGGCCTCCGAGCTTGAAGATCACTATCAGCTGCCTGAGAGGCCAGTCAAAGCTGGCCAGTACTGTCCCAAGCATCGTTGGACGTTTTGGGGCTTCCCGTGTCTGGCGCAAATGTTGAGCGGGCATTCTCGAATTTGTGCGTTGTCAACAGGAAGGAGCGGGCGTCAGTGACAGACAAGAGCCTAGGAATGTGTGCTTGCAAATACTACAATAATCGAGTGTGAAAAAGATTGTGTAAAATATGTGAATAAAATTCGGACTGTTTTTCGCCGCCAGTGGTAATTTACATTCGCAATTTTTTCCGCCCGACAATAACCGTTTTTAGCGTCTGGACGAGAGAATTCACCGGAAAGCACCGGTATTGGTGAAATAGATAAACACCGATAAACATCCGCAGATTTTTGTCATAAATAAACACCGGAAAGCATACACCCTAGTTATAACCGGTCACGACATTACATGGTGCTCTATGGCACCAGAAACCGAAAACGGGAAAAAATGGGCCCCATTTTTCCATTGAAATTATCAGAAAATCACTTATATCTTTTGAATAAAATATTGGTTCGAGCTGAAACCTTGGCATCTGGTTCAAACCTCTAGCAAAACCTTTTGGCGGAGAATGAGCATTCAGCCATACATAGTCTATTTTTGCAATAAAAAAAAAGAAAAAAAAAAACAGTATGTTTTTATGTTGAAACCCTTGTATTACAAAAATATAAAATAATGCTGAAATGTGTAAAATAATACCAAGAAATAGTTTAAAAAAAAGTAGAAAATCAACTAAAAACAAAGTAAAAAAAAAATGTTGGTAGGTAAAAGGGCATGGAATGCAGGTTCTAAACACCCTTACCTCGATAGAATCCAGTGGATTGATTGTGATGTCAATTCTACTCTGTGCAGTGAAGTACTCTCCATTCCCAATATGGCCATTCTGCTGTAGATTGCTATTGTGATCACTTGTAGTACCTGCCAATGAAAAAAAAATCATAAGATTCAGCACCCTTTCACATCAGCGATGGCACTTTCCGGGCATTAAAGGGATGGTGAACCGATATTTGGATTTCAGAAAACAATGCAGGAGCTGTAAGGCCCTGTCACATTGAGGAAACACGGTGGAAACATCAACAAAACATGTTTGTCAACAGTCGGGAAACATGTCGGCTGCCGGCTCTGTTGCCCGACAACCCTGTCACATTGAGGAAACAGCAACACAACATGGACGACAGCGACAATGTTGTCTCGGTGTGACAGTTTTTGGCAACGGAAACCTCGGCAACTTGTGTCGGACGACACGTGTTGCCCGTTTCGGTGGCTGAGCGAATTTTATTCCAGCAACACGGCAACATCTATATTTTTCAGTACAGATAGTCGCACGAGAACACTTCAATAATTGAAAACTCCCCATTTCTAAGCACATAGCCGGAAATTTGTGTCCCTTTTTTCGATGCGCGATTTCACCCCTGCTAAGAAATCCTCAAAGGAGCCGGTATCCATCCGAATCCAACGCCTGGTAGGCCTCAGAATCTTCCAGAACCAGCTCCCGCATCAAATTCTCATAGGCACCTTGTTGATGCACTCTTGCGAGCCACTCGCTGGTCTATTTTGAACACGGCTTCTAGCGCGGTGGCAGCTGATCGTCAAAATCATCTGAATCGATGGCACAAAGAAGCACCAAAGCAGAAGCTGCTGCTGTGGCCGGCGCGTATGCCATCCTGCAAAGGTCTAGCCCTGTAGCAGAACGCAAGCGCCAAATCCAGAGAACACGAGATGGTTCGCGCGGCTGATGAATCGACTACGGTAGAGCGACGGCGACGAGACGGCGATCCAAAATGGCAACGATTCAAGGGGCGAGCGGAGCCAGCGGATCTGAGCCTAGCCGCCTATACTTCGTTTCAGCTTCAATCCAGACGCAGCCGATGCTACAAGCGCGAGCATATGGCCCAGAACAGTGCTTACACTGCACGAGCGCGCGTGCTTGGCAGGGCAGAGAGAGAGAGAGAGGCAGCGCGCAGGAGAGGAGGCAATTTGTGTTCTTCCGACACGCTTTCCCGGTGTGACAGGATGTTCCCCGAGTGTCGGAGAACAAGTTGGGAAACATGGTTTTCGGACGACAGCAACATGTTTTCGGACTGTTGCTGTTTCCGCAATGTGACAGGGTCCCCGAAAACATGTTTTCTTTGTGTTGAAGGACAAAGTTCTCCGACTGTTTCCTCAATGTGACAGGGCCGTAGGCGGGACGCTACAATCCCTACAACACTAGTCATAAGGCGATATATCGAATGGACGGACATATTCTTGGAAAAAGAGGTTGAGATTGAACGAGGCCGACGAGGCGCGTGACGTCAAGATATCTCGTTTCCTCCTCTCTTCGTTTCGCTCCCTCAAGGTGGCGAAGTGGAGAAGACACGAGGCCGTTCCCTCTCTTTCTCGGAGAAACAAGACGTGAACATATCCGTCAAATGCGCCTCCATTTTTTTTTGTTGAAAAATACGGTCATCCGTTTGATATATCGTTGTACAGTCTAAGCTCGTTATAACAGACCTTGATTTTTACCGACATTTCGGTCTGTTGTAAAGGGTGTATGTTGTATGCAGATATGAAGTTGAGTCAATGGTACATAGAGGAAAACCAACCAAACTTCACAAATTGGTATTTTATATCCAAATGTCTGTTGTAACCAGGTCTGTTATAATGAGCTTAGACTGTATAAGGATGATTTGATGTTTGTAGCATCCCGTTGAACGCTTTTGCCGCCGTGCTTTGTGGAATCCAGATTTCGGTTCAGCATCCCTTTAAACTGGCTCACTTCAACACCCAAGATATTAAAGCCGACAGCTTGCAGGAATATGCTTTGCTCTGCAGTGGCCCATTAGGGCATGGCGGAAGTAAATAAACAGCGGGAGCCAGGAATGCAACAAAGCACATGCTGCTGCTGAGCTATGACAACAGTTCATGCCACATTGGTGTTCATGTTAACGTGAAAAAAAAAAATTACGAAGAAACACAAAATGATAAATTGACTTTAAGCACCACCCAAAAGGGCAGGTGTGAGAAGGCCGCTGAACTGCTTGCTTCCGCTGCTGACTTCTGTCAAACAGCATGCCATACGAAGGCTAGGTGTACATTCCCCAACAAAAGACTACACTTATCAGACAAAGCGGCAATCTATTAAATTTAATCAACAAGTTTAGAATGGCCCCAACAAATTATTTATCCTTTTGATTGAATACATGGCCTGCATTGAGCCCCCCCCAAAAAACCTGGAGCAGTTGTTCCAGATGACTGGTACATGGCGAGCGTGCGCCAGCCATTCAAAGGCGGATACAGCCAACACCCCCTAGTCAAAAAAGGCCTTAGCACGGGACGTTCAGCGTTGCCTACTGCAGGTCGGCACAAACTGGACACCGGCATTGTGTCAGCGTTAGGCAAAAACGTTCAATCAGCGAGAACGCCACGAGTACCAGCCGCACACCGACGCAGCATTTCAGTCCAACGCGTGCCCAGTAGGCGAAGTAAAAAAATCCACGACCAGGGAGGTGTTGACATAAGGCGGTTTCAAAACAACGCCTTTTCACCACCGGTAAGTCGCTTTTTGTCACGTCGAGGACCGGCGTCTGCCACTCTCCCTGCTAGTTTATGTACGGACAATTAGTTATTGGCATGGTTTTTAATGTTGGTGAAATGTGCGAACGTGACGAGCAGCTCCGTCAATAACGGAACTTGGTACATACGACGGGGACGTATTTATTCCACGCAAACCCACGCCTACTCCACTTCTTCTCCTTTCGGTGTTCACCCCAATGGCTTTTAGGGGCCCGTCTTGGCTGCCAAAGGGTCGACTTTTCCATTCCCGGCTCGTATCTTACGTCCCAAGAAAAACTGGTACGTATGAGAATCGAGAAAAGTAGAACCGTGTTGATACATTCCTGGTTCATACGATTTCCCGGTTCATACGTTCATGAGTAAGGGCATGAAAAACGTCCCATAGAGTTGCGCTGTTTTTTTTTTTCCGGTTCGTACATTCCCTCATAACACGATTTCCCGGAAAGTATGCTTAGCATTCTGCCAAATGTTAATCGGATTATAAGTTTTTTGGCAATCAACGTTGCACTCGCATATTCGGAGCTCCGAACATCCGGTCTCGACGAACGATTGCCAAGCAGCCATTTTCAGGGACATATAGCATGTGCCCGCCGCTAATGCTGCCGCTGCATGTATTGTTCTCCGCAACTTCCGAGAGCCGTCTGGGTGTACAAGGGCGTTTTGATTGGAATTAGAGAAGAGACCGCGCAGTTTTACTGTCTTAGCTCATTATTCAATTAGTCTAAGAATCTTTCCCATGAAATAATAACAAATGATTCCAAGTATGTACTTTACGCATCTTATCGCAACTCTGGCAGCTTGATTGAGAACCTCGGCACTCTTCGCCAGCACACTAACTGCTCTAACAACAGCGCATCCATCTGATGCTGTCATTAATTTTCCTCGTCAAGTGCTACCGCTGGCGAAAGTGACGCGAATGCTGTCGTAATGAGCAACCGAAGCAGCAGCGTAAAAATCGAAACCCAAATACTGCTGTGCTCATGTGAGCGCATGTTCACTTCAGTTGTCAACACCAGAGTAGTATGTTCGCTTATGGCTTTTCAAGCGTTTCTAAAGTACACACGTGACTACGGGTCATTCTCGGTAACTCAAGCAAGCACTTTGAGGCATTGTTTCAAGGGTTGAAAGCAGTGATTGCAAGAGTGCGCAAGAGTAACTCTAGACTAGGACCTAACAGGGAGTGGTAGCAGTAGTAGTAAAATAATGAATCGGGCATTTCTTTGTTTTTTCTTTGTGTTAATTCAGCTCCAGTTGCTTTATCAAGTTTCGCCAACGCTTTGGCAACTTTGGTTTCACGTTCCGCCCCAGGCTTGCGCCATCCCATTTCGCCATTTTAGAGCGCAGTTCTTAGGCGCCCGTTTCCGGTTTCGTCGCCGTCGCCGTCAGCGTAATCGTGAGTTCACGGAGAAGAGGAGGCGGGGAGGAGGAGGGACGTGGGGTAGGAGAGGAGCTTGAAGGATGAGGGGAGGAGGAAGAGAAGACGAGGAGAGGGTACAGATGAAGAGGAGGGGTATACCGTCCCCTCCCCTCCTTCTCCTCAAGAGCTGCGCTCTAATTTGGCGTTATAGGAAGTTGTAAAAGTCTAATTTTTCCTGTGCCGTCTAAGCTCGTTTCATCCTGCAATGGCGTCGCAAAAGTGACGTCATTGTAGGACTGCTTGTTTTACAGAGAAGCTGTTCATGGCTAAGGTCCCGTGGATTTTTTTGTGTGAGTGACCAAGAACTCTACGCTCGCACCGCCGCACACCTTTCCCGTATAAAATATTCAAATCAAAGTAAATAACCAAAATAAAGCGTTGACGAATGTGCAAGCAAGATGCCATTTGTTTTAGGCTTTTGCTTTAGAACAGCTATTACTGCAGGCGCCGGCACGTGCGGTGCGTGGAACACCATTCTCTGTATTCTCCTTGATGCTTGGGTAATTTAGCAATAGGTCTATTCAGTAGATTTGTTATCAATAGCCACCATTTTCAAGATCAGTAGACTCTCAGGTAGATATTAAAGGTGTTTTTTTAAAGATTTTCCGCTGTGCAACCCGCGTCGGCCATGTCTGCGCTCGCAGCGCCCTCACTTTGTCGTGGTTACAAGCGCTTGCATGCCTAGTTTCCTTTTCCGTCTGCTCTCCCGGGGTGGTGGTCCTGTTGTGCATGTCAACTTTCCGCCGGGTGGCGGTCCCGTGGTGCGTGTCTAGTTTTCTCCGGCTCCTTGGGGCGGGTCTGTGTCGTGTGCTAAACAGCTTCGCTATAGTCGGATGCAACCTAAGAACAATCTTTTAGCTCCACCCACAAGCGCATTGCGCCCATCTGAAGTGCCTCCGCCGTCGAGAAAGTAGTTCGCTAGCAACGTTGCTTTTTCTTCCTCCAGGAAACCTGTCTTAAACTACTACAATATTTATTTAATTCATTCAGGACATTTAAATAAGTTAGAATATGTTTTTGTCAACGAAATAGCTGTTTAGTAAAGAAAGAAAGAAATTCATGTCCAATGTACCGTCTTCCCAATTCATTTTCTGTCCAAGATACTGTCTAACATACCGTCTAACATACCTCTCAGCAGTGCTAAGCCTCGCGCCCGCTTCGAAATTTTCGTTGGCGATAGCGTCGCTGGATTCTCACGTCGCGCAAAAACTGCTGCAAACGCAAGCCGATACCATCAAGATTTCGTGGCGTAACCTCGGGCACGTAAAACACGGTGCAAAAAAGCAGAATAATTGTCACGAGAAACTATAGCATCGCGTTGCTAAGGCCAGCAGCCATGTTGAGCTTTTTTTTTTTCAAAAGGATCGCGATTGGTCCACAGAATCGTGACGTCATGAAAACAATTGGCTGGCGTTTCTCGGCGTAGGATTACATTTTCCTCTGAGAGGCATTTCCGGTTTTTTCTTAGCTTGCAACCGACTATAGTCATCCACCTTCACAAAGTGGAATGGCTCATGATTTTTTTTTTAACTATTGCTTTTCTTTTTTTTTGTGTGTGTGTTTGTGCGTATGTGCATGCGCTTAAAAATGGTAAGTTCAGATCATACGTTTTCCCGGGCAATATGCTTTTTTTTTTTTTCTCGCGGTTTCTTCGAAACATGTCAACGAGGTTCTACTGCACCAGACGACGCTCCTTTGTCTCACCGACTACTCTGGCTGGTGCAGTCGACCGCGAGGCAAAAGAACTCGAGCGAACCGGAAAACATTGCCTCTGTGCGCAGAAGGACACAAGGATAAAGTCGATCGACGTGGCGTCCGGCAAGATTTTGAACTGGAAGTATGTACCTAACACAAGACCACCGTATAGAGGCACGTTCACACACTTGCGTTTGCTTACGACCCGAGTTCTTGCGATCTCTCACGACGGGAGAACACGTTGGCACGCTGACACCATCTGCGAGATGACCCTAAAACTGCATTTCACTAAAGCGGAGGTTCTGCTGTATTTGCGAGATCAAATGCACATAAGAAATTGTTGTTTGTAACACTGTCAAAAGTTTATTGTGCCCCCAATGAAAATAATACGAAAAAAAAAAAAAAAAGATTAAAGGGATTGTCCGGTCGAAACCGGAAGTACTCAAGTTTTTGCATTCGTTACGTCGAGGGAGCCTTCATGCAGACAAACATCATTTTTATTTTGATATATGATCTCCCGTTATTAATTAAACCTTTCATGAGCGTAAGTATGAAACTGCACCCCGAAGTTTGCCAGTGTCAATGGCTGACATCCGTAGCTTGTCCGTGACGTCACAGAGCGTCGGCTGGTCAGGATAAGAAGCGTTGGTTGATGAATGTCTTGTATTTTGTTTTGAATTATATAGTCTCCTAGGCTGTACCCTACTGAAATACGGTTCCTTCAATGGAGTTCCCTAGCATGTGCAAAGAAAATCACGCATTTTAGCAGGAAATTACTTCCAGACAGCCATAAGCTTTGAGCAAACGTATGCCGTTTCGCGCAAGCACAACTGCGACGGATGCCAATTGAACTAGGGGCGCTTGCAAAGCAAAGGATGCAGATTTTGCTTCTGAAGCAGCACTTAGGTACACGAAGCGGGATTTGGGTACACATATCGGCGGATCCACTAGATGGGTGATGAGGCTGCGGGTCGTTGCCTCAGAGGCGATGTCCGCGGGTCGAAGGCAAACGGCGAATCGTTCAAATGCATGTCGTCACTTGACTCGGACAAGCTTGGCGAGTCGTAGCCATGCTCCATTTTCACATGCCGGTTAAATATAATTTGGCTGCACGCGTGCTAAATACAACTTCAGGTATCGTTTCCTGATGGCCTAGCTGTTGGTTTCGGTTTCGCTGCATAATCAAATTGATTGATCCGATTTGGGTTGGGAGTGGATGGACATAGTTAAATATCGTTGGAACCAGCATCACACCTCAGCTTACGAGCCTTCGGTCCGCTTAGAGCTCAGCTCGTAGCTCTCTTCTGTGAGATGACTGCTGCATAAGCGGGATCTCGATCTTGATGGGAACCGAGTTCCTACGCACGGCAACGATCAATTTTGCTCGTCACTGCACGCCTTGCAGAAAAGTGTGGAACGTCCCGTCTTGGCTCGCAGGTGCTGCCCGGTGGTTGTGGCACCCAACCGCACAACAAAAATCTCACCCAACCACGAAACGAGTTGAGCACAACAACAAAAATGAAGCACACTGAGGCGTTCACTTGCAGGCAAACGAGGAGACAGAAATGCTCGCTTTGTGTTGTATGACGTCAGAGCTTCAATATTGCCAACGAAAACAGCGTTTACGCTAGAATGCGATTGGAGCAATATAAATTCAATTACTCATGCAGAGGGAGGGGTATATAAAATTCAAATACTGCACGTACGATGCGTCTCGAGGCAATAACAATGATATTCAATTGTTTTCTCGAATAAAAAATTTGACCGGACAATCTTAAGCCATTCGGTTGTAATGGGCCCCAAGTGCGTGAAACCGCCCTCAGCCCAGCAGATATCTGAACAGGGTCGAGGTGGTGCTCACTCTGCACGCTCCTCCTTTTGTCCCTGCGACGCAGGATGCAGAGCACGACGGAGACTGCGAGGACGATCAGGACGACGGCCAGGACCACGCCCAGGACGATGTAGGGCACGTCCCGGTCGCTGTTGTCCGTCGGCTCCGGCAGTTCCGGTGGAGGCGCCTCCTTCTTTTCCCCGGTAGAGGGCAGCGCTGGAAAGGACAAAGGTCACGCCGTCTACGGGTGGGAAGGACCGCTTGCCGGATCTAAGTCACAAACAACCCTTCGTTTCGCGCAAACGAGCAGACCCGCAAACGCGTTGTTCGCTCAAAGCAGCTGAAAACGGGTAAGAAAAGAAATTGAGATGAGCGGAGCTTCAAGAGAATGAGGCACGACGACACAAACAACCCTTCGTTTCGCGCAAACGAGCAGACCCGCAAACGCGTTGTTCGCTCAAAGCAGCTGAAAACGGGTAAGAAAAGAAATTGAGATGAGCGGAGCTTCAAGAGAATGAGGCACGACGACCTAATGTGCATACAGTCGTTGGCAGAACGAGAACGGCAGGGCGTGTCGTTCAAAAGGCCTCTGGCACTCGCCCCGTGCCTTCCGTCGTGCTTCGGCTGCGCGCGCACCCTTGAGGTGCATGAGATGCCGAAGCACTGCCGAAGGTAGGAAGCTCACACTTGAGGCAGGACAACTGAAGCTCCTACCTGCCGTTCCCACCTTGTCAGAGACTTTAAAGAGATGAACCACATGATTGCAGAAAGAAAAAGCTCAAAGTACACCTAAGCACTCCTTACGAGTTGTGAGTGCGAAAGCATGCAAACCGCTCGTCCCTTCCCTTTTTCGTCAGCCGCATACTTTTCGTCACCAGTCAGCACGCACGCTCCCCTGGGCACGCTGACCTTGGACGCTCCGTGTTAAAGGCGAGCTGATTGACACGCAGCGCCCTGGGGTGAGCGGTCATAAAAACTGACAAGCGCAGCGGCCAATTGGAGCCCCATTGACGTGCGCCAGCCAAGAGAACCGAAGGCAAAATCCACCAGCTTTACTTCGCTCCTTTGGGATCGGGGAAACTAGGTGCCGTTTCCGTGCTTCAAACTGATGATGTCAGCTCGCTCCATGGGACAGTTAATGCTTTCGCATTATTGAACATGTAGGACGAAGGTGACACGTTTATTGGTCATGTGGTTCAATCTTGACCCGCAACAACACGCTCTTCGTTCGTTAATGAAGCTCATATTTAGCATATACCAGAATACTGCCCCTTGCATTTTACTGTGACGATTTCTAGAAGTTGTGAACGCTTTTCTACCCATGATTCCTTTAAACCGAGTGTTTAGATGGAACCACCGGGCTACTGGTGTTTTTCGGCCTAAATTAAGCTTACACTCGCGCTACTGGTGAATGCCGGTGCTTTTTCTACTGAAATCGAAAAGCCTCGGGATTGCAACTTACCTAGGGTTTTGTGAGTGCAGATGTTAGAGAATTCGCTGGCCCCAGCCACATTGAAACACTGCATTTTGATGTCGTACGAAGTGTCTGGCAACAGGTAGGTCACGGTGTGGGACCTCGTGTTGAAACCGGCCACCGTGACTTTCAGGTAGTCCCCTGCACTCTGGGTCAGCCGGTAGTAGATGTAGAAACCTTCTACTTCAACTGCGTCCACGTCTGCGTACTGCAACAAACAGAAGCAACAACCGGGGGTTGCAGGAAAAGAGAACTGTTAACCTGTATATGCCAGCTCCAGACCACTGAATGTTACAAATTACCGAATGTCATTAGTCGCAAGTTTTATCCTGCACAATATTTTCGAGATGCAAGCCAAAAAATGGCGGATGTTCAACAATTTTGGAGGCCGCATCTAAGTGAATGTTAGTTTCTACATAGGGTTCCTCAATTTCGGAATTTATGTTCAATAACGCTCGAAGGGCATTCTTTGCAATTTATTTTCTCGCACACTCGTTTATTACACACATTTCCCAAGTATACTTACCGTAAAATACCGGGCAAGCATCCACTCTAGATTTAGAGATAATTGCAAAAAAATGGGGGATGGGCGCTTGTCCGGTTATCAATTTTACACATCAATGTACTGCGCATATTTTCTCAGATCTTAAAACTTTGGGAGGGGCGCTTAGTGTGGTATGGGGTGGATGCGCGGTATTCTACGGTACCACTTTTACTCGAAGTAGAAAAGTTGTCAGCTACTTCATACACTTGGCTTAGGAGCACTTTTATGATAATAAAATGTATGGCAAATTGCTAGGCAATTGTGTTACATATATGAAACGTTCTAGCATCACAAACGTTTATATCAGTGGTCACAAAATCATTTGAGTGTGGGGGTCAGATATCCCACACCGGAAAGGCAGAGGGCCATCGCATGATGGGAAAGGGGGTGGGGGGTCGTTCAAAAGCTTTTAAAAAGAACAGACCTCGTGCTTTATGATTTTTGGAAACTCGCAGTTGTTTGCCAGTGATGCCTTTAGATTTGATTTGTTTTTATGACTACTTTGGGCCCTGACCAGATGTGATAACATAAATTAAAATGACACGCACTGCCAACGTGCTGGCATTATTAATGGAACAAAAGAGAAAGTACACTGTCGTTCCTGTTGCTTAATTCACTCCAGAATTAACCAAGCTCAACATGCCTCTAAAAAACAATGAGTTAATTTGACAGTTCTTGCGTTCCTGACGATTTTCTTTTACAACATTCTGAACAAATACTTGTCTTTTAATGGGGATATCTTTTTAAAGGCAAGAATACCGAGCTCGTAGCTTTATCTTTGGCAGTTACTCCTGCTGATCGAGAGTTCGCACAGCCGAGATGCATCCTTTAACGAATAGCTCGCGCTTGCGGCCTAGTAGTGGAACTGCTATGCATTAGAAAAAGCTGGGAAGCAAAAAATAAAGCGAAACAAGGGGCAAATGAACACAGATAAGTACAAACTATGTGAATACGTTAAAAAAGCAGAACTACTTTTTGAGTGAAAATGAATCAACGAGATGAGGTCACTATGGTGCATGCCATTTGTAGTGTTCTAGACATGGGAACTCGGACTCCTAGCCGGTTGCCTGCAGGCCGTGTACCAGCAAGTCGCGGGACAGATGCGGCCTGAGGTGTTTGGGACCCCTGATTTATAACATCGTTAACCCTTTCATGGTCGCATTTTTTGTCCAAAGACGTGCCCCCGTGGTCGGGATATTTTTTACTCGGTGCAATAGCAAAGAGAATACACTAGTTTATTCTCGCATAAAAAAATGTAAGACTTAAAATAAATAGTACACACACTTCAAAATATTGCGGCACACTCGCTGAAGGCTGAACAAAACAAAAAGGACTAAAGCTTCGACTCGCCCGCTTCCCAGACGGTCTAACAGATGGTGCTGCTGTGTCTCGGACTCCGGACTCCCGAGCTGGTTTCCAGTTGTTCACCGAATGTCGAGCTGTCATCCGACTCAGAGGCCGAGAAGGGTTCAAAGTATGAACCCAAAGAGCCATCGCTCAAATCTCCCCTACGCTAGAGCTATATCAAAAGTGTCCCTTGCGCAGAGCATCCAGTTTCGCAATTTCAAAACGCCGCATCGAAACGAACATGACCGGAGTCATATGGTCATAGTTCCCTACAAACCTACCAAGTGGCAGCACGTCCCCGTGAACGCACCCGTTCAAGCAGAGGCGGGAATTTTTTAATCAGCAGTCGCGGACGTATATGTATGAATGCAACCATGCGGGACGCTCCCGCTTGGTACAGCTACGTCCGTCGCCATGAAAGGGTTAAGCGGCACGTCTAGCCTGTTCAGCGAGATGCCTGTGTACATGGCACTCTTCATTGGATAATTTAATACATGGCATGTGTACACTTAAACTGATAAGCCAAGTGATTTTCCAGGACCTTCTAACCCACTCCTCCTCACTCCCCCGCTGTTCATATGACCTCCCAGTTAACCGATGAGTGCCTCACTTCCCCTCTCCCACACATCGAAACCAACCAGCGTCCAGTCTCGTGGACACTTTTTTTATCCGGGTTTAAATTTTCGGGTTTCACGAAATGCCGAATACCTAGCCAGAGAATGTTTCAAGTTAATATTTATTTGCACTCGAGTGTTAAGGCCCGTTCACTTTCTTGCGACCGAGTACGACTGAGAGAGACGAGATCTCTTAAAACTTCTTAAATGTTTTTAGAATGAGGGAACACACTGGCATTGTGGCGCCATCTATGAGATGACCCTGGAACTGCATTTCACAAGAGCGAAGGTTTTGCGGGATTTCCGAGGTCAAATGTGCGTAATACCCATAGAAAGGCTCGTTTATAACATTGACAAAAGTTTTTCGAGCCAAGAAAGAAAGGATAATGCGCGAGAAATTAAAAAGAAATATGCCGGACCGCCAAGTTTACACTGCTTCCCAATAGATGGCGCCAGTGTGTTCTCCGGTTTAAGAAGTTTTAAGGAACCCAGGTTTAAGAGGTCGCAAGAGTGTGAACGGGCCTTTACCCTGGGTGGTAGGCGAGGCTGAACAGAAACGTTAGAAGCCACACGCAAGTGCGCCTGCCAGCCCGAACAAGGGATCTTCCTCATTTTCTCTCAGTATTGAAGGACCTTCATCAAAACTGTTTCAAAGGTAAAATGCGCCCAGTTAGGGTTCTAACCTAGGTGGTAATTTTGATACCCCGCTACTACCCTTTGGAAGTAAAATGCAAAAAAGCGCTGAAATCGTCTTTGCGCCAACAGCGTCGCCTTTACCCAACACTGTTGCATCGATCAACATGTTGTACGTCTTTTGTTGGCCTTTTCAGAAAAAGCACGGCCGTCCCGTAGCACAGCTGCCAAGACTGACCTCCCAGAAAAGAGTGATTGCGGAGGGGCTCTCGGCTTTCACGTGCTTGATGATGGGGCCCTGGATGGGTTTTCTCTTTGGTGGGTCCTTGTGCAACATGAACTTGATGGAGTTGGGTCCATTCTTGTTGTCATTGTTGGAGTAAACAGCCACTATGCGGAATCTGTACTTGCCACCTGCACCGAAACAAATAAGCGCTGGCATTCAATATAGCAAGACGTTAACATTGCATCGATCAGCTCGTCAATGTCGCGTGAGAGAGTGAACTTCGGCAGAAAAAAGTCGAATGTGGTCGTCTACGTGTCGTTTTCTCAACATGATTTTGTACCCACAGTGGTGAAACTGCCAAGTGGCGATTTGGAACAGCTCTGGTAGCATGGAACAGCAGGTTTTGGAGCGGAGATTCCCATTCTTGGAGCAAATAATTTTGAGCTTTCATGGCAGAAAATTTTATACAATCTCCTTGAAAGTTAGCTTGCGGAAAAAAACTGCAATTGTTGGAGTGTTAGGAGACTACTGGAAGTGTCACACCTACAAGGGGCCTGGCCCACTGGAGATATTTATTTATTTATTTAACATTCATACATGAGAAATTTTGCAAATGTCTCAATTAACCTATGAGGAGTACCGATGGCGTCTTCAGTTTGTGTTTGACGTAAAAATATGCGTTTGGCTACTTTGTAGGGTTTGTGTCACGATGATGTAATTGTTATGAGTTCGACATCAAACGGACACTTTTGTGTTGAATGTGTCTCACGCTGCTCTCTGCTTTGCAGTAGTTAGGCATGTGCCAATAATGGATTTTTGGTTTAAAGCAAATTTAAAGTATATACTGGTTTTGGCCGAAAATTTTTAAATTAAATATTAAATAGTTGCTGCGCCTTTCTCCGTGCCTTTCACTACTGTTACACCACACTGAAACGAAAATTCAGCAGAACTTGCAAAGGTTGTTCCCAAGCTTCTAACTGCCCAATTATGAGCTCCGTTAAACTTAATCTAGCCTTATTTGTAGACAATGGCCTCAGAATGTCCAATACCTACATAGAGATGGCAAGTAAACAACAGATTTGACATAAAATTAAACCGATAAAGGAGTCCAGCCATACCTAATTGAGCGTATTTATGATATTCTTGCTATATGCAACTATTTTCTTGAATTCTAAACCATTAAAAAAAAAAAGCACCAATAATGAACACAGGTTGTTAGAACATCGCTGCCTAACATATACCCTTGCATAATAGCCAGAGCGAAATTTTAAAGATTTTGCTGCAATGTAAATATCAACAATCACAATGTTTCCTTGTTTAACACACCACGCGTGAGAGCGCACCATACCGCTTTGAAGGTGTTTTTTTCGCCTAAGAAAGAGGCTGTGCTGCGGCGAAGTGAGTTGCAAGATCGTGGTGTTAGCTCTGCGGGTATCGCTTCTCCGCAGTGCACCGGTGCTTGAGGAGAAGTGCACTCAAAGGAGGCTAACCCCGCCGCGATCAACAATTCGAAAAGCATGAACGTCGCAGTTAATTTTAAAGCAAATCAAATAGAAAATTATTTGAAACAAGTCTTCGAAAATTTGAATATATGCACAACCCTACTCCTCGCACATAGAGCTTAAACATAAAAAAAAAAAAAAAGCTTTTATTTTTATTTTTAGTGGCATTGCCAACAATGCCATATGCCAAACACATTGAGTTTCCTTCTGGTGCAGACATGGCACAAATTGTGCACAAATACAGCCTTTGTAGCGGTATGTAGCAGGTTATTCGTTCTGACGCAGTTTGGTGCAAATGGCACAGCAGTTCCACCACAGAACCCAGAGTGGGCTGGCAGCAAGACCATGTTTGTCGGGGCTTCCAATACAACTGAAAAAGCCCCAAGCCGAGTACAACGCGTTGGGTTGCACTCAAACACAAATGTGTGAACCAGCCTATAGTTAAGAGCAACCTGCAGCTTTCCCACACTTGGGTAAAGTGCCCTTGCAACCGACAAATGGTTGGATGAATCTGGCTAAACCCTTTTTATCAGGCAGCATCTTGCACCACTTAGCCAAAGAGTCTATTTTAAAAATTGACTACCGTAAAATCCCGTAAGGGCGCCCTCCCCCGAGAGTTCGCCCATTCCATTTTTCTGCCTCAATATCTGTAACATAAAATTCCGAAACATCGCCCACCCCCCGGTTCCCGTTGGACGTCAAGCGATGTGCGACAGGAATCGCGCATCAACGGCGCAAACTGCGGTTCCGGTGCGTCCGAAAAGCGAGTTCATAGCCGGTTCCCCGCGTTTTTGTCAGCGATCTGCGCGCATGATATCGGCTCCCGTAACACGAGTTATTCTTGCGTGTATATTGCATCGTAAAATGCGAATCTGCTGCGTTCGCGATTTGCGGTGTCCGTTCTCGAGTTCGTAGCGGATTCCTGTGTTTTTGTCTGCAATCTGCATGTGCGATATTAAACGCGCAAGTTGTTCCCGCGTGTATATTGCATCATGAAATGCGATTCTGCTGCAGCCACGATCTGCAGTATTTGTTTCCGTGACATGCAAGTTTGTAGCGTATTCCCCTGTTTTTGTTCGCGATCTGCGCGTGCGATATTCGTTTCCGTGACAAGCAAGATTGTAGCGGGTTCCTGCGTCTTTATTGCACTATGAAACTTGAATCTTGCTGCGTCCGTGATCTGCGGTATCCGTTCCCGTGAGATGCGAGTTCTCGGTGAGTTTCCGCGAGTCCTTCGCACCGTGAAATGCGAATCTGCTGCGTCGGCCACTTGCGGTATCCTTTCCCGTGACACAGGAGTTCGTAGAGATTTCCCGCGTGTTTATCGCATCGTGAAACGCGAATTTGCCGTGTCCACAATATCAGTTCCCGCGTCACGTGGTTTGTAGTGGGTGCCCCGGTGCTTATCATTAATTTTCAATAAAGTTTTGCAGCAGCATTCCTAAAGATAGCCCACCCCATATTTTTCAACACTTATCTCTACATTTCAGGTGGGTGTTCTTACGGTTTTTACGGTAATCTAAAATTAGGAAAAAAAAACAACAAAAAACAGTAAGGAGGCCGACATACAACCAGGATTTCCTGAAGGGAAGATAATGCTCTTACCGCTCCCCTCTCCTAAGTTGGGGCAAGGTAAAAAGTTGAGAGGATACAGGAAAGGAGGAAGCGGGCAAAAGTCTAGAACACGAATAATATGTCGGCATTTATGCCTTTTAACAGTCTACTTCTAAATCTGAAATTACTAGTGCACAGTTAAGAATCCCATATCGCTTTGCTTCTAAGCACCACATGCATTCATTTAACCTTCTCCTCAACCAAAAGTTACAAACCGTGCAATGGCGGTGCCTCTTCACAACAGTGCCTGCTCTCTTTGCCCTACGAACTTAGAAAAAAAAAAAAAAGAAAACACATTTGTGGATGGCGGCATTCTTGTGTGAGCAAGATGGCATTCCCCACCTGCTTTGAGCCCCAGGACGGCGTGCGAGTGGATGTGGGGCGGGACGTCCTCCTCGACGGTCCTCCAGTGCGAGCGGGGGTTGGACACGTCCCGGAACTGGACCTTGAAGAAGGAGATGGGCAGGCCGTCGTTGTGGGGCACGCTCCAGCGCACCATCACAGAGTCGTCCGACAGACGAGAGATCTCGGGCCGGGAGGGAAGGACCAGCTTCACTGCGCCGCCAAGAAGACATGCTCTACACCGAGGGTTTCCAAGACCTGCCTTGGCTGATAGCCGAGGCAGGTGGGGGCCTAGACATTAATGCATGAAAACAGTTCAGAAGTATAGAAACCGTTCATAGTTACACATCAATGGGTGGCTCGGATGGAAATAAAGACACACAGGGGCAGGGACGTTTGAGAGAAGCTCCGAGAAACCCCGACGGTGCTCTGGGGAACCCAGTTTGAGAACTTGTGCTCTATGCCAGGCACATAGCCAGGATTTTGTTTCGAGGGGGGGCCCGCACATGAGAAAATGCTGTATGAGGGGGAGGAGAAGAGGAGGTCCCAGCAAAATGGAAAATTTTTTGGGGGGAGGGGGAGGGGGCCTGGGCCCCATGATCAACGTTTCGACTCGACATTGTTCGACATTTCAGACCTAAAGGTCTGAAATATCGAACAACTTCAGACCTAACCAATGCTTTGGACAGCTTGAAGTCTCAAAGTTCAATTTTTCTGACAAAATCGTTGCGAGCAATCGGCGGGAAGTATCACAGTGAAGCCGGCATTTTAGATTCTATGTTGGCTATACGGGGATCGGCTTGGTTTGCCAGTGCTACTTGAGTACTGCTAAGTCCAACCACCAGGTGACTCTATGCTCAGCTTTCTTCTTTTCACTAGCTGAGTGTCATCATCATGACCATTGTTACCCTTTTGCTTTGTGCATTCACCATACTACAGTCGTAGACTTGCATCTCTTACCTTGTCTCAATGAATTGTTTTCTAACTATGCTGGCTTGGACGCCATGGCCCCATCTGTTCTTCCGCCGCCGCAAAGTGTCGCTAAGCACGTAAAGTACTCTACCATAACGCTAGAAAAGCAGGCAGCGATCCTCAAGCTAACAGAAAGTAGACAAACGCAAGCGGAAGCGTGACCTGAAGCAAGGCACTATTGAGGTTTTTTTTAGGCCTGCTTAGACGTAATAATGGCAAGTGTTTTACTGTGCCGCTTTTTCGGACTGCTCTAATATTTTGACATTTTTTTAGTCCCTGCGAAGTCTAAAAAATAGGTTGTTGATTGACATTATAAAAATGACAGTACAAAAAAAAATTAAAATATTTAGCTTGAGTGTTATAAAAATTGTTACCTCCTTTGCTTTTTTTTCTTTTGTGGCCATCCTTTTTCTTGCCTGCGTTTTCAGCAGCTCCATTTATACTGTGTTGTTCATTCTCCTCTCCATCTGCAAATAAACACAAACTATAAAGCACAAACCTTTTCAGCGCTACGGGACAAGCAAGCAGAGGGGAAAATATTATCCCAAACCAGAAAAAACGGATCCCAAACAATGCTAACATAGTCCAAGTTTCGGGCGAACAAAAGTATTATAATTGAAGAATGGAAAAGATAACAGCATCGGTAACTAACTATGTTGGCTTGGTATAAGCTAGTCATCTGGTAATGTTTCATTTGAAGTATCCCCAACCGAATTTCTGTTACTTCTATTGACTAGAAATTATTTTTTTATGCATTACATGATGAGTCATATATTTTGAAGTTGTATTTTATACCAACAGGCAAATCATTTACCAGCCACCATTATCAAAATTCGCCAAAATCGAGCCGAACAAAAAGTAACAACATATCAGGGCGAACAAGCATAACTGCTTTGGTCAACAGCTGGTTCCCTATTTTCGAGAATTAGCTTTAAATGGCCGTAGCCGACGATTATGTGTTATGTTCCAAGATTAATAGTTACGACAATCAAGTAAAATTGCAGGTAGACCTTTCAGCTATGGAAAATTGGTGTAGTAAATGGCAAATGTCCTTTAATGTTTCAAAATGTAAAGTTGTCTCCTTTCACAAATACAGCAATGCATTTACTTATAATTACTCCATCGGTAGTTCTGTCTTACAAGCAACTAGAACTTACAAATACCTAGGTGTGCATTTCAGTAGACCTTTCGTGGTCCATCCACATACTGTAAACAGTATAATTTCCACTGCAAAAATCCCTTGGTTATCTGCAACTCACCTTAAAATTCGCTCCCCCTCACCTTGAAACTGCTCGCCTATACAACACTCATCCGCCCCAAACTAAAATTTGCCGCAGCGATATGGGATCTATACCATAACTATCTTATTGAAAACTTGGAAGTCATTTAAAACCGTGCTGTAAGATTCATATGCTCAGAGTATTCGTCCTTTACCAGCGTTACCCAACTAAAGAAACGTGCCATTCTGCCTATGCTATATCACCGTCGAAGAGTTGCCAGATTGTCACTGTTTTGTCAATATTACCACATCTCATTTCGAGGAAAAAATTTAACAGAAAAGAACAGGCGCCGCTTCATCGACTTCGAGTCGGATGCGCCAACACAAAAGCACGACTCCACCTCATTGGGCGCTCCTCTTCCCCGCTATGTGAAGCCTGCAACGTGGTGGAAGACCTTGACCATATTTTATGGACGTGCCCATTACTTGCAGACTGTCGTAAAAGCTTCCATGGAAATGTGAACATGGCCACCATACCTTCTCCGAATATGACAAAGGTTTTATTTCCAACGGGACCATGTGCAGTGCGAACAAGTGTTCTTCGAGCGGTCCTTGACTATTTGTCGTCATCAAGAAGAATCGCATCCCAACTATGATGTATACTTACTCCCCTCCCCTCCTCACCTCACCTCTGTCCCTCTTTCACCCCACTTCCCAGCAGGGTGACACAGCTGTCCCCTCTCCTGGGAGACTAACCTTTCACCTTGCCTCTTACCTCTTCTTTTGGATTATTTTATTAAAACAACATCACCACCACCACCACACACTGTCACCGAACCCCTATATCATGCTCCGTTCACACTTTTCAAATCACATTAACACCCAACAAGTGTCATATTGTCACCCAAACACAGATTGATTTGGAAGTTCCTTTTTTATTAGAACAGCCAAAGACTGGAACAATCTTCCTGAAAACATAGCACAGTTTAGGGACTTGGATGAATTCAAAAATGCTCTTATAGCGCTAGATTACTCATAGTTTTATAATGGTGAATTTCTTGCGTGCAATTGTGTTCTCCCTGCCTTTCTTGATATAGATGTTCTCTTTTTGCATTCTGTCCACAGGTTTTTGGAATTTTTGTTTCGTAATGCCCATTCCTCATGTAATCCCCCCCTTACAAAGGAGGGGGCCCTTTGAAAAATAAATAAATAAATAAATAAGAAAATAAAAAACATATTTTATAATCTTAGCAGAGTGCCTATTTTCACCTTTCAGTGGTCAAGACTAAGGCAATACGTGACAATTGCATAATAAAAGAAACAAATGCGTGAAAGGAACTAGCGAAAAACTCTAATGCCAAATATCTCCAGCGAACGTTTTCTCTTTATATTTTTTACAAATGTGGGCATGCCAAAGTGCAAAGCCTGATATCTGAATTCGAGGAATGAACATAATATACGCAGACGAAAAGTAGCAAAATGCCGTTTCTGTTTTCCTGGAAAAATATTCCAATAGGATGCAACTTTAAGTTTAGTATCCTTTGTATTTTATGTCTTTTCAAGCTGTCTGCCCGAACATATCCGTCGTCATCTCCTTTTCTGGCTGTGCTTTTATTTTCGTAACACTCAATAATTTTCTGAAAGTTGACTTTCGATAGTATCCATAGTGAACCGAGAGCCAGCTATCGACAGTTTATCTGTGTACCGTTTATATATACTATGAAAAACTACTGATACTACGGATAGTCAATTTAAGTGCTTCTTGGGTGCGCTCTTCATCATGCTCCCGCTTGTCAGGGTTTGCAGACCACTTTTTGTAAACTGCTCTCAAGGAGCTGAGCAGCAACCAGAGAGAGAATACTTTCCATCAACGTAAACAGACTTGTCCAGAATACGAGACTCGTTGAGTGCCAGAACTGAGATCCGAGCTGAAGACGACACAGTGCCAAGGAAGTTGGTGGCAAAACACTGATAGATGCCGCTCTGATGCTTTGTCATACGTTTGACGTGAATGGCGTTATCTGAAAGAAAACAAAGGCAATCAAAAGGATTAACATTCAGCACTGGTAAAGTAACGGCAGCCTCCCTTGTTAAGACGAGGGCACAATGTTTCTGTCTCGCAATGTGCACAGCAGTAATGATGCCTACAGCATAAAATAAACTTCATGGCTTTGTTTCCTACCCTCCACCAATAAAATGCAAATCTAAAATCAACAATGAAAAAATGTCTGTCAGACGAGCTATTGCGCAAAATTAAAACTTTCGGATGTATTCGAAGCAAGGTCAACTATACTCGTCACCTCAAGACAAAGAGCAAGATTTTCGCGTATCTAACTCAAAATGTGATTGTAAAAAATATATAAAAATATATTGCATTTGAAATATGTACATTTTAATAAAATATAAAATAACCCATCTTAAGTGCACATACAGTTCACCACATGGAAGGGAATATTAGTAGCGCTCTGTGAGGAGCTTAACCTCTTTTAGTAACGGGATGCGGACTGGCTAACAATAAGCTTATTCAGGCCACACCTGCTGCGAGACAATAGCAAACGTTCCCCGATCAGATGCTTGATTATGTTTCATGACAGCTGCCAACTGCTCCCTACAACAAGCATACTGGAGGCTACGCCTGACACTGGTACCCCCTCCCCCTTTGATAATCAGATCTCTACACAAAATATATTTATATAAAAAAAAAAGTTTTTTTAAAATTTATATTAACTAAGGCGAAACTGGCATGGAACGTAAACATTTTATTTTTATTTTTAGCTATCTGTACCAAAATTTCAGGGTACATTCATAGCACCTACGTAGGACCAACTGCTAAGTTTCATAAAGCTGTGCCCATCGGTACTTAATTTACAAAAAAGTTTCAGTATGCTTCACTTGCTTCCTTTATCCCGGGGAAATAGCAATGGGAAATTTATTATAAGCATTCCTGGATAGGCACCCCAGGGCATGACAAATACATTTTTATTAATTTCCGTTCAAAACTATATTTGCACAACACTGAATTTCATGTTGGTCCTTATCCTCATCCATCAAATTTAATTTGAATATTATAAAATGTTAACACAATTTTCCAATAAAAAGAAGCTTGCCATTCCCTCACAAAGTTATTTAGGAACAAAATAGAAAACCTGTAAACAATTCCCGAGATATAGCTTAAATGTGCGCCAATGCTAGCGGAAAAATTTATTTTGAGAAAATGGCAGTTGAAGCTTGCACATACATTCTTAGCATTTAGCCTGTTTCATGTGGTGCAATTCTGCTTGCGATTTTCATTCTTGCACAGCAAAGAGCTTGTGGACACGGTAATCATGCACCAAAATCCTCCTCCACGGTTTTTATTAATTTGTTTTTTCTGGAGCGAGCAACACTGCAACCAAAAATCCCGAAGATCGCAAGCAGGAACGCGCCCTGTGAATTGGCTTTACCTGCGGAGTAGCTGGAAGTGTCCTTGCATACTTTATTTTTGTTCTGCTGTGGTCTTTACTTAGTTTTGATGGCCGATGGCATAGATAGAAGCACAGTCTGAAGCAGTGAAGCAATCAGTATCGGTACCTCGCCGTGCAGAGGCGGGTTGTCGACGCAGCTTCCAATGGTCGCCATGCAAAGATGCTTGCATGGACTGCTTCCGTGCGTCGAATGCATGCACCGTCTCCCAATTCATTCCCCACATCTCTTGTGGCCACGAAACACGCGGGCAAAGTATGAGAAACTATTAAAACGTAGGACTGCAAACGGTCAAGAAAATAGCGAAAAGCGAAGTGGAGTTGACAAAGCACAGCAACAAGCAGACGACGCGAGGCGGTGAGACGCGACCCGGCAGCGTGGTAGCCATGGCAACGAAATAGGAACAAACGTCGCGGATAATAGTAGTCGCACGCTCCCTTGAGCGGGCGCTTAGGCCAATCGCTGCTTCGCAGTCGCGAGGCGGGAAAACGCTGATCACACCAAAACTATGCTGAGGACACTAATTAAAGGGCGGCAAAAAGAAGAAAAAGAAGAAAACAGCTTTTAAACGAGACTAAGATGGCAACCGCCCGCCAAGTTGAAAGCGAGTGGATATTGCTCAAAGCCCGGCTCGATTCTGAGTCTTTAGCGCGATTTAGAAGCCACCAGGACCTCGTAAATATTTTTTCTTAAACATATTTTATCAGTGAATCAGGCGCTGACAATTACAGAGGAGGTAGTTTATGAAATATACAACCCAAAAAAAAGTTTTTCCAGAAATAAACTTCTTCGCAATTTTTCAGTTTTCAACTCCACGTCCCCCCTTAATTATTCTTGGTTAGCAGAAAGAAATGTGGAGAAAAGGGGGAGCCACCTTCGACAGTGATGTGAGATGTGTGATGAACTCTTTTGCCATTGTGCAGCCAGTGCACAACGGGCAGAGGGTTTCCCTGCACAGAACACTGGAGCCTCAACTCTCCTCCGTGCAACACAAACTGGTTTTGCAAGGGTGTGACAATGTGGGGCAGTTCTGCAAATGAATGGGAGAGCAAACATACAGGGGTCTGCGGGCACAGAGTTCACGTAATAAACTAGAGGGAAAGGTTTTGTGCATTTCGACCACTTTGGAGCGGCGGAGCACGAATGCGGACATCGGTGGTCCAAAGGGGGCCATATTGTTGGCAACGCTTCGATATACACAAAGCACGAAAACGTCACTTGCAAGGTCTGTACCTACCATAACCCCGAAAGATAACCCACCCCTAATATTGGCATGATTTGCTATTTTTCTAAAAACACAGAAACATATTCCGCTTCTAGTAATTGCAGGGCATTGTCCGATGGTGATCTTGGAGGAAATGGTGTTACTTAGCCAAGGGAGGATATAAGCAGACATTGCTCACTGGGAAGGACGGTCGTCTTTGGTGATCGCCCCTCCCTGCGATCATAAGTTTCGCAGGTCACAGAATCTGAAACTAGCATTTTTTCTCATTGCACACCGCAATTAGCCCACTCTTTATTTTCATGCAATTTTTAATGGGCTATCTCTCAGGATATTTTGGTAGTGTTTTTCTAGCCCTATTTTCCATGACACTGGCGTCGCACATTGCAAATACTAATAGAGTTGACAAGCACTCCATCAACTTCAACTCGTTGTGGCAAAAGAAACGCACCTAACCCATCGTCTGCTTTCTTTCTCCGGCTTTCTGTCGCTCTCTTTCTCAATCTTTGCCTCAGGACCACCGATGTGAGCGCTTACAACTTGCTGCATTCTGCACCCACCTTTGTGAGCAGCTTAATTCCGCAAGCAACCAGCAATATTATAACGCACTCGTCTGCTTGAGAGACTACTGGAAGTCATTATGCAACATCTGGAAAACTCACCTTGAACAACCAGCTTTGTCTTGGAGGCAAAAATGGTATTGAGCCTGTTGCTTGCACTGCAGATGTACTGACCATTGTCTCTAAAGTGAACACTTACAATTTCCAGATTACCTGTAAAAGTGAGTGAAGAGAAATGTAATTGCGACTTTCACGTCACTATCTGTGACGTGACAGCATCATGCCACAGATATATGCAATCTGGTAGCACTTTATTCCTTCAACAAAAAGTCAATTAAGTGAGCTCATGACTTCATCTTCTCGACACCAAAGGCAAAAGAAATAAAAGCTGCTACACTACCACATTAATTAGAAGCCTTCACATCATTATCTTTCTAACAATGACCAATTCAATAAAGTATAATCTACACACGACTGGACTCATTAACCAGTCTCCAAAGGTGCTCTTCTAAGGTTAGATTAATTAACTTTTCAATCAATCTTAAAGACCCCTGAAAAGGAAAAAAAAAGTTTTTTTTTTTAAGTCTGATTGGGACACACATGTCAAAAAAATTAATTATATGAGAAACAAAATTTTTTAGAGCAATACAGTGTAGACCGCATATAACGTATGTCGCGGGAGTCGCGAAAATCCGCACTATAAGCGGTACCGCGTTATAACCAAAACATCAATTTTTCAGGCCAAAATACATGCCATGAGACAACCCACCTTGTAAAAGAATTTATTTTATGTTAGATGAAAAATAAAGCTTAGATTGAGGAAAGTCTTTATTTCACCAGACTAGTACACATCTCTCTCAAGTGTGTCACACATTTTGAAAGAAATAAGCGGCTTTTGCCTGGCGCAGCCTTTTAACGGCGTCGCGGGTTGCGGACGGACGTTGCGAGCGTTCAGGATTGCTAACCCTAATCACTTTTCTCCGGATGAAAACGTGTGAAAATTCGCATTTTTCATACGGTACGCGCCAGTAATACCTTGAACTTGAGCACAGGCATGAAATGCTCCAAATAAGAAATCCGGGCGATGTTCGAAAACACAAATGCTTAGAAAGCACCACTTTAGCCGAAGTAAACAAACACGACGACACGAGCGTTTCTGCCGTCAGAGTGCCGCCACATCGCCGCACGAGTAGGTGGATGTTCCCTTCTAGTACGTGCTGGGTTATCATAGCGACACACAACGAAAATTCACAGTCAAGCATAGCGCTTTTACACGGAACGATGAGATGAACGCCACAACCGACGCCATGTTTGCGGACAGAAGCCGCCGGCCCGCGATTGGCATGCAACGCGCGCGAACACTTCTCGACCTGCGATTGGTCTGTCGTTTCGGTTGTTTGTTTCCAACGCAGCGGAGGGACGCACGCACATGAACGACACGTGCGTGCGTCCTTCCGTCGCTATGGCAAATGAAGCCTCTCTCTTCGCTTCTCCGAGCAACCTCCTTGCCCCGCGAGTGCCGTTTGCGGCTCGCGCCGTTATCTAGTGTCGCCCAGGGAAGCGTGCTCGCTGCTCCGGTCGTCGGCGCGGTCCGCGGGCTGTGCCAGAAACCGCACTATAACCGGTATTTCCCTTCGCGCGCCTGCATTTTAAGCGGTATGTAATTACATGGAGTTCTATGGGAGGCGAACCGGTGGTTTAAAAAAACCGCGTTATACCCGGTCCTGCACTCTAAGCGGTTACGTTGTAAGTGGTCTATACTGTATTGACGGCGAGAGATTTATTTGAAATTCTGCGCGCGATGTTCATGACATCACGGGTCATCCCGAAATGACTATCTCGGTCGTGAAGGTGAAGCGGATCCACCTCTCCTCCATGTGCCCGAAACGCAGAGAGAAAACAAGTGGAAAGGAGGTGACTGCCGACTAAATCGCATCTCACGCCATCAATATTGCTCTAATTTTTTTTTTGTGTAAAATTAAGTTTTTTACACGCGTGTCCCAACCAGACAGTTAAAAGAAAAGACTATTTTTCTTTTCACTTTTTTTTAAAAGGCTGCAGGTGTTTGAGCAGCCACTAGAAAAGGCAGGATGCCAGATCAACTCAGCCTTTACAACCTTTTTTGCATATGAAAAGACTGGTGCACAGCAGTGATGCGGAATGGGCACCTCCATTCCCTTCCAACTTCATTCTGGGGAATTGGAGTTTCCAACAATTCCATTCAATTCCTAGGAACGAAGACACTGGGCTTATTCCCATCCCTAGAATGGCCAAACCCTACGATTCCATAACCCTCATTCCTAAAAGTGAAAAATTGGTGCTTCACTCTTTAAAGCTACAATACACTAGGCTCGCAATAATTCAAACTCGGATATTGCATACTTTTCGTTAATTCAAGCAACTTTCAAAATTTTGGTTGTCCTACTCTGTTTTTAATGTATTCATAAGCCGCTCAATTAGAACAACATTTTCGTTTATTTCATACTTTTAGTTTTCGCGGCCCTGTTGAGTGCGCTTCTTTCCATGCACCGGTGCACTGCGGAGAAGCAACACCTGCAAGCTTGCTTCCGTCGGTGTTGCTTTTCCACAGTGCAAGGTGGGAGCGCACTCAACGGGGCTGGAGCGGGCATACATGAGCTATGAAAACGGGCACCAAGTGAGGATTTCCAGAGAAACTGGCGCGGATGCTGCGACGTGGCGGCATCGCATAGGTTCACGTCACAGCGTCCGCCTAAGTTGCTGTAAAAACGGCCACACGGTGCCGTGCCCATTTTCATCTCTCATCTGTCCCCTGCTTAATAGTCCACATTAAAGAGTCCCTGAAAAGAAAAAGTTTTTTTAAACAGTCTGGTTGAGACGTGCCTGTCAGGAAATATATTTTAAAGGAGCGATGCAACAATTTTTGTAATTTGCGCAAATACCGCTTAAAACGGATCCCTAACGTTAATGACCTATAAAACACGCGTTCGTTTTTCATCCCACGCAATAGAAGTCCCATAAAAAAATTGAAGAAAAACGAGCAGCGTTCACCCCCTCAACTCGCAGCCAGAACAAGCAGCCACGTGATCTGGAGCCGATTATATGCCGCCAGTGTTGATCATAGCCACGCGCTGGGGTTGGCAAAGCGCAGAACACGCGCTGAGTTCCAGACATTGTTATGGTTCGGCTATCCTCGTCATAGCAGCGATTGGACACGGGCCACTACCCGAATGCTTCTCGAGCTAGCAAATATCACGAGCCCAAATCGAGTGCTCACGCAATGCTCGGGTTCAATCTATGAACCGCATTCAAATATCGGTGTACTGCGATCCCCACGTTACGTCATCAAATTTTGCAAAGGAGAGAGATTGAATGAAAATGATCGCTTTTGTCCTTGAAACTACACCGCAACAAAGGAGTTTCTTGGCCAGTGGCGTTGCGTGTGAGTATCCTTCAGTCCCACTACTGCCAGTAAGCTCGTGTCAAGTGAAAAACATTCCAATTGAATATCGTTGCACCACTCCTTTAAGCGTTTTCTTAGAGCAATATTGATTCTGTGCGCGAAGTTTATGACGTCACGGGTCATTCCGGAATGACCATCTCCGTCGTGAAGGCGAAGCCAATCCACCTCTCCTCCACGCACCCGAAATGCAGAGAAAACAAGTGGAAAGGAGGTGACTACCGACTAAATCACATTTCGTGTTGTCAATATTGCTCTAAAAATGATTTTTTTTCACGTAAAATTAACTTTTTGTAGAGCAAGTCCCAACTAGACTGTTAAAAAAACCTTTTTCTTTTCTTTTATAAATAAATATGTAAAATGTATGACATAAATAAACTTATGTCATACATTTCACAAATGTTTCATGTGTGGCATACCTGCTTATGATCAGTAGGCATATGCAAGGGATATTATCAAACATCTGCTTTGCATGTGTAGCCATTCCTACGGCAAATCATAATTTTATCTTGCATCATAATTAGATTAATTTCTGGTTATTCAAAATTCTGATAATTCAAACAAAATTCATGGCTTCCTGGAGTATGAATTGATGAGAGTCTACTGTATGTTACAGGAGAAAAGCAGCCTAATGCTAACATTATCAAACGTACAGACGACTGCAAAAATATGCAAAGTTCATCCCTAAAGCACTCATTCTACTAAGCCGAGTGGTTTCTGGCACATGACAGTGCTGGTGATGTCGGCAGAGCCCGTCAAGCGTAAAAGGTTTGCAACAGATGCCAAAAATTAAATCCCCCCCCCCCCCCTCCCCTTTTCTTTGCACACAAACCAAATACATGCACTTTACTTCTAGGAGATACATGGCCAGCGCGTTGTTTATTTGAGAAGGCCTTAAAAATGACTTGTAAGTGCAAAGTGCAAAAGAAGCTATCTTGCTCTCTGCTTCAAATACCTGCAAAAAAGCAGCACTAGAACGCTGTCAAAATTGACGCTGCGCATACTGGCCCCAAATCTTGATGCACTGTGGCCCGCGCACAAAACTGCTGACAAAATGCCATCGCTACGGTGCCAGCATGAGGGACTGTGGCGCTATATTATGAAATTCAATTCACAACATATACTTTTAAGTTTTCCGTAAGATTCTCACGATTTTTTAACATATTCAAATGAACTCTTTACTTGTTTTACAAGTTTCGGACTTCGTCATCTTGAGTCGTGAAATCTGCTACACGGCGGCGACACCATCGAGCTTCGCTTCGGTCGGCGCTATAAAACGGGCGGTTGAGCTGCACTCCAATGGGATTTGCGGCCTTCTTGGCTGAAAAGCTTATCGCTCGTCTGTTTCGTCTTGCAGCTTTTCGTCCGCCCGATTTGATCAGCAAAGCAGAGCACGACGGCTATCACTCCTGCATGGTTCATCCATCGTTTCACCGCCGCTCAAGTTTCGGACTTCGTCATCTTGCGTCGTGAAATCTGCTACACGGCGGCGACACCATCGAGCTTCGCTTTGGTCGGCGCTATAAAACGGGCGGTTGAGCTGCACTCCGTTGGGATTTGCGGCCTTCTTGGCTGAAAAGCTTATCGCTCGTCTGTTTCGTCTTGCAGGTAAGAACACTGCACCGTTTTCACTTAGCTGTGTTACTCTGGCCGCAAATCCCAGCGCGAGTGTATCGTGTACATCTACTTTGTGAGCATGGGCACCTGCCTTGCTGCCTATCGTGCTCGCATTGGACGTTTTTTTCGATCTCGTTCCACTAAAGGACGTCATCGA